GGACACCTAGGGTTACATAGTGATCTACAGGACACCTAGGGTTACATAGTGATCTACAGGACACCTAGGGTAACACAGTGGTCTATAGGACACCTGGGGGTTACACAGTGATCTACAGGACACCTAGGGTTACATAGTGATCTACAGGACACCTAGGGTTACATAGTGATATACAGGACACCTAGGGTTACATAGTGATCTACAGGACACCTAGGGGTTACACAGTGATCTACAGGACACCTAGGGTTACATAGTGATCTACAGGACACCTAGGGTTACATAGTGGTCTATAGGACACCTAGGGGTAACACAGTGATCTGTAGGACACCTAGGGGTAACACAGTGATCTACAGGACACCTAGGGTTACATAGTGGTCTATAGGACACCTAGGTTACACAGTGGTCTATAGGACACCTAGGTTACACAGTGGTCTACAGGACACCTAGGGTTACATAGTGATCTACAAGACACCTAGGGTTACATAGTGGTCTATAGGACACCTAGGGTTACATAGTGGTCTATAGGACACCTGGGGGTTACACAGTGATCTACAGGACACCTAGGGTTATTTAGTGGTCTATAGGACACATTAATGGGACAGAAGGGTTTACCCTGCATCAGTGAGGATCTCATGATTGTTATAATTGTGTGTGTGTATATATATATTCTGTGCAGCATCAGTTTTCTCAGGTACCTCCTTGGTGTGGCTCCATGTGGGATTGTGTGTGGTGCACAGAACAGAGGGTGTGGTGCCCAGTACTGCATGCTCACTGCGAGATACACATGTCAGGGGAAAACCCAAGCTACGCCACCTCGCAGGTTTGGCAAACTTAATTTATCGGCAGCAGCTTTTTTAAGTTGTCATGGCAACACCCCAAACGAGCTTGTTTGTCTACAGTGAGAGAGGGGGTTCAGTTCATCCTGGCTAATGTCAAATATGCAACCTTGACCTTTTGATGGGGTCATTGGAGTTCCCTGTTGAAGGTGTGTGTCGTGTAGCCATGGAAACTGGTACATATGATGTTATGGGCGTAATCAGATGCTTCTGCTCCAGCATGTGTGATGATCAGCAGGTTCACATGCTATATATAACACTCATTAACAGGCTCATTCCACCAAGTGTTATTTCCGTGCATTGTCAGCTCAAAGGCTGATATGTTGGTGTACAGCTCACCAAATATCCTGATACACTGCTTGTAATAGTATAAGTTTCTCATCACAGAGATCTTGGAATAGCTGACTGACAGGATGGGAGGGGAACATTGCAGAGTAAGAGATTGCTTGAGCAGTGCATCTGTCTAATAAAAGTGTTTCTTTTGTATGGCTTGTTGATTTCTGTTGTTGATACCTCTTTGGCAGTGGAAATAATGTTTGGAAAGGTGCTTAATGTGTGTACAGATGTTGACTTGTGTCACCTGGATTGTTACACAACCGACTCCATGTGTCCTTGTGGCAACAACACTTCACACTGACTGTGCAACATCCAGGCAGCGTTTTCATAGAAGTCCATTTGTCTGTGAATAAGTGTGCATAGGCAAAAAATATCTGTTCCTGTGAACAGAGTGATGTTCAAATTGAACTAATAAGCATTTCCAAGCTGAAATTCCTCATGTTATTGGGATGCAAACTATTTTCTGCAGAAGTCAGACAGAGGTGAAATTTGTAGGTACATTCTGCACTGCAGTTTGGATGCTGGTGTGATGCTGACTTGACAGTTTGGTCCTACATCCTCGACTAGGTCTGCAAGTCACTAGGCTCTTTCCCAGCATAACTCACATTCCTCTGTCCCAGGCTGGTCGCTGGCTGCACTCAGTACACGCCTACATTCATCACATGGTCTCCTCACAATGGTTGGTGTAGTAGGCCAAGTTCCCACTTGTCCTGAGACCTATCGTGAGTTCGTAGGTTATGTGTGTCTGGTGCAGCTATCAACACTCAGTGGTTGAGGTGTTCTTGTTATATGGGCTCCACTCGGGCTCATGTGGGTCTGTCCAACTGCAGGTAGTGGAGGACAGTACAGACGATTTCAAACGAATCATAATCAATGATTTATCACACTCATCGATCATGGGGATCTAAGTTATAATGAAGATAAGATGCTATCACTACTGTAAATGTGATTGTGCAGACAGGAGAGAGTTTTATAACCTCTGAGCAATCCTGAATAAAATGGTCCAAAGTGATATAGAAGTTGCAATATTTAACATGTTTAAGATGCTAGCTTAATGATTTTACATTTGAGATCAGGGATCTTATGTCTTTCTTTCTGGTGATATAATAAGGGTACTTCGTCCAGCATAAGCATCTTAAGAAAGCTTGGGGAAGGGTAGATTAGGTAGATAGTCCAACCAGGATCCAGACAACCCATTGACTTAATCAACATGATAAAGGTGACATTCAATCAGTCAGTCAGGGAAATCAGAGCCTCCCTGATTAAAATAGATGCTTGTGACAAACAGCAACAATCCATGCCATCGTGGTACAATGACATGCAATCAGCCAAGTAACAGACTGACCACCTTGTTTTAATTGTCTCTAAGACAAGTGTGAGGTACTGGGTAGCGGCATATGAAAACAGTAGCTAGCATCTGGGCGACACACCTGGCAGGCTCCTACAGAACCCGGGCTTTGATGTTGGGGCTGAGTCAGGACATTTACAGCAGAGCATCATGTGGCCATGCATCAGTGAGCATAGTTGACAGGGAATTTGCTCAGCAGGACCATTCTGTGTTTTTCTTTTATTACACTGTTAGAAGTTTGACAGTTTTATTGTAGGTAGAAGTAATAACCTAGCACTGCTGCAGTTTTAATACACTTTGGGAATCAATTTCTAAAAATACCCAAATAGTACAAATAAGTTGTTAGCAGTGGTGACTCAAAACTTTTGCGTTAATAGTAAACATAAATAGATTGTTTGGTGGTGCTCAAAATAAATAGTTTGTTGGATACAACTAGGGGGAAAAAAATAGATTGTTCGTAAAAATATCCTAAAAAAACCCAAATCCCCCCACCCTACCCCTGCAAATGAAAAGGATGCTCCCTTACAAGTGAGGAAACATCGGGATGTATTCACATCAGTAGCAGCACTCAGTCACAAACAATATACATGGGAACATGAGATTCCGTCATTTGTGTAGAACATTGTAGCCATGACAGCATACATAGAATTATGTTTGTGATTTGATACACCAGGTAACTGGCCTCCTGACATTTTTTACAGGAATGAACAACAAAACTTTATCAGTGCTTGAATCATTGTGCATGTTGAATATTATCTAACTTGTAATCATTCTGAGTGCATAGTTACAATATTTTTGGGTATTCAGCATATTTCTACTTCCTTGGGTCCAATCTATTGGGTATATTTAAACAAGTGAGTTGACATTCCAAAGTATGTCTACTTAAAACAAATACATGTTTACAGAGCAGAGTTTAGCCCCTGATGGTGTTTGGTACAATGATAGTTAGTTTGGAAAATTTGCATATGCTTCCTTAACCATGTAGCAGGAAACCCACATCAATAGCCTCATGAAGATCTGGGTTAGAATTGATCTTCAGCATGTTCAGCAACCCATGCTTGTCACATGATGCAACTACAGGGATCAGGGGGTCAGGCTCGCTGACTTGCTTCATGCTTGTTATCATATCCGAGTTGCGTAGATTGATGCTCATTATGTCACTCACTGGATTGTCTGGTCCAGAGTCAATTATTTACAGACTTCCGTCTAATAGCCAGAATATTGTTGAGTGTGGTGTTGAACAACAAACAAACACACCAGCGATAAATGTCTAAGTTACAATATGTGAGATGCGGTGTTGAGATGTATTGTTAACTGTAGTAGTGCCCATGTATGTTATGTGGTTTGTGGAAATACATGAGTTAGGACACACTGGTATGTAGGATGAAAAGGGTAATTACTGTTACCATTCTGTTGGGTTTTGGAGGATTTCATACACATCTCAGCTCTTTGTATGCAGGAAAGTTTATTGTCTTATGGTGATTTCAGCTCAGAACCACACCTTGTTATTACAGAGCTCCAGATAACTTTTTGAGCAATTGAGATTTTACTCTAGGTTTTCTATTTTAATTGGGTTATAACATTTTTCATTTGGTAACCAATGTTTTTTCACTCATCTATGCATCACTCTACTTGGTTTTTCCCAAAATTAGTGAACGTTTTGAGATTTTGAAAAAATGAAATAATGTTTTAGATGTATGTAACTGTTCTTTATATAGAGGTTTAACTCGGAAAGTAAATTAGCTTGTAATTGTGTTTAGGAAATTAGCTCCTTTGTACGCATGCTGAAAAAGCTTCATTGGGTATTAAGCGAGCTGTTTTTATAATTTGGCTTTTTCATTTAATACATGCGTTTCTGTACACAAGTTAATTGAAAGTAATTGGGTTTTGAATATTTTTGGTGGTTATTTTACGCAAAAACGCTGCTTATCTGTAGCTCTGTTTCATATCATGCATATTGAAACACTCTTTTAAAAGAAATGATATTTATTTTTACTAGTTTAGGGCTGTAACCATGGTAACAGTGACCAATTCGGTTGCAATTTTGCAACTGAAGATTATTTTGTGACGACCAAGCCCTTTATGTATGCCCTAGTCCCTCACATTGTATACTGCTAGTATGTTGGTGATGATGTTTTCACCACTGGAAATAGTTCAAACTATTGCTGACATACTCCTGCTCATTGAACTCCATACACCTCGTCTTCATGCATTGTTATTGCCATACCCCTTTCCGTGGACCCACCATGTTAAAAAAGGTTAAGGATCATTTGATTATTTCATATCACTATAGTTAATGGCATGACAGTCTTATTATAGTAATATGAAAGTATCGGGTGGTCCCTAGGCCTTCTTGTTATCATTCGTGAAACCGGTTGAGTAAATGAGTAAATTATGCATCTCATCTTTGGACTTTTGTATTTTATATATAGATATTCTTGAGTTGTTTCAGAGCTAATCATGGACTCCTTCCATTGCAGGAGATGCGGTGCTGCAGAACCTGGACCTAAAGCAGAGTGCCTTGGTATGTACTGGGTGGGGAGGGTAACTCTGCTAGTCTGCTAGTCAAACACTAGTGACATTCAGCAAGGACAAGTCACATTTCCTTATGGATTGCCACTTTTACCTTTGGGTAGATGGCAACTCTCTAGCTGTTTGCTTATGTGGACTAGTGAAAATAAAAATTATTTTCCAATCCTCACTCACTATGACAACACACACATATGAACATGAGGTTTAGTTATTTTGTGTCAAGGACTGCAGGCATGAAAACTCCACAGGATATCTGCATATTATTTCTATCGCTAATTAAACTCAGTAGTTGTGTCTGAGTTGGCCTTGGTCAGCTGGTGAACTGAAAACTGATGCAGGGTCAATAGAATCCCTCCTATTCAGTAGCTGTGTCTGAGTTGGCCTTGGTCAGCTGTTAAACCGTAGACTGATACAGGGTTGATAGAATCCCTCCTATTCAGTAGCTGTGTCTGAGTTGGCCTTAGTCAGCTGTTAAACCGTAGACTGATACAGGGTTGATAGAATCCCTCCTATTCAGTAGTTGTGTCTGAGTTGGCCTTAGTCAGCTGTTAAACCGTAGACTGATACAGGGTTGATAGAATCCCTCCTATTCAGTAGCTGTGTCTGAGTTGGCCTTAGTCAGCTGTTAAACCATAGACTGATACAGGGTTGATAGAATCCCTCCTATTCAGTAGTTGTGTCTGAGTTGGCCTTAGTCAGCTGTTAAACCATAGACTGATACAGGGTTGATAGAATCCCTCCTATTCAGTAGCTGTGTCTGAGTTGGCCTTGGTCAGCTGGTGAACTGTAGACTGATACATCATGTGTACTTTCAGGATGATCTGGACCTGCCTGTAAAGATCAAAGCTGGTCATGTTGGTGAGTAGTCTGACGTATGTACAGATCTGTTATTGGTAGGTAACCTTGTTAAAGGACTGCTAATGGCGCTCGTTCAATAGAGGTAAGTCATTGTGGCCATGTGTAACAATGGTGGTGCAATTGTATCCCCATTATGCACTGAAACCACTATAGCTGATGATTTACACAGACACCTTGGTTGTGGGTTCGTGTGTATTGACTTGACAGTGAAGACTGCCATTTGGGCAAACTGGAACTAGAGCATATTTTGTGCCTTAGACAGATGGAGGGCGAGTGACTGTACAGGATTAAAAGGAACACTTATGAGAACCAAAAGGCTTGGCTTCTCATCCTTTTTACTTTCAACTATACCTTCATTTCCCAGTAAAGTACCATTCCCTGTCCTCAACCAATTGTATAGGACCACCTGACTGAAACATCATCTGGTATCATTGATGGGGACTACAATTAATCATCATTCTTGTCACATCAGCATATCAAAACAGTATTGACCAAGGTCACGTATGAAATTGATGTTAACTACTTGCAAGGACTTTGGAAGTTTAGATATAAGTTGTTGCTCTGTGTGACTGGAGTATGTTTACCAGTGATAAAAGGTTAAGATGACGCACAGACTTATAGCTGCAGCATGATCTTTGTTTAGAGATATTTATAGTTGTTTTGTGAAACTTTGCCTAGGGCATATGAAGACAAATTAACGTTAGAGTGAAAATCTGCATTGGATTCTTGGCCATTGCAATAAGCTGCTGTCTTCAGTAGATTGCTAATGTGCAAGCAGCATTTTGAAAACAGCCATTGCTTGGACCTGTACATTCACAACAGAACAGACTTAATAGGATTCCACGCAGTAGACATGGAATATTCATGGAGGTAGATATCTGAAGGAACTCAGTATTGATTTCACATTGTTTGTGAGAGATGCTGAATGTGGTGCGTGACATATGCATTACATTTGATGTCTGGGTGACACCTACATGTGTGGCCAGGCATGCTCCAAGTCCCTGGTGTGTGGTGTTACACCTACTGGAGGTGGTGAAGCAGCAGACTATCTTCAAGTAGGCTGGTGGCTGAAGAAACTGACTCTTGATGTTGAGAATCTCTCTTGTTGTTGGTGCTGGCATCCTTGTAGGGGTGTCACGATAAATCGAAATATCGATATATTGCTATTGGGAAGCACTTAAAGTCAATAAATCGATTGTTAAATCAGTTTCTGATCAATAGTATCGATTTCAGTTAGGAATATCGATAGTTTCGATTGTATTAAATATATCAATAAAATACATGCAATGCTTTACAAATTTGTTTTTCTTTTGATCATGAGTGGTAGTTATTTACACATCAAGTTTCTTTTTCTTAAATTATTAGGGTAAAGAAAAAACAAATCAGTCATATCCCAAACTTTACTTTGTATTTGTTGTTATGGTTATCACATTCAAAGGAAACTTCAGTTCCAAGATTTAATTCAACTCTAAAATCCATCTAAAATGATACACTGAAAACTATCGATATTTATCGCAATAGTTACTTGCAATATCAATAGTTATCGCAATAGTTTCTTTCAATATCATTAGTTATCGCAATAGTGATTTCCAGACCAATTATCACCCCTACATCCTTGTATTCCAGACTCTTCTTGTGTCATGTCATCATGGTCATAGGCCCGAATGGGTGTTGTAAAATTTATACATATTTTATGTTAGCTCATTAAAAAAAATATGTGATCAAATCAAGTAATGTGTATAAAGTTCCAAACAAGGCAGATGGCTTAGTTAAAATGTTGAGAGTATGACGTTTTATAAATAAAAATTTGGCACATCTGAAATCATATTACCTAATTTTTAGGAAATTATGAAAACTACCCTCCCTTTGGTTCTGTTCTGCTATAAAATTGTTCAGTTTTCTGGTTGCCCATAGTCCAGTCCCAGACAAATTCTGCAATTCTGTGATCACGGAAAGATTGGTAGAAAATGTAACTTACCTAAGAATTGCAGAAAAGTCACGGAATTTGCCTTTATCAATCAATACACTACTTTTCATCATTATCATGATTTTCTTGCTTTTCTATCAATTTTGCAATCAAATGATGACCAATAGTTTAACATGCCATTCAAACATACATGATATTACTTTTACAATAAAACAAATCCTGAATGTTCTTGTATTACAACATAAACTATATTTTCATCTAACCATGCTAACCACTCTGCATATGTAGTAACTATTTGCATAATGTTTGTCTTGAAATGTCTAAATACCAGGGTAATATAGGAATGTGTGCCATCTCTCCGTCCATCGCATTTTGTTTCCAAAGCATAATTCAAAGACTGTTTGATATTTCTAGATCAACCTTTGTACAGATATCAGTCTGGGTATGAAGTAGTGCCTTTTGCTGTTCAGTAATTTTTGAAATATTTCCAGTTCAAATGAGAAATTGGGCTGAGGTACAAAGTGGTGCCTTTTGCTATTTAGCAATTTATATAATATTCCAAGTTTACGTTGAGAGGATAACAGTAGCAGTGAGCTAGCAGCATAATAATGAGTGTGTGAATCTGTGCCACTGACTCTTGTGAACAAGTCCCCAGGTGGCTGTTGTGCTCACGGGTTTATGTACATTACATTGTAATTTTCTCATTCCAGGAAAGTTGACATTAAAAATTCCCTGGAAGAATTTGTACACAGAGCCAGTGATAGCTCAGTTGGATGGAATCTATGCATTGGCAGTTCCCAATGCAGGTGAGTGAGACTGAGGTCATTTAGCCATTTAAGTGTTACCGTATATCGCTGTGTATAAGGCGAGTTTTTCGTACCTAAAATGAGGGGGTTAAGAAGGGGGGTCGTCTTATACACGGAGTCGAAGATCTCACATTTTTTTCCACTGGCGATGTCAACCGGCGTCCGATAGCCAGCCCAGCATTTGACAATAAAACTTCGCATTTCAACTAAATAACTGTTCCAATAACTATTTCCATACATAAACATGATTTGTATCTCTTTTCCTTGAATAAAGTTTAATAATTTCTGCAAATAAAGTTGAAATGACCCTCGCCTCGATGCAGATTGTCAAACCACCTGACACGGTAAAACAATCAACATCCGTGAGTAGAGAGCCGGAAGTACCGGTAAGCATTTGCATATTGCACATGTGACCTAACATGTGATAACCGGTGAAGCTGAAATCAATTCCCGCTGTTTTTACAGTTGTATTAACAAGTGTTGGAGACAGTGTGTACAAGTGATTGTGGAATAAACGCGCTGAATGTGAAGCAAACATAAGCCTAGTTAGTTACAACATAGTTAATTGGCGATTAAATTACTCACCATTGTCTCTTATATGTTATTACTTCATAAATGAATTTTATTTTACGGGCACCAATTTGGTGTCGTACCGTGTAAACACAAAATGGCGACGTGTGCTGGACCTATCATTGTAGAAAAAAAACCGCAAGATAAACATATTTTTATTGCATATATAAGGTTTGTGTGCACACTTGTGATGTGCTTCATTCCAGGTCGCCTTATACACGGAGTATAGGATTTTGGGTTGATTTTGAAGGCGTGTACAGGGGGGTCGTCTTATACGTGGGGTCGCCTTATACACAGCGATATACGGTAACAGAAATATATGTTCTCAGAGGTAAGACTGACTTTTAGTGTATTTGGATTGTTATTAGACACACAATGACAAATACTTCTTTGGGTTTAAAAAACCCATGAAACATGGATATAATCATGATAATGGCTCTGAATCCGAGATGGGAAACGTGACAACATGCAGGATTTTATCAACTCCAGCAAATGAGAGGATGGTGCGGACAGTCTTAGAAAATGATTTCTATGATTAAACTTCAGGGAAGGTTTTTGTTATATGATAATCTGCCATAGATCATAGTATACACCAATATCTGCCCCATATGTGGAATCTGCCGTAGATCCGATAATCTGTCACGGACAGGGGTCCGGAAACCGTCATATGCGCCGGACATGTCCGATTGGGAATCTCAAATGTCCGTTTTAAAATATTGCTTACCGGACATTTTAAAAAGTATTGTCCGGAGATTCTTAAATTTTGACCGGACATGATCAACAGTTAGGACTGAGCAGTTTCTGTCTGCAGTTGCAACACAATGAAGATTAACTACACTGACAAGCTTTGTTTGTTTTGATTGCTGTAAATACATCGTACCTACATGATAGTCCAATCGGTCAATCACTGTAATAGGCAATAAACTGAGTTGACACTGATTAATCGAGGATTAATTACTGAGAACATCTTGTTAATTTGAGTGAAAGGTGTTTACAACTGTACATTAATACCTTGCATCATCGATGTACCTCATTATCCTCACAATGCTACGATACGTAACCTCAGACAAGAAGCGAAAGCGTGACGACAGCCAGTCGACCGATGCAGATCAGTCGAGCGGATCTGCCAAACCCTCAAAGTCTGGACGATCATTTTGTAAGTCGTGGCTAACGACTTTCACTTGGTTGACATACAATGAGGATTTGCAGATTTTATTTTTTTTCAGTAGCTAGTCGTATATTGAATCTTGATTGACTGCCATTTTGCTTTCTCGGACGATCGATATCCAATTTTTTTATGGTCAATAATTAAGTACAGATGAAAAAAGTATTCAAATAACTATTGCTATCAAGGATATTTTAGTATTTGTGATTAAATTATCTGTCTTGTTTTTAAAAAAATCTTTAGTTTAAAAAAAAACTTTCCCCGTGAGGTCACGTGATAACCAAATATGGGATAATAGTCTCGATCCAAATGTTACAACGCGTACACTTGAGCAGACTCATGAATATAACTCATGAATATTAATTAGACCGTTCTCTACGTTAACAGATCGTTATTATAACAGAAACAAACATATATTTTCCATGTAAATCTAAAATGATATTATTTGTTATTAATTGTCCAGTGAATTAAACAATTTAAATTGAAACAATTCATAATTCATCATATTATGAATATGTAAACTTTTAATGTGTGTGAAAAGTCGTACTAAAATACGCTATTTGAAGGGGGCGTGGCCTAAATGCAAATGTCCGATTGGGATTTTAAATTTTCCGGACCCCTGGTCACGGATCAGAGTTCTACATATATATATATATATATATATGCATTGGCATGTGTGTCTAGTGGTAGAGCATCCACACGGAGAGCGGAAGGTCTGGGGTTCGATCCCCGGCCGCGTCATACCAAAAGACGTTAAAAGATGGTACTTGTTGTTACCCAATCTGGCGCTCAGCATTAAGGGGCTGAAACAAGGACTGGTCGGCTCGGAGTCAGTATACTGTGTCTGAGTGGGGTATTCATGTTATACTACGGCATGGTATCTCAGTGTGCTAGCACTATAAATCGGACTAGTACAAGCAGCCACACACACACACACACACATACGTGCATTCACGTCTCTATATGAGTCCAATAATCTTGGACGCAACATTAAACCCCATTTCACCTCGCCTCACTTCACCTCACATCACCCATTACCCAAAATAGGTGATAGCACAACACAGAAAAGGTCACACAGTTGTAGTACTATTGTTGTGTTGTAGGCATCAAATACAACACAGAAAAGATCACACAGTTGTATTACTATTGTTGTTTTGTAGGCATCAAGTACAACACAGAAAAGATCACACAGTTGTATTACTATTGTTGTGTTGTAGGCATCAAGCACAACACAGAAAAGGTCACACAGTTGTAGTACTATTGTTGTGTTGTAGGCATCAGGTACAACACAGAAAAGGTCACACAGTTGTAGTACTATTGTTGTATTGTAGGCATCAAGTACAACACAGAAAAGGTCACACAGTTGTAGTACTATTGTTGTGTTGTAGGCATCAAGTACAACACAGAAAAGGTCACACAGTTGTAGTACTATTGTTGTGTTGTAGGCATCAAGTACAACACAGAAAAGGTCACACAGTTGTAGTACTATTGTTGTGTTGTAGGCATCAGGTACAACACAGAAAAGGTCACACAGTTGTAGTACTATTGTTGTGTTGTAGGCATCAAGTACAATGCGGAGAAAGAGGAGAAGGCGAAGCAGGAGGCGAAGCAAAAGAAGTTGAAGCAGATTGAGGAGAGGAAGAAGGCTGAGGCTGACAAGGGTGAGTCAGCACCTCATTACTGTGTGGTGGCACATCCTCACAGCCTGATAGCTTCATGACTTGTTGTTGAAGAACTAGAATCAAAGTTGTGCCAGGCCCCAGTTAATAAGTTATGGATCGAACGTATGACCTTATGATACCCATGCTTTGGACAATTCTAGGGGTGATGATATTACAAAGTCACATCTTAGTACTGGCCAGTTACCACATTGAAAGCAAGCCTATTTGTCATAACCAAAAGACTTATCGTTTCAGACAAACCTAAGGAAGAAAAGCCAGACACGTTTGTGGAGAAAATGGCAACTCAGGTGATTAAGAACCTGCAGATAAAGGTGAACAACATCCACGTGAGATATGAGGACCGTTTTACAAATCCCAAGCGTCCGTTTGCCATCGGCATCACTCTCCAGGAACTGCTGTTTCAGGTAGCTATATAAGATAGTGTTCATTGTGCAGATTGATAGTCCTACAGTTATACTTATCCTGTATTGTCACACATTGAAATGACTTTCAGATATATTATTATACATTGAGATTGTCAATGAACATCCCTGTTTTGGGTAGAGTTATGTATACGGTGTAGTGTGTCCTGAAAAACCTGTATCAAACAGTACTGGTGAATACAAGTGACGTTAGAACATAGTTGTGTCAAAGACAGTGCAGACTCGCCTCAGCTGATTCCATCAGGATAAGTCCATACTGCCCTCAGCTGGTTCCATCAGGATCAGTGCAGACTGCCTTCAGCTGGTTCCATCAGGATCAGTGCAGACTGCCTTCAGATGGTTCCATCAGAATCAGGTTCATCTGGTTCCACCAGGATCAGTGCACTGACCCTGACACAACTGTCTGACAGATGTCTACACTGACCCTGACACAACTATCTGACAGATGTCTGTTCCAACCCTGACAGAACTATCTGACAGATGTATACACTGACCCTGACACAACTATCTGACATATGTCTACACTGACCCTGACACAACTATCTGACATATGTCTGCACTGACCCTGACACAACTATCTGACAGATGTCTACACTGACCCTGACACAACTATCTGACAGATGTATACACTGACCCTGACACAACTATCTGACAGATGTCTACACTGACCCTGACACAGCTATCTGACATATGTCTACACTGACCCTGACACAACTATCTGACATATGTATACACTGACCCTGACACAACTATCTGACAGATGTCTGCTCTGATCCTGACAACTATCTGACATATGTCTGCTCTGATCCTGACACAACTATCTGACAGATGTCTGCACTGACCCTGACAACTATCTGACAGATGTATACACTGACCCTGACACAACTATCTGACAGATGTCTGCACTGACCCTGACACAACTATCTGACAGATGTCTACACTGACCCTGACACAACTATCTGACAGATGTATACACTGACCCTGACACAACTATCTGACAGATGTCTACACTGACCCTGACACAACTATCTGACAGATGTCTGCTCTGATCCTGACAACTATCTGACATATGTCTGCTCTGATCCTGACAACCCGGGGCAACAATAGTGATGAGACACAACACACACGGAAGACTAGTGTTGTTGTACAAGACCAGAACCAGTTGAGATATTATACTGTCTGAAATTGCCTGTTGTTGTTCAAAGGTTTGGATATGTATTGATAAAATTTGGAAAAATGATGATATATCAGTGAAAGGGACATTCATCTTATGTCCCTCTTTCCCAGAAGATTATTTTTACTTATAAAATTGAATGAGTAGTTGCCATGTTTGTATTGTTGTACTAATTTTACAAGGACACATAATTTTGCAAGTCGGCTATATTACTGATACTATTGTAGTACATTTTTGAACTGTGCATCTGTATATCATTACTTCACAAGTTCTAACGTGTTATGTTGGGTTTCTTCAGACCACAGATGAGTCTTGGCAGCCATGTGTCATCAAGGATGCTGTGACCCAAATCTTCAAGGTATGAGGGGATGAGGAGGACATGTATGTCAGTACTGGGGGGATGGGGAGGACATGTATGTGTATGTCAGTACTGGGGGGATTGGGAGGACATATGTGTGTCAGTACTGGGGTTAGGGGAAGGACATGTATGTCAGTACTGGGGGGAAGGGTAGGACATGTGTGTCAGTACTGGGGTTAGGGGGAGGACATGTATGTCAGTACTGGGGGGAAGGGTAGGACATGTGTGTCAGTACTGGGGTTAGGGGGAGGACATGTATGTCAGTACTGCAGGAGGAGGACATGTCAGTAGTATGAGGATACACTTGTTGAAATAATGGTGTCGACTGGGGATGTGTTTAGTAATCTCTGTGTGTGTTTCAGCTGATCCGCCTGGACTCGCTGGGTGTGTACTGGGACAGTTGCACCAAGATGTACGACAGTCTTCCCAAGGAGGACATTCTGGTAGGTGAACCTACTGACTTCATCACTAGGGGTAGAGTGTCATTAGCTGCCTCAGTTTGCTGTTAGTGAAGGTCTAAAAATCTGCATCCCGTTGTCCTTTCTACCACACCGTGATGTAACTGATTCAGCAGCATTAATCCAAACCCAATAATTCTTGATTGGAAGTTTAATGCTATTATAATGGTGTTGTTTTCAGAATACCCTGAAATCCAATATTGCTGCACAGAATGCCCAGACAGATTACCAGTACTGTAAGTATCCTGTGTACAAGGGGATCAGTCTGCAAATTTAGCCACAAGTCTGAAGCTGGAACCTACTGTCATTTTGTTTGGTCTAGTATGCTCAGCTAGTACATAACATAACGCTAAATTCTACTGACAATGATGCAAAGATTCAAGTACATGCTAATGGACTTAAAATGAGGTAAAATGTTGTACCTCTCTAACTGATGTGGAGGCAGGAGGGTTTTCACTGGGGTGAGATCTACCTGTCTAAATGATGTATAGGCAGGAGGGTGTTCACTGGGGTGAGATCTACCTGTCTAACTGATGTATAGGCAGGAGGGTGTTCACTGGGGTGAGATCTTCCTGTCTAACTGATGTATAGGCAGGAGGGTGTTCACTGGGGATGAGATCTACCTGTCTAACTGATGTATAGGCAGGAGGGTGTTCACTGGGGTGAGATCTTCCTGTCTAACTGATGTATAGGCAGGAGGGTGTTCACTGGGGTGAGATCTTCCTGTCTAAATGATGTATAGGCAGGAGGGTGTTCACTGGGGTGAGATCTACCTGTCTAACTGATGTATAGGCAGGAGGGTGTTCACTGGGGTGAGATCTACCTGTCTAACTGATGTATAGGCAGGAGGGTGTTCACTGGGGTGAGATCTACCTGTCTAACTGATGTGGAGGCAGGAGGGTGTTCACTGGGGTGAGGCCTAACTGCTGTGGAGGTAGGAGGGTGTTCACTGGGGATGAGATGTTGTACCTAACTGCTTTGGAGGCAGGAGGGTGTTCAATGGTATGAGATGTTGTACCTAACTGCTGTAGAGGTAGGAGGGTGTTCACTGGTATGAGATGTAGCTAACTGCTGTAGAGGTAGGAGGGTGTTCACTGGGGATGAGATGTTGTACCTAAATGCTTTGAAGGTAGGAGGGTGTTCACTGGGGATAAGATCTACCTGTCTAACTGCTGTAGAGGTAGGGGGGTGTTCACTGGGGATGATATGTTGTACCTCACTGCTGTGGAGGTAGGAGGGTGTTCACTGGGGATGAGATCTACCTGTCTAACTGCTGTGGAGGTAGGAGGATGTTCACTGGGGATGAGATGTTGTACCTAACTGCTGTGAAGGTAGGAGGGTGTTTACTGGGGATGATATGTACCTGTCTAACTGCTGTGGAGGTAGGAGGGTGTTCATTGGGGATGAGATGTTGTACCTAACTGATGTGGAGATAGGAGGGTGTTCACTGGGGTGATATGTACCTGTCTAACTGATGTGGAGGTAGGAGGGTGTTCACTGGGGATGAGATGTTGTACCTTACTGCTGTGGAGGTAGGAGGGTGTTCACTGGGGATGAGATGTTGTAGCTAACTGCTGTGGAGGTAGGAGGGTGTTCACTGGGGTGATATGTACCTGTCTAACTGATGTGGAGGTAGGAGGGTGTTCACTGGGGATGAGATGTACCTAACTGATGTGGAGTTAGGAGCGTGTTCACTGGGGATGAGATGTTGTAGCTAACTGCTGTGGAGGTAGGAGGGTGTTCACTGGGGTGATATGTACCTGTCTAACTGATGTGGAGGTAGGAGGGTGTTCACTGGGGATGAGCTGTTGTACCTAACTGCTGTGGAGGTAGGAGGGTGTTCACTGGGGATGAGATGTTGTAGCTAACTGCTGTGGAGGTAGGAGGGTGTTCACTGGGGTGATATGTACCTGTCTAACTGATGTGGAGGTAGGAGGGTGTTCACTGGGGATGAGATGTTGTACCTAACTGCTGTGAAGGTGGGAGGGTGTTCACTGGGGTGAGATCTACCTGTCTAACTAATGTAGAGGTAGGAGGGTGTTCACTGGGGATGAGATGTTGTACCTAACTGCTGTGGTTGACACAAAGGACTACACTGATGGTCTGAGGGTCTGTCACGAGAAAAGGAGGGTTTGACACATTACAAATGATAGGTCTATGATAGGTTACTGTTGTCCAATGATCTTGTGAGTAAAGCCTGAGTCAGTCAGTAAGTGCCATCACCTTGGGCATGTCATGGTGATGTGTGTGTCATTTCCCTGCAGTGGTCAAGCCCATATCGTCTGTAGCACATCTCAAGCTCAATCCCAAGCCAGAAAAGAACCAATTCACTCTTCCGAAGATCTTCATGACAATAGTGTTTGACAACATCGCAGTAGCTCTCTCCAAACTACAGGTGAGTGATATGAGTGGTAGCAGCTTTCCATAGGAGCACACTGACAGGATAAGCTATGCAGTAAAACACTCCACCTATGTATGGCTGATACAAGGGATGTAAGGATTCAACGAATTTTTGGTGCATCGTGATGCCTTGGCTCATGGTTAGACTTTCAGTATCGGAAGGCCATGTATCTGTATAAGAGTGACATTTGAAATGGTATGAACATTGTCTATAATATACTATGAGTTTCATGTGTTGTTACCAGCTGGATGGTCTTGTACACCACAAGACTGAAGGTCCAGGGGTGTACACAAACATGTGTCACATCCTGTACACCGTCTAGTGACACATGTATCAAATTCATTATTCAGATTTTACAAGTTAAAGAGATGTTTGTGTGCCATTTAGATCTACTGTTGATGCCTATGTTCTAAATATGTCTGTTTTTTAATTATTCTCGGCCTTATCAAGACAAGTGTCAACTTCCATGTGTTGTATTGTGATGTTTCAGTATGACGACATGCTGGAGATGTTGGAGGCATTCGAGAGGACAGCATTGTTGGGCCTCTATCGCAAATACAAACCAGATGTGCCACTTCACAACAATGCCAAGGCCTGGTGAGGATTGGACACTTCTTTTCTGTCTTTTTTTTCATCATGACAAAACTTTTATCTTACCTTACACGTGAATGTCGGATTCTGATTGGCTGAGGCCCATTCTTTTATTGTCAATGCAACATTTGCAACATACCAACCACAATTTTGTATCTCATTTAATGATGTAAGATGCCATTCTCCAGATATTTGCGATATTTTCCGAATGAAATACATTCAGGGGGAATAACTCAGTTGTTTTTTTTGTCATTTGCAATTTTTCGATGAATGTGAAAATAAATGTAATGCCTAACTGTGGTATTCTTACCGATTCATTCCAAAGCATGCATGCATAAGACATACCTGCATTATAATTTGGTGTGCGGTAAGATAGATTTGTTGTCCACTTGTCCCTCGGGTGACATGGGTTGATGTACCCTCTATTGTCTGGCTCGGGCAACATAAACTAACATAGAGGGTATGTCAGCCCATGTCCCCCTGGAGACCAATGGACAACTCATAATGTAATGGACTACTTATAATGTTATGGACAACTTATAATGTTATGGACAACTTATAATGTAATGGACAACTTATAATGTAATGGACAACTTATAATGTTATGGACAACTTATAATGTAATGGACAACTCATAATGTAATGGACAACTTATAATGTAACAGACAACTTATAATGTAACAGACAACTTATAATGTTATGGACTACTCATGTAATGGACAACTCATAATGTAATGGACAACTTATAATATTATGGACAACTTATAATGTAATGGACGACTTATGATGTTATGGACAACTTATAATGTAATGGACGACTTATGATGTTATGGACAACTTATAATGTTATGGACATCTGATAATGTAATGGACAACTTATAATGTTATGGACAACTTACAATGTAATGGACAACTTATAATGTAATGGACAACTTATAATGTTATGGGACCCGTGAAGATCCGGTGTAGCATAGGTCTTCAGCAACCCATGCTTGCTGTTAAAAGGCTACTGTGCTTGTCATAAGAGGCGACTAGCGGGATCGGATGGTCAGACTCGCTGACTTGGTTGATGTCTGTCATCGATCCCAATTGCGTGGATCGATGCTCATGATGTCAATCACTGGATTGTCTGGTCCAGACTGGATTATTTACAGACCGCTGTCATATGACTGGAATATTGCTGAGTGCGACATTAAACAACAAACAAACAAACAAACAAATATAATGTAATGGGCAACTTATATTGTAATAGACAACTTCTAATGTTAATACTTAGCTGGACATTAACATGTAGTAGTAGAACATAGTCCTGGGTTTAGAGGATACTGCTGAGGTCACTGCTCAGCAGGTAGTAGCAGGTGGTACTCTGTCTACACAGATGTGTGCTCTGTGATTCAGGTGGCATTATGCCTACAATGCTGTCCTTGAGGAGACAGTTCGACGGCGCCGACGGATGTTCTCCTGGTCTCATATTATTCAACACAGGCTGGCAATGAAGCGATACAGAGAGGCATATGTAAAGAAGCTTGACAAGGGAAAGGCTTCGGGAGATGTTCAGAAGGCAATCGATGTAAGTTGTACCTCAAGGAACAACACACTTCAAAAGTAAAGAAGAAAACAAAATAATCGTTCTTATACTTGAAAATCCTACATTTCAGTATATTTCTTGTGGTATGCCTTCATTTGATGCATGTATACATATGAGACTATTGTGTTTACAGGAATGTGAGAAGCTATTGGATGTGTTGAGCATCACCCTGATGAAGCAGCAGGCTGAGGTGGAGGTAAGAGCTGCAAGATGATATACAAAGACCCTTTGGGGAGGTCCTGGGCAGTATGTCGAGGTAAGTGCTGCAAGACGATATACAGAGTCCCTGTGGGGAGGTCCAGGGCAGTAGGTGGAAGTAAGTGCTGCAAGACGATATACATAGTCCCTGTGGGGAGGTCCAGGGCAGTAGGTGGAGGTAAGTGCTGCAAGACGATATACAGAGTCCCTCTGGGAAGGTCCAGGGCAGTAGGTGGAGGTAAGTGCTGCAAGACGATATACATAGTCCCTGTGGGGAGGTCCTGGACACTAGGTGGAAGTAAGTGCTGCAAGACGATATACAGAGTCCCTGTGGGGAGGTCCAGGGCAGAAGGTTGAGGTAAGTGCTGCAAGACAATATACAGAGTCCCTGTGGGGAGGTCCTGGACACTAGGTGGAGGTAAGTGCTGCAAGACAATATACAGAGTCCCTGTGGGGAGGTCCAGGGCAGTAGGTGGAAGTAAGTGCTGCAAGACGATATACAGAGTCCCTGTGGGGAGGTCCAGGGCAGTAGGTGGAAGTAAGTGCTGCAAGACGATATACATAGTCCCTGTGGGGAGGTCCAGGGCAGTAGGTGGAAGTAAGTGCTGCAAGACGATATACAGAGTCCCTGTGGGGAGGTCCAGGGCAGTAGGTGGAGGTAAGTGCTGCAAGACGATATACAGAGTCCCTGTGGGGAGGTCCAGGGCAGTAGGTGGAAGTAAGTGCTGCAAGACGATATACATAGTCCCTGTGGGGAGGTCCAGGGCAGAAGGTTGAGGTAAGTGCTGCAAGACAATATACAGAGTCCCTGTGGGGAGGTCCTGGACACTAGGTGGAGGTAAGTGCTGCAAGACAATATACAGAGTCCCTGTGGGGAGGTCCAGGGCAGTAGGTGGAGGTAAATGCTGCAAGACGATATACATAGTCCCTGTGGGGAGGTCCAGGGCAGTAGGTGGAAGTAAGTGCTGCAAGACGATATACATAGTCCCTGTGGGGAGGTCCAGGGCAGAAGGTTGAGGTAAGTGCTGCAAGACAATATACAGAGTCCCTGTGGGGAGGTCCTGGACACTAGGTGGAGGTAAGTGCTGCAAGACAATATACAGAGTCCCTGTGGGGAGGTCCAGGGCAGTAGGTGGAGGTAAATGCTGCAAGACGATATACATAGTCCCTGTGGGGAGGTCCAGGGCAGTAGGTGGAAGTAAGTGCTGCAAGACGATATACATAGTCCCTGTGGGGAGGTCCAGGGCAGTAGGTGGAGGTAAGTGCTGCAAGATGATATACAGAGTCCCTGTGGGGAGGTCCAGGGCAGTAGGTGGAAGTAAGTGCTGCAAGACGATATACATAGTCCCTGTGGGGAGGTCCAGGGCAGTAGGTGGAAGTAAGTGCTGCAAGACGATATACAGAGTCCCTCTGGTAAGGTCCTGGCTGGTAGGTGGAGGTAAGAGCTGCAAGACGATATACAGAGTCCCTGTGGGGCAACTCCGTCTACTTGGACATGATTGGAATTAGGTGTATAACCACAATTGATGGTGTATTATGGATGTTTTCGTTACAATTGGGTAGGATAATCTGTGTAATTGTGTTTTATCATACTGTGACCAGTATTTTGTTGATGGAAGGAGACCCAGGTAATTGATGGGCTGGAGGACAGTAGGAAATAGACCCTGCTGATTCTCTTGTGAATGTTCACTCTTGGTGACCATGGCATGGCTTCTCATGTGGGTTTCTGTGCAGGCTGCCAAGCTTGGGGCTCAACGCAAAGAGGAACAGGGAAGTGGTTGGTTTGGTGGCTGGTTCGGAGGAAAGAAGAAGAAAGCAACTGAAAAGCCTGGAAATGATATTCGTAAGTAACACAGATGGCAACACAGATGGTGCTATGCAGGCTTTTGTTGAGCATACCCCTGAAATACGTTGTTGGGTTATATTCAAGTCATCCCAGTCGGGCATGTTTTTCCCTAGCACAGAGATCTTATTATAAAACATGATTTTTTGTCCATAAAATTGATGTGAAGATGGAGTATTAGAAACAAAATATGACCTGATATACAGGATTGGAAATGATGCAGGCAAAACCGAGGAATAACCTTTTCAGTTTGTGATGTCTGATGGTGATGTTTGTATATTGCAGAGGAGAAATTCTATGAGCAGTTCTCTCTGGATGAGAAGAACAAGCTGTATGGAGCTATAGGCTATGAGGAGAATGAGTCTGATCCTACACTGCCAATAGATGTAAGTACCCCGGAATGCCAGCACCCTGGTGATTGTCAGACCAGTAGCACTCATCAGTTGTGTTGTAGATAACCAGTAATATCTAAATCTTGTCATTTCAGTACATTGCAGTCCGACTGGTTACTAAGCTGAACAATGTCTCCGTTTCTCTCCGAGATCCAACAAAAAAGTAAGCTTTATTCTTCAATACATTGCGGAATTCAGTTTTAACCTTTGATGTATTCCACATTTTCTTGTGTCTAGTGTGCACTGGAGTATAGTGTGCACTGCATACACAGAGTCGCTGTGTGGTGTACAGAGTGTCACTGTGTGGTGTACAGAGCATCACTGTATGGTGTACAGAGTGTCACTGTATGGTGTAGAGAGTGTCACTGTATGGTGTACAGAGTGTCACTGTGCGGTGTACAGAGTGTCACTGTATGGTGTACAGAGTGTCACTGTATGGTGTACAGAGTGTCACTGTGCGGTGTACAGAGTGTCACTGTGTGGTGTACAGAGTGTCACTGTGTGGTGTACAGAGTGTCACCGTATGGTGTACAGAGTGTCACTGTATGGTGTAGAGAGTGTCACTGTGCGGTGTACCGAGTGTCACTGTATGGTGTACAGTGTCACTGTATGGTGTAGAGAGCGTCACTGTGCGGTGTACAGAGTATCACTGTGTGGTGTACAGAGTGTCACTGTGTGGTGTACAGTGTGTCACCGTATGGTGTACAGAGTGTCACTGTATGGTGTACAGAGTGTCACTGTGCGGTGTACAGAGTGTCACTGTGTGGTGTACAGAGTGTCACTGTGTGGTGTACAGAGTGTCACTGTGCGTTGTACAGAGTGTCACTGTATGGTGTACAGAGTGTCACTGTGCGGTGTACAGAGTGTCACTGTGTGGTGTACAGAGTGTCACTGTGTGGTGTACAGAGTGTCACTATGTGGTGTACAGAGTGTCACTGTATCGTGTAGAGGGTCACTGTGCGGTGTACAGTATCACTGTGTAGTGTACAGAGCGTCACTGTGTGGTGTACAGAGTGTCACTGTATCGTGTACAGAGTGTCACTGTGCGGTGTACAGTATCACTGAGTGGTGTACAGAGCGTCACTGTGTGGTGTACATAGTGTCACTGTGTGGTGCACAGAGTGTCACTGTGTGGTGTATAAATTGTCACTGTGGTGTAGAGTGTCTCTGTGCGCTGTACAGTATCACTGTGGTGTACAGAGAGTCACTGTGGTGTACAGTGTCACTGTGTGGTGTACAGAGTGTCACTGCGGTGTACAGAGTGTCACTGTATGGTGTACAGAGTGTCACTGTATGGTGTAGAGAGTGTCACTGTGCGGTGTACAGAGTGTCACTGTGTGGTGTACAGAGTGTCACTGTGTGGTGTCCAGTGTGTCACTGTATGGTGTACAGAGTGTCACTGTGGTGTACCCACTGTGTGGTGTATAGTGTGACTATGGTGTACATAGTGTCACTGTGTAGTGTACCCACTGTGTGGTGTATAGTGTCAGTATGGTGTACAGAGTGCCACTGTGGTGTACCCACTGTGTGGTGTACAGAGTGTCACTGTGTGGTGTACAGAGGGTCACTGTGTGGTGTACAGAGTGTCACTGTGTGGTGTACCCACTGTGTGGTGTATAGTGTGACTATGGTGTACAGAGTGTCACGGTGTGGTGTACAGAGTGTCACTGTGTGGTGAACAGTATCACTGTGGTGTACAGAGGGTCACTGTTTGGTGTACAGAGTGTCACTGTATGGTGTACAGAGTGTCACTGTGGTGTACCCACTGTGTGGTGTATAGTGTGACTATGGTGTACATAGTGTCACTGTGTAGTGTACCCACTGTGTGGTGTATAGTGTCAGTATGGTGTACAGAGTGCCACTGTGGTGTACCCACTGTGTGGTGTACAGAGTGTCACTGTGTGGTGTACAGAGTGTCACTGTGTGGTGTACATAGTGTCACTGTGTGGTGTATAGTGTCAGTATGGTGTACAGAGTCACTGTGGTGTACCCACTGTGTGGTGTATAGTGTGACTATGGTGTACAGAGTGTCACTGTGTGGTGTACAGTATCACTGTGGTGTACAGAGCGTCACTGTGTGGTGTACAGAGCGTCACTGTATGGTGTACCCACTGTGTGGTGTATAGTGTGACCATGGTGTACAGAGTGTCACTGTATGGTGTACAGAGTGTCACTGTGTGGTGTACAGAGTGTCACTGTGTGGTGTACAGAGGGTCACTGTATGGTGTACAGAGTGTCACTGTATGGTGTACAGAGTGTCACTGTATGGTGTACAGAGTGTCACTGTGCGGTGTACAGTATCACTGAGTGGTGTACAGAGCGTCACTGTGTGGTGTACATAGTGTCACTGTGTGGTGCACAGAGTGTCACTGTGTGGTGTATAAATTGTCACTGTGGTGTAGAGTGTCTCTGTGCGCTGTACAGTATCACTGTGGTGTACAGAGAGTCACTGTGGTGTACAGTGTCACTGTGTGGTGTACAGAGTGTCACTGCGGTGTACAGAGTGTCACTGTATGGTGTACAGAGTGTCACTGTATGGTGTAGAGAGTGTCACTGTGCGGTGTACAGAGTGTCACTGTGTGGTGTACAGAGTGTCACTGTGTGGTGTCCAGTGTGTCACTGTATGGTGTACAGAGTGTCACTGTGGTGTACCCACTGTGTGGTGTATAGTGTGACTATGGTGTACATAGTGTCACTGTGTAGTGTACCCACTGTGTGGTGTATAGTGTCAGTATGGTGTACAGAGTGCCACTGTGGTGTACCCACTGTGTGGTGTACAGAGTGTCACTGTGTGGTGTACAGAGGGTCACTGTGTGGTGTACAGAGTGTCACTGTGTGGTGTACCCACTGTGTGGTGTATAGTGTGACTATGGTGTACAGAGTGTCACGGTGTGGTGTACAGAGTGTCACTGTGTGGTGAACAGTATCACTGTGGTGTACAGAGGGTCACTGTTTGGTGTACAGAGTGTCACTGTATGGTGTACAGAGTGTCACTGTGGTGTACCCACTGTGTGGTGTATAGTGTGACTATGGTGTACATAGTGTCACTGTGTAGTGTACCCACTGTGTGGTGTATAGTGTCAGTATGGTGTACAGAGTGCCACTGTGGTGTACCCACTGTGTGGTGTACAGAGTGTCACTGTGTGGTGTACAGAGTGTCACTGTGTGGTGTACATAGTGTCACTGTGTGGTGTATAGTGTCAGTATGGTGTACAGAGTCACTGTGGTGTACCCACTGTGTGGTGTATAGTGTGACTATGGTGTACAGAGTGTCACTGTGTGGTGTACAGTATCACTGTGGTGTACAGAGCGTCACTGTGTGGTGTACAGAGCGTCACTGTATGGTGTACCCACTGTGTGGTGTATAGTGTGACTATGGTGTACAGAGTGTCACTGTATGGTGTACAGAGTGTCACTGTGTGGTGTACAGAGTGTCACTGTGTGGTGTACAGAGGGTCACTGTATGGTGTACAGAGTGTCACTGTATGGTGTACAGAGTGTCACTGTATGGTGTACAGAGTGTCACTGTGTGGTGTACCCACTGTGTGGTGTATAGTGTCAGTATGGTGTATGGAGCGTCACTGTTTGGTGAACATAGTGTCAGTGTATGGTGTGCAGAGTGTCACTGTGTGGTGTACCCACTGTGTGGTGTATAGTGTCAGTATGGTGTATGGAGTGTCACTGTGCGGTGTACAGAGTGTCACTGTATGATGTACAGAGTGTCACTGTATGGTGTACAGAGTGTCACTGTGTGGTGTACAGAGTGTCACTGTATGGTGTACAGAGTGTCACTGTGTGGTGTACCCACTGTGCGCTGTACAGTATCACTATGGTGTACAGTGTCACTGTGGTGTACAGAGTGTCACTGTGTGGTGTACAGAGCATCACTGTGTGGTGTACAGAGTGTCACTGTATGGTGTACAGAGTGTCACTGTATGGTGTACAGAGTGTCACTTTGTGGTGTACAGTGTCACTGTATGGTGTACAGAGTGTCACTGTATGGTGTACAGTGTCACTGTATGGTGTACAGAGTGTCACTGTATGGTGTACAGAGCGTCACTGTGGTGTACAGAGTGTCACTGGTGTACAGAGTGTCACTGTATGGTGTACAGAGCGTCACTGTGTGGTGTACAGAGTGTCACTGTGTGGTGCACAGAGTGTCACTGTATGGTGTACAGAGTGTCACTGTGTGGTGTACATAGTGTCACTGTGTGGTGTACAGAGTGTCGCTGTGTGGTGTACAGAGTGTCACTATTGTGTACAGAGCGTCACTGTATGGTGTACAGAGCGTCACTGTGTGGTGTACAGAGTGTCACTGTGTGGTGCACAGAGTGTCACTGTATGGTGTACAGAGCGTCACTGTGTGGTGTACAGAGTGTCACTGTGTGGTGTACAGAGTGTCACTGTGGTGTACCCACTGTGTGGTGTACAGAGTGTCACTCTATGGTGTACAGTGTCACTGTATGGTGTACAGAGTGTCACTGTGTGGTGTATAGTGTCAGTATGGTGTACGGAGTGTCACTGTGGTGTACCCACTGTGTGGTGTATAGCGTGACCATGATGTACAGAGTGTCACTGTGTGGTGTATAGTGTCAGTATGGTGTACAGAGTGTCACTGTGGTGTACCCACTGTGTGGTGTATAGTGTGACTATGGTGTACAGAGTGTCACTTTGTGGTGTATGCTGTATGCTGTATGCTGTAAAGCTTTTGTGTTATCTTTCAGAGATCCCCAGGTGCTCAGACTGCAGCTGAAGGATGTGTTCACGTCTGTAGGGCAGAGACCAGCAGCCAGTGCTGTGAGGTAAGAGACCACAGCGTCCGGAGGAGAAGGTTTTGCTTCAAGGGACAAGCTGTAAACACTTGTGGTGTAAACATGTTACTGTGGTGTCAACATGCTGGCGGATACAGGCTGAGTTGTTTCTGTTTTAGTGTGGAGGCCAAGATAGACCGACTCAGTGTATTTGGAACCCCCCAGAACAACGCCACGCCTAAGATGGTTACATCTCTCGTACAGGAAGCTGATCAAGTATACTCACTCCTCTCCATCAACCTGGAGACCAACCCTCTAGATGGTCTGGCCGACACCCGGGTTAAAGTGTCCTCCAGACCTCTAGAGATAGCATATGATGCTGTGAGTACAATCCCACACCTTTTCCCCTCCCCATGTTTTAATAAATAATTTATGCATTGTAATTTGTCAAATATCTAGATGATAAAAAAACAAGCTGTTTAAAGCTATAATTGATCATCTTCTAGTGATGATGAAAAGTATTTGTGATGCTGCCACTGCATTGTTGTGTGTGTACATGCTGTATGTTTTTATGGTCACAGATTACAGTGAATCAGCTTGGCGACTTCTTTAAACCTCCCAAATCTGTGCGGTTGAAGCAGTGAGTGTTCTTGTCAACATCATCTGTTTACTAGATCTGTGTTTGTAGTAAATATTCTGAATATATAAAACTAGCTATGTTATAGTATTTACAAGCGAAAAGAAATATAAACATATTATATGTAAATGAATTGTTCAGTGTTTGACACTACACTCATCATTATTTTAGCTATATCATCACCAGCCCCCAATCTTTTCATGACTTTGCATTTTTTAAGACTCTCTCAAGCGGCTATGGCGAAGTTTGATGAAGTTAAGGAGCAGTCAGCCACGGGTCTACAGCACTCGATTGAACAACACAAGTACACCGAGATCAGCGTTGATCTCATGTCCTCCTACGTCCTGGTACCAGAGGGGGGTCTCATGAAGAAGTAAGTATAGACTGCAGCAATACTGTCAGTTCAGATTGTAGAAGCAGTCAGTATAGCCGCAGATAAAGTGAGTGACTGTATGTATTTTGATGATTATTTAATCTTTAATTTGCAGAGGTGTGAAAATGCTCCTTCTCGACCTCGGTAGCCTCAAGGTTTCCAGTGAAAAGAACCAGTCTCAGCAAATCAAGGGCAAGGTCAGTATTACTCAGCCCAGGAGAAATATGTTTTGGTATAAAGGATTTTGTTGTGGTATGCCACAGTCAGCCTTGTCCAAGGCATGTCAAGAAGGCAGACAAAGCAACAGTTGATACTATTAACAGTATCCCATGAAAAACTGGATGTGATGACTTGCCAGCAGGATGTGGGGTCTTGCCATGAGGGTGAGGGGACTTGTCATGAGGGTGTGGGGACTTGCCAGCAGGGTGTGGGGACTTGCCAGCAGGGTGTGGGGACTTGTCAGCAGGGCGTGGGGACTTGCCAGCAGGGTGTGGGGACTTGTCATGAGGGTGTGGGGACTTGCCAGTAGAGTGTGGGGACTTGTCAGCAGGGTGTGGGGCCTTGCCATGAGGGTGTGGGGACTTGCCAGCAGGAAGTGGGGACTTGCCAGCAGGGTGTGGGGACTTGTCATAAGGAAGTGGGGACTTGCCATGAGGGTGCCGGGACTTGCCAGCAGGGTGTGGTGACTTGCCAGCAGGATGTGGGAACTTGCAAAGAGGGTGTGGGGACTTGCCAGCAGGATGTGGGGACTTGCCAGCAGGGTGTGGGAACTTGCCATGATGGTGTGGTGATTTGCCAGCAGGGTGTGGGGACTTGTCATGAGGGTGTGGGGACTTGCCGTTAGGGTGTGGGGACTTGCCGTGAGGGTGTGGGGACTTGCCGTGAGGGTGTGAGGACTTGCCAAGCAGGGCGTTGGGACTTGCGAGCAGGGTGTGGGGACTTGTCATGAGTGGTGTGGTGACTTGTCATGAGTGGCGTGGGGACTTGCCAGCAGGGTGTGGTGACTTGTCATAAGGGTGTGGGGACTTGCCATGAGGGTGTGGGGACTTGTCATGGAAGGTGAGGGGACTTGCCAGCAGGGTATGGGGACTTGCCAGCAGGGTTTGGGGACTTGCCAGCAGGGCGTGGGGACTTGCCAGCAGGCTGTGGGGACTTGCCAGCAGGGTATGGGGACTTGCCAGCAGGGTGTGGGGACTTGCCAGCAGGGTGTGGGGACTTGTCATGAGGGTGTTGGGACTTGCCGTTAGGGTGTGGGGACTTGCCGTGAGGGTGTGGGGACTTGCCGTGAGGGTGTGAGGACTTGCCAAGCAGGGCGTGGGGACTTGACAGCAGGGTGTGGTGACTTGTCATGAGTGGTGTGGTGACTTGTCATGAGTGGCGTGGGGACTTGCCAGCAGGGTGTGGTGACTTGCCAGCAGGGTGTGGTGACTTGTCATAAGGGTATGGGGACTTGCCATGAGGGTGTGGGGACTTGTCATGGAAGGTGAGGGGACTTGCCAGCAGGGTATGGGGACTTGCCAGCAGGGTTTGGGGACTTGCCAGCAGGGCGTGGGGACTTGCCAGCAGGCTGTGGGGACTTGCCAGCAGGGTATGGGGACTTGCCAGCAGGCTGTGGGGACTTGCCAGTAGGGTGTGGGGACTTGTCATGAGGGTGTTGGGACTTTCCAGCAGGGTGTGAGGTTTTGTCATGAGGGTGTGGGGACTTGTCAGGAGGGTGTGGGGACTTGCCAGCAGTTCGTGGAGACTTGTCATGAGGGTGTGGGGACCTGCCAGCAGGGTGTGAGGACTTGTCATGAGAGTGCGGGGACTTGGCAGCAGGGTGTGGTGACTTGCCAGCAGGGTGTGGTGACTTGGCAGCAGGGTGTGGTGACTTGTCATGAGGGTGTGGGGACTTGACAGCAGGGTGTGGGGACTTGTCAGGAGTGGTGTGGTGCTGCCCAAAGGGAGTGTTTGGGTGGCATCTTGTAAAAGATAGATGTACAAGTGATGTACATAGTTCTATGGATGAACAGCTTAATGCGACATTTCGGTGTAGATACTAACACCATTACCATGCAAGTTACATCATTTGTACATCAGTAGCTATGGTTGTGTGTTGTCAGGTGGACATCATTGTACCATTGTAACCATGGTAACAGTTGTATATTGTGTTGTCAGATGGACAGTCTGGAGGAGGTGATGGCCAGGGCATATGACAAGTTCAACATTCAGCTTGCACGTATACAGCTGCTGTTCATACATCCAGGTACATGACAGGAACCTTGATTTCCTCCATCATTGTGTGAGAGTGTTGGCTTAATCAGACAGTGTCACTGGAGAGTGTATGGTCAGTCAGCCAGTGTCACTGGAGACTGTGTATGGTCAGTCAGCCAGTGTCACTGGAGACAGTGTATGGTCAGTCAGCCAGTGTCACTGGAGACAGTGTATGGTCAGTCAGCCAGTGTCACTGGAGACAGTGTATGGTCAGTCAGACAGTGTCACTGGAGACAGTGTATGGTCAGTCAGCCAGTGTCACTGGAGACAGTGTATGGTCAGTCAGACAGTGTCACTGGAGACAGTGTATGGTCAGTCAGCCAGTGTCACTGGAGACAGTGTATGGTCAGTCAGACAGTTTCACTGGAGACAGTGTATGGTCAGTCAGCCAGTGTCACTGGAGACAGTGTATGGTCAGTCAGACAGTGTCACTGGAGACAGTGTATGGTCAGTCAGCCAGTGTCACTGGAGACAGTGTATGGTCAGTCAGACAGTGTCACTGGAGACAGTGTATGGTCAGTCAGACAGTTTCACACGAGACAGTGTATGGTCAGTCAGCCAGTGTCACTGGAGACAGTGTATGGTCAGTCAGACAGTGTCACTGGAGACAGTGTATGCTCAGTCAGCCAGTGTCACTGGAGACAATGTAATGTCAGTCAGCCAGTGTCACTGGAGACAGTGTATGGTCAGTCAGACAGTGTCACTGGAGACAGTGTAATGTCAGTCAGCCAGTGTCACTGGAGACAATGTATGGTAAGTCAGACAGTGTATGGTCATTCAGACAGTGTATGGTCAGTCAGCCAGTGTATGGTCAGTCAGCCAGTGTCACTGGAGACAGTGTATGGTCAGTCAGCCAGTGTATGGTCAGTCAGACAGTGTATGCTCAGTCAGCCAGTGTCACTGGAGACAGTGTATGGTCAGTCAGCCAGTGTCACTGGAGACAGTGTATGGTCAGTCAGACAGTGTCACTGGAGACAGTGTATGGTCAGTCAGACAGTGTCACTGGAGACAGTGTAATGTCAGTCAGCCAGTATCACTGGAGACTGTATGGTCAGTCAGACAGTGTCACTGGAGACAGTGTATGGTCAGTCAGACAGTGTCACTGGAGACAGTGTAATGTCAGTCAGCCAGTATCACTGGAGACAGTGTATGGTCAGTCAGACAGTGTATGGTCAGTCAGACAGTGTATGTTCAGTCAGCCAGTGTCACTGGAGACAGTGTATGGTCAGTCAGACAGTGTATGTTCAGTCAGCCAGTGTCACTGGAGACAGTGTATGGTCAGTCAGACAGTGTATGATCAGTCAGCCAGTGTCACTGGAGACAGTGTATGGTCAGTCAGACAGTGTATGGTCAGTCAGCCAGTGTCACTGGAGACAGTGTATGGTCAGTCAGACAGTGTATGGTCAGTCAGCCAGTGTCACTAGAGACAGTGTATGGTCAGTCAGACAGTGTATGGTCAGTCAGCCAGTGTCACTGGAGACAGTGTATGGTCAGTCAGACAGTGTCACTGGAGACAGTGTATGGTCAGTCAGACAGTGTATGGTCAGTCAGACAGTGTATGTTCAGTCAGCCAGTGTCACTGGAGACAGTGTATGGTCAGTCAGACAGTGTATGTTCAGTCAGCCAGTGTCACTGGAGACAGTGTATGGTCAGTCAGACAGTGTATGGTCAGTCAGCCAGTGTCACTGGAGACAGTGTATGTTCAGTCAGCCAGTGTCACTGGAGACAGTGTATGGTCAGTCAGACAGTGTATGGTCAGTCAGCCAGTGTCACTGGAGACAGTGTATGGTCAGTCAGACAGTGTATGGTCAGTCAGCCAGTGTCACTGGAGACAGTGTATGGTCAGTCAGACAGTGTATGGTCAGTCAGACAGTGTATGGTCAGTCAGCCAGTGTCACTAGAGACAGTGTATGGTCAGTCAGACAGTGTATGTTCAGTCAGCCAGTGCATGGTCAGTCAGACAGTGTGAGACAGTATCACTGGAGACAATGTATCGTCAGTCAGATGGTGTCACTGGACTGTTTCATGTGTAGTTTAAGTTTGTTGGTGACTGTTTGTTGTTTTTTCGGCAGGTGAGGACTGGCACAAGGCACGCTGGGCGGGACAGTCAGACATGCACATCCTTCGACCAATATCCATCAATATCGACCTTCAGAAGTGTATGTTTGACAAAGACCCCAGGATGGCTAAGTATGTTAACATTTTATCTTGCCTAGTCAGGATCTGCACTTGCCTTACTTTTCACAGGCAAGCTGTGTGTGCATGGTGTGTAATGATGCTGTGTTTTGCAGGATGAAGGTGGCTGGTGAGTTGCCCCTGCTTAGCTTGAGCATCTCAGACTATCGACTGCAGGAGATCATGGCGCTGGCCCAGGGCATCCCCACTGGAGGAGGAGGAGAAGCGGCCCCTCCAGATGAAGTAGATGAAGAGATATTCAAGGTGAAGTTTTAAAAGTTGTTAGGCAACAGTTGTCAGGAATTTGTAATGAGTTTGTCATATTTCCCACACAAATGTCCCTGTTGAAGTACAGCATGTTGCTGTACATTGTCAGTCATGTGAGAAGTGGGATGGCACAGGTGGATCAAACCACTGGTGATGTTGTCATCATTATGTGTGGTTGATAACCCAACTGTTGGTTGCTGTAGGCAACAACTAATTAAAGTACTGTCGGAAATGCCAGAAAACTGCTTTTTGCCTGTTAAAAAAGGATATAATTTTTCACAGACTGTTATTGAAATATCGAATAACTACCGATCGCCCTACCTGTGGTTTGAAGTATTTCAGTCACAAGGAGTCCTATCGACACGTTTACAGGAGACAAATTCGAAGGAAACATGAAGTTCACATTTATTCTAAGTCCAATGATGGCAGTCTGAAACGGTCTATAGAAATATGCGCACGTGACTCCGTTACAATGATGATAATGTAGTCATCATAAAACATCTACTCCACACACAAAAATCATTTTGAGAAAATCCTAGATGTGCATCTTCTAAAATGACAAAATGACGCTGCGTTTTTTGTGTTAACATTGCTCCCATAATGCATGTTACATTACACTTGCATAGCCACAACCAAGGTACACGATATGGAAGTTCTTTACACTTTAGAGAAAAACAGGGAAACCATTTAGTAATTTAGATAAGGTGAATTACCATACTGCCCAAGCTATGGTGTTTTCAATTCATACCATCAAGTCTACGGTATGATAAGAAAACAAATTAGGTATAGGTGTGGTCTCAAAAACAAAACTGGGGCGTAAAAGGATATTAGACAGCTTTGATACTGGGTGACTAGGCGTATAGTGTACAAGCTTCATGAGCAGGTAACCCTGACTTGTAGTAGAATTTGGGAGGAATTCAACATACAATTAATGTTTCCCGGACTGCACTATTGCTCTCCAAGAGATGGGATTTTGATACACTGCGCGTGGCGATGACCGAGCAATTTTCAGGGGAAAATATTCCATCCTGTCTATTAGGTCATATTATCTCCATAACTATCACAGTCAGGGCGTCCAGATAATTTACCTTGATGAATCATTCCACTGACTACATGTGGCTATCGGCAGATGGACAAAAAGCACCCTTGGTACCATCAGGTAAAGGTAATCGTGTCATGTTTTGCACGCTGCAACCCATGATATGGGGCTTATTAAGGAAATTATAGGAGGTGATGTGTTCATAGACTGGTTGGAACTTCAGCTTTTGCTCATTTTAAACAACGTCAGTGTGATTGTCATGGATAACGCCAGTTAATATAACATCTGGGAATCAGATACTGTCGCCCAAACCATGAGTAGTCTGAAGGTGACAATACAGGAATATATGACATTGTCGACTTCAGACCATATGAAACGAAAGTTCAACTCATGGAGAAAATTCGGCTGAATAAGAAACCAGTAAAGTACAAGACATATGTCCTGGCAGAACAACACGGTTACGTTGTCTTATGTATGGCAGTCAGACATTGTGAGCTCAACCCTGTTGTGCCGATCTTGGCTAAGTGTAACAGGTTCGTAGCAAGACATAACACAACATTCAAAAGTACAGATTTATATACATCATCAGCGGAGATAAATGCTACCTCAAGAAACCATCTGTAGAACAACAAATACTTCTGGATTCCAAATACTCACCCAGTTTCATAGCTCTTAACTAGTCCATCATGTTCCCAAGCAAATATAATGCAGTACATATCCTAAATTGCTACCTCATCAACGCATGTCAATTAAGTACAATAACAGCAATATTTTGAGACCAACCCCAACTCGGTGACATTTGCACCTGGGAGAATGCACAGGACTGTGTGAGGTCATCACCTCGGGACAGGTGTTAGGTAAATGGTAAAATGTTATAGGCCATTTCATACATGCATGACAACACACGAATCTTTTCTAAGTTTATCATCATTTTACCTGTAAAAGTACATTTTAAGGGTTATCACAGTGTGAGGTAGGACGGCCTAGATTTGGGCAATTCGTGTTATTTTGATATATGCTCTTTTTATAGTCCTATGACTCGTATTTATTAAATGAAGCCAGAAAAGCTGTTTTCTAACATTTCCGACAGTACTTTACGAGATATTGATTAGTAGATTTGCCCAAGTACACGGTTTCTACCATATAATGGATATTGTTATTGTTGCCATAATCGAATCCAATAGACTTGGTATCATTGGTAAATATGCCAGTGAGGTCACCCGACTGAAACTGCTTTTAATAACCTACATATATTGATGCCCACCTGCTTCGTAAACTGTGGCCTAATATTCCTAAGAAGTTATAGAGGTTCTGTAAATAAGCACGGCTCGATAAAGTATGTTATGTAGATTGGATCACTTTATCAGTCATTTTGAGAAGATGTTTTTGTTTTAGTGTACAGTTGTTGTGTGTTAGAGAGTCAGTGTTGTGTGTTGTAGGGCCCCAACACGATGGTGTCTGTGGCAGGAGACGAGGGAGCCCTGCTGAACCGAGCCTCCAAAATACAGGTGCAACAAGGGGACAAGGTGAGTGGAGATGAGCTGCATACATATACATGTGGGTTTCACCAAAGTGTTTCAACAACCTGCATCACTTCTAACATGGACATCGCGAGATAGAGCTGATATGTACTGCTGAGAGCAACTTTACACCATGAAGATCCGGGTTAGAATTGGTCATCGGCAACCCATGTTTATGGTATCAAGCAGTGACTAACGGGATCGGGTGGTCAGGCTCACTGACTTGGTTGAGGCATGTCATTGTATGTCAAATGCATAGATCGATGCTCTTGATGTCAATCATTGGATTCTCTGGTCCAGTTTCAATTATTTGCAGATCACCGTCATATAGCTGGAATATTGCTGAGTGAGGCACAACAAACAAACAAACAAACAAACAAACAAACAAACAAACCAGTCACTCCCTGTGTCTTGTCCCTGACCCTGTTCTTCCTATTCTCACTGCCTATGTTTGTGTGCAGCCTGCAGAGAAGACGCTACAGAGGACCACATCCCAGGAGTTCATCAATGCCACTGACATGGAACTCAAGTTTGAAATCAAGGAGGTAGGTGTCTCATGTGACAGGCAATATTCCTATTCAGATTTTGTAGTGTTATGCAGATGTTGTTTTGACCTACTTGATGTCACTGTTTCAGATATTGATCAATGTAGCACAGAGGGAAGGTGCAACAGAGGCGCCGCTGCTGAAATTGGTGATCGAGTCGGTTGGCACCCAGGTGAAGATGAGGACATTTGACATGGTAGTCGAGGCCTATGTGGGCTGCCTCTACCTGCAACACCTCAAGTTCAAAGGTTAGTACCATTGTAAGAGGAACACACATGTTGAAACCACTTCTTTCCAATTATGTACTTATGAACCGTTCAAAATTGTTTATTTGAATTGATTGTACAGTACTTATGATCTATCAATTGAATATTTAACTAATGACAAGAGAGAGTTCATGATAATCTTCCTTATTATAATTAGCAATGTTTTGGCAATGCTGTTACTGTTATGAAGTCATTTGCCTGACAACAGTGTTGGCATTTGAAACGTTATTGATCGTCCATTATATCTTGTGAAGAGTGTGTATTGCGAGATGTGGATACAACTTTTAGAGATTTCTCCAGTTGGCTTGTACACTCTGTGGATCCTACTTTTAGACATTTCTCCAGTTTGCTTGTACACTCTGTGGATCCTACTTTTAGACATTTCTTCAGTTGGCTTGTACACTGCCTTCCCTGACTATGTTTCTGAATGATTGCATATCTTCTTGGCATGTTGCAGCCTCCGACACCATGGCCCAGCAACTCTCTAAAGTCCGAGGTTAGTCATTCATTGACTCTTCTATCAATAAACTCCAACCTGTTTGAATATAAGTAATGTTTTAAGCATTTCCAGTTTCATCATATCTTTTCTCTGGATTATCTATTCTTTTTATTGGACAGGTCAACTCAGCTTTTGAATTGCCCTGCATAATACAAGTCTTCATTTATCATAATGAACCTGGATTTTAACTTTATATTGCTAACTTTCAATCACTTATGGTTTTTCCTTATTGGTAATGTGAGACTAACATGATGTGCTTATCAAGACATTATTAACTTTATGTTGGAGTATGAAGTGTTATGTAAGTGTCCATGCATTGCTTGTGGCCCCAGTATGCTGTCACATGATGTATATTAGATGACAGTATATTGCTAGGATGTTGACTTGTATTTTACATGTGTCTATGTTTCAGCGGTCAACGATGGCTCCCTGATCAACATCATCAACACACCGAACGGCCCCGGCTTTGGAAAGCTGCTGATGGTGCAGTACGTCAAGGTGAGACTTGTATCACAGTTGTTAATAAGGGTTTCAGTGAGGTTGGCATGAAACATGTATCCAGTGACTTCCACAACTGTCCATTGTCTGTATGCAGGCCAACAAGGAGGGTCCTGAGTTCCTGACAACGTACAAGAACACGGAGCAGGCCATCACTGTTGTTTTCTCAGGCCTTGAGCTGCTACTGCACCAGGGAGCCATTATCAGTCTCCTCGAGTTCGCACAGAAACTACAGCCACCATCCTCCCCTGCCACAGCAAGTCAGAAGGAGCAGGAGAAGAAGGAACGGGAGAAGAAGGAACAGGAGAAGAAAGAACAGGAGAAGAAGGAACAGGAGAAGACCAAGGACAAGAAGCCCCCAAGAAAAAGTAAGTCAGTTCACAATCAGTTGCATCTAGGAGACATGTAGGACTACAAAGACCAGGATTCTGTCGGTCACTGCAGTGTTGGATAGATGCATTTTCTTTATTCATTCATTGAATGGCAGGACAAGGGGAACACAAAATATTTGGAGGGACTGGCAGGAGATCCCAACGCAAATTGGTCACGCTCTTGTCCATCATATTCTTGGCATTATAAACTACATGTTACAATTTTCCTGGTTTTGCATGCCATTGCACTGATGCGTGTGTTTCAAAGCTCAAAAGACATTTCATGTTCAGGGAAGGTCCCCCGCTCTGGAAGGAAAAAGTTCAATAACCACAATAGAAGGGCTGTATGATTAGATGTTCCCGATGTACCAGTAGTGAGAGAATCAGTGTATGTTCTTCTGCTGATGTCAGTGTTCTGTTACAGAGAAGGGCATGCCAGAAGACCCAAACCTGATTGACATCCTGGTCAATGCTGAGATGAAATCATTTGCTGTTGCCATCTCCTCAGATGAGAAGCTTCTAACAGACATCAAAATTAATGGTAGGTGGAGTGCGTTGTGTTGCCCTGACTGATTGTAAGTAGTAGAGAAGACAGCCTGGAGTGTTGTGTCATGTCTGACTGCTGGTGTTGTACTGATTCATGTAAGCAGTAGAGAAGACAGCCTGGACTGTTGTGTCATGTCTGACTGCTGGTGTAGTATTGATTGATTGATGTAAGCTATATAGAAGACAGCCTGGAGTGTTGTGTCATGTCTGACTGCTGATGTAGTACTGATTGATTGATGTAAGCTGTAGAGAAGACAGCCTAGAGCGTTGTGTCATGTCTGACTGCTGGTGTTGTACTGATTGATGTAAGCTATATAGAAGACAGCCTGGAGTGTTGTGTCATGTCTGACTGCTGGTGTTGTACTGATTGATGTAAGCTATATAGAAGACAGCCTGGAGTGTTGTGTCATGTCTGACTGCTGGTGTTGTACTGATTGATGTAAGCTATAGAGAAGACAGCCTGGAGTGTTGTGTCATGTCTGACTGCTGGTGTTGTACTGATTCATGTAAGCTGTAGAGAAGACAGCCTGGAGTGTTGTGTCATGTCTGACTGCCTGTGTTGCAGGTATTGATGCCCGGGTAGCAGTGCAGAAAGCCCAGACCACTGTGGCAGCTGTGCTGAAGGATATGACGATCTACAACCCGACACCTGACACGCTGTACCCTAAGGTGGGTCAACCAAGATAACGGAGCAGTTTCTTTCCACCATACCTGACTCCAGACATGTGAAATATAAAACATTTAAAACACAAAACATGTTGAACAGAAAACATGGAAAACACAAAACATGTAGAACACAAAACATGTAATATACCAAACATATGAAGCTAAAGTTTATACAGGTCTTGCCTCCAGGAGTGACAGCCCGAGACGTATCAGATTCTGGAATTTTGATGTTTAAGAGGTGCAATGCTTGAATATTTTTACTGTCAAAAGCAGTTTTGATTCAATTAATTTCAGCCCCTCTTAGTTTTGTTATTAATTCAAATTATGATGTTCACCAACACAGATCTCTTAAACTCACACGATTTAGATTGTGTGTTTGTTTCAGATCCTTGGTACCCTTGTATGAAACTCTGATGTTTGTTTCAAAATCCTTGGTACCCTTGTATGAAACTCTGATGTTTGTTTCAAATCCTTGGTACCCTTGTATGAAACTCTGATGTTTGTTTCGAAATCCTTGGTACCCTTGTATGAAACTCTGATGTTTGTTTCAAATCCTTGGTATCCTTATATTAAACTGATGTTTTTTCAGATTCTTGGTATTGAGGGGTCTGAGGTGCTGAAGCTGGACGTTGTTGCCTATAATAACGGCACGGCCGGTGACAAGTACGGCGACATGTCATGTATGGACACGAAGGTGGATGTTGCCCTGGGCTGCATCAGATTGGTCTTCCTCAACAGATACGTTACAGACCTGCTGGTGGGTAAAACACATCACAAAACCACCTAGTTTTGGGGGATTTCTTACATAACTTATCTCGTAATCTGTAATACTGCACTGGGTTTGTGATACACATGTTACATAGCTAGGTATGATAACTACATGGGATACAGGAACGGTTTGTCTGCTCCAGGCTTTCCTGGACAACTTCCAAGCTGCCAAGGCTAAAATAGCGGAGGCTGGAGAGGCGATGGCAGAGTATTCTGCGGATGCGGTGCAAAGTTTACAGGAGACAGCTTCCCGGATCGGCCTTAACATTGCCATGAAGGCCCCACTCATCATTGTTCCCCAGAAGTCCACATCCAGCAGCGTCCTCCTGGCTGACCTTGGTAATCTGGAGATCGCTAACTCCTTCCACCTGGCAGGCAAGAACTCCCCCAACAATGTCCCGGCTGTATTAGACAAGATGAACATTGTACTCAGCTCACTCAAACTGTCCAGGTGAGTTATCACACAACTAGGAATAAACCAGATTGGATTGGTTGTGTCATCAATCTTTCCTCTTATCTAACATGCTCACTATAAACAATACTTTTTCACACCACTGTGCTACCTGTACATGTGCTATGTTGCGGGGCTGCAGATTCTCTTTCAGATTAAATCCTCCTTGGGGCACTTATTGCATTTTCCTGGCTCAAGAAAATCTACATGACATAGTTGTAACCATTTGCCTTAATAAAAAATGTTACCACACAAAAAACTTCGTTCTTTGTATGATATACGTCCACCCTTTTGGTGCCTCACCCTCCTAAAAAAGTACAAGATAATCGTTCGTACAAGAACCATGGCAGACCAAACTGTATGTATGGTACATTTCTTTCATGCAAAGGCAACCTCGCATTGTAAAGTTATAAAGTTGTAATTATGTGACACGTGTACGATACCTTTGAAACAAAGGCCGTCGTGGCGTCCATATTGTAGTGCCACGTATGATACGTGTAACACCAGGGCCATTAAAAGCGGCTTGGGGTTTTTAATGTTATATCATCGGGCTTTGGCCTACAATCTTTTCCTTTAATAAACCCAAGGTGGTGTGTTAATTATATTTAAATTACACTTACCTTTTTTTTTTTTACTTTTTTTTTACACCTTCGCACGTAACACGCCCACTTTGGTGTTACAATTATACTACGACATTGGCTGTTAGTATCGCGTTACCAATCGCATTCTAAATTACGCCTTTGCTTCTAGTTTCACAATTTATGCACGTATCTTTCCGATCTTTCAATCGCACTGATACACTTTATTACCCTTCCCGCCCAACTCAGAAATTACGGTCTTTTTTACAGACCTTCAAACTGTGTACGGGATGTTCGGCATCTATCCCCCCCCCAAGACAGGCATGATACTTGCCTCAAGTGTTTGGCGGAAGACGGGCATGACGATGGGTCATGCCCGATCTGTATTGCTTTCACCCCCAGGCTCAGAAAAAGAGACAAGTGGATCTCTTGCACTTTAAGGGTCTCTTGAAGGCGGGGGTGGATATTAGATCGGCAAAGACTGTTCGCCCCCCCACCCCCACCCCCCCCTCTAAAAAATTAAGAAAGGGTAAAAAAGCAGAAGAGACTATCTCCTCCGCTCCCTCCCCGGGAGAAGGCTCTAGGGTCCCCATAACAATCACTGCACCCTCTCCTGCACCGTCTTTGGCAGACATCTCTGCCTTGTTGAGGTCGCAGATGGCGTCGATGATGGAGGAGGTAAAGTCTCAGCTTCGAGAGAAGATGCGGACCGAGCCTTCCCCGTTGTCGGCGCCGGACGCAGCTTCGAGACCTCGTGATATGCCCGGCTGAGGCAGGCCACTTGGTCTCGGGGACGATCTCAGACCAGGCTTCGGCTCTGGCTCGAGGTCGCTCCCAAGCAGAGGGGTGGCGGGCACTGGCCCGTTCACTACCGACGCACAGTTCTCCCTAGCGGAGCCAGACGCCTCTTCAGGAGGCCGAGGCTTCCTCTAGCGGATTCCTAGCCCAGAGCCAGGTGGGTTCCCTTGAACCCCCGGCACCTCGGGACCGGGACTCGGCTTCGGGCCGGGTGCAGCCCGGGGATGCGAAGGCCCAGGCCTTCGGGCGTCCCCTTCCGACTTTGTCTGCGAAAAGTCGATTAATTTCGGCTCGGAAATGAGAGAGGAGTGGATGGAGGAGGGGGGAGACGACTCAGAGACCTCAGGTATATTTTCCTTTGCTTACTCGTTGAGGCATGTACGGCGCCCATGCCCCAGTCGGATCCGACTGAGTTCCGCCTTCCGGGGGACGCTTTTGCTCCGAGCAAGGCGCCCCAGGTGCGGCTCCGTATTCTGTCCTCATTGGTGCATGAAGTCATCAACCCTCTGTTGTCGGGTGCCCACAGGAAGTTTGACCTGCCCGAACTTATTAAGCGGTACCCGTTAGCAGAGGATGGTGATTTTGAGGTACCGGTGGTGGACGAATGCATCTGGACCTCCGTTACCCTGGGGGGGTCTTCGACCCCCAACTTGGCTAAGGTCAAGCAGGGCCAGCGGTTGCCACCCTTTCCCACGTGCGGTACGGAGCTGAAGGCTGCTTACGTTTGCTTCGAGGAGCAATATCGTAATGCATGTCAGCAGCTCCGTGTGTCTGTACACTCCGCATATCTGTCGGCCGTACAGAGGGAGTTACCGGGAGAGGGGCCGGCCGACTTTTCGGAGTTGGCCGCGTAACTTACGGAGGTACATAGTCATCTTGCGAGGGACGCTATTCGTAGCTGTGCCTCGCAGATGATGTGCGCAGTCATGGGCATGCGCAGGCTGTGGATGTCGGTATCCAAATACTCGGCTTCCACACGCCAGGATCTACTTGCTTTGCCATATAAGATGGGTGCCACCCTCTTCCCTGGGGCTCAGCAGGTGGTCCGAGAGGCCGCACAGTTGTATGCCTCCATCAAGGATTCTAAGGCCTTGTTGGAGGTACCATGTGTTAAACCGCGTAAGCGGACCTCTCCACTTGACTCCTCGTACGCTGACGCGCTGGGTCAGAAGTCTGCACCTGCTTGGAAGCAGCCGCTTCCTTCAGGTAAGGGCACCAGGAGGAGCAAGAGAGGCAGGGGCTGGGGCAAGGCAGCTGGTCGAGGCCAGCAGCCTTTTCGCGGGGCCAGGAACCCATCGGGTTCCCATTAGTGCCCGAAGTGCCCCGGGCGGACCCATGGTCGCATGTTATCAAACTGCCTCAAGCCGGATGTCCCCGTAGACGGCCGACTGGCTCTATTCCTGCAGGAATGGGAGACACTCACATCCAATCCCTGGACCCTGTCCACTCTAAGGGATGGCCATTTGCGTCGGTGGAAACATCATCCGCCCCCCTTCTCCGGGATAAAGCACACTCCGGTGCCTGCTACCCGAGAGAAGGCGGAATTCCTCTGTGCCAAGGTCGACCCACTTCTTATGAAGGCTGCGATCGAACCAGTTCCCGTGGGACAGGAAAGCGAGGGCTTCTACTCGACATATTTCCTAGTCACCAAAAAAAAAGGGTTCAGGCCTATTCACAATCTGAAAAGGCTGAACAAACTTATAGAGGTACCGTCCTTCAGGATGGAGACACTGCGCTCGGTGATCCCAGCTGTCTAATGGCTAAGGTCAATAGACCTAAACGACGCCTATCTCCACGTACCCATACTCCCGAGTTCAAGAAATACCTGAGGTTTTCTTTCGGCGGGAGGTGTTATCAGTTCAGGGTTCTACCATTCGGGATCTCCACGGCCCCGAGGGTGTTCACCAAGCTGATGTTGATTCCCGCCCAAGTGGCCAGGTCAAAAGGTCGGTTCTGCCATCCATACCTCGACGACTGGTTACTAAGAGCTCTATCGCAATCCCTGAGTCAGATAGCTACACAAGACGTGATAGACATTCTGATCACTCTAGGGTGGATAGTCAATCTCAAGAAGTCAGATCTGAGCCCTACTCAGAATCTAGTCTTCCTAGGGACGAATTTCAACACGGTGAGCGGACTTGTATCTCTGTCACAAGATCGCATTACCAAGGTCAGAAGTGTTACTTACTAGAAGAAGTTCCTTCTGTCCGCAAGTCACACTGCTCGTACATGGCTCCAGTTACTGGGCAACATGGCGGCAACAGTGGATGTGGTTTGGCGGGCGCGCTTGAGAATGAGACCCATTCAACAAGCACTCCGTCGACTTTGGGTGAACTCGGAAGATCTCGAGACTCCGCAGTGGCTCAATGCACACCTTCAGTGGTGGACCGAAGTCGGGAATCTGTCCCGGGGGGCTCCCCCTGGACACTCCCGTTCCGTCTCTCACAGTTCAAACAGACGCGTCACTCTCTGGCTGGTGAGGCATTCTGAACGATCACACTGCCTCGGGACTATGGTCCCAGCAGGAGATCAAACTGCATATCAATGTGCTAGAACTGAGAGCGGTCAGGTTGGTGTTCCAACGCTTCCCGGATCTGCTTCGTGGCCAAGTGGTGCGTCTAGAGATGGACAACCAAACGGCAATGACTTACATCCGGAAGCAGGGGGGAACGGTGTCTCCATTGCTTCTCCAAGAGACGTGGCAGTTCCTCCTATGGTGCGAGGGGCGGTCGGGTAGCCTAGTGGTTAAAGCGTTCGCTCGTCACGCGAAAGACCCGGGTTCGATTCCCGACATGGGTACAATGTGTGAAGCCCATTTCTGGTGTCCCCCGCCGTGATATTGCTGGAATATTGCTAAAAGCGGCGTAAAACCATACTCACTCACTCCTATGGTGCGACTCGCACGTTATCAGGGTGCTACCTGTTTATCTCCCGGGGTGGACAACGTCCCTGCGGACGCTCTGTCTCGCCGGATCCTCGCTCCTCACGAGTGGAGGCTCGACCTGGGGATATTCGGGATTATCTCCCAGTTATACGGGTCGTTCCAGGTGGATCTGTTTGTGTCTGGGGTGAATCACCAGACACCAACGTTCTGCTCCCAAGTCCCCGTTCCGAGGTCGGTGGCACCGGACGCCTTCCAGCTAGATTGGACGGACAGAAATCTGTGGGCATTCCCCCCAGTACCTCTGATTTCCAAGGTCCTGTCTCAGCTAGCCACTCAGCCTGCGCGACTATTTGTGCTCCTGGCACCCCTTTGGTCGGCGCAGAGTTGGTTTCCAGTAATACTCAGGTTTCTGGCTCAGCCTCCTGTTCTATTACCTTTACGACCGGACCTCCTATCCCAGAACGAGGCCCTCCACCCAAATCCCAGGATTCAGTGGGTGGCTTGGCCACTGTCAGGAATCGCCTCCAGAAGAGCAGTATCCCTGCAAGAGTTGCAGACACAATACTGGCTTTGCGGAGGGATTCGACAAACGTTCAGTACGAGGATAGATGGGCCTGCCTTGCACGCTGGTGTGTTGATAGAGGGATTGCAGATCCCTTTTCTGCAGATCTCGTAGCCGTGCTTGAGTTCCTCCAGTCGCGACTAGATGACGGCGTGGCCGCATCGACAGTCCGGGGGTACTCTACAGCTATCGCAGGATAATCAACTATTTTGCTGTTATGGCGGTAGGAAGGCTGGCTCACCCGCGAGCAAACAAACTATCTCCAGGTGGATAGTCTCTACTATATGTACGGCGTACACCCTACAAGGCAGGGACCCCCCTACCAAGTTGAAGGCTCATTCGGTTAGAGCAGTGGCTACGACACAAGCGTACGCCACGGCTCTGCCCATTGAGGAGATCTGCTCCGCGGCTATTTGGTGCCAGCCGAGCACGTTCATCAAACATTACCAACCTCGACAAACACTCAAGCGAGCGTGCTCAGAAACGAAGTTTTTTGTGTGGTAACATTTTTTATTAAGGAAAATGGTTACAACTATGTCATGTAGATTTTCTTGAGCCAGGAAAATGCAATAAGTGCCCCAAGGAGGATTTCATCAGAGAATTCATAACCTCTACAGGTTTGTAAAAGTTTTGTTTATCAACAGCAGATACAGAATAATATTAATAACGTTAAGAGCAAAACAAAAAGAAATTTTAATGGGATTGGAAACCCTGGAAATCTTGTGGACTTGACACTGTGCATGAACACTTTTCTTGATATGTATCTTGGTTTATAGTTTGAAAAACAGAACATCCTTTTTTCAGAATTCTGTTAGCTATGTGGGGTTAGTTGTGAAGGAAAGACATATAATTTTGCATGAATCCTCCACTGTATCATCATGTCATAGCAATCTAGTGATGTCTAATGCATCTCACAGCTGTGAGAGTTCAACCAGAAAAGACTATTTTACAATGACGTCAATTCAAAATCAACTTTCCAGCTATTAAATACTCCATTAAGTGTATTTGACCACCCAAGCATCCAATATGTATACACAGAATAGATTGGGGAAGTCTCACTGACCTCTGTTATTTTCAGGGCTGTTCTTGTCAAAACTGGTCAGGTGGAGGCGGAGGTTCTGCTGTTGGAGCCTGTGACCATATCTGTGTTTGTGAACCGCAACCTCTCCGCTGCCTGGTACCATGACCAGCCAGACATGGACCTGGGCGGCACACTGGAGGCACTCACAGTCAGTCACTTTCCACTGTCTAGGGCTGGGGTTGTGCTACTACAGTCAGTCACTTTCCACTATCTAGGGCTGGGGTTGTGGTGCTACTACAGTCAATCACTTTCCACTATCTAGGGCTGGGGTTGTGCTACTACAGTCAGTCACTTTCCACTATCTAGGGCTGGGGTTGTGGTGCTACTACAGTCAATCACTTTCCACTATCTAGGGCTGGGGTTGTGCTACTACAGTCAGTCACTTTCCACTATCTAGGGCTGGGGTTGTGGTGCTACTACAGTCAATCACTTTCCACTATCTAGGGCTGGGGTTGTGCTACTACAGTCAGTCACTTTCCACTATCTAGGGCTGGGGTTGTGCTACTACAGTCAGTCACTTTCCACTATCTAGGGCTGGGGTTGTGGTGCTACTACAGTCAATCACTTTCCACTATCTAGGGCTGGGGTTGTGCTACTACAGTCAGTCACTTTCCACTATCTAGGGCTGGGGTTGTGGTGCTACTACAGTCAGTCACTTTCCACTATCTAGGGCTGGGGTTGTGGTGCTTTTATAGTCAGTCACTTTCCACTATCTAGGGCTGGGGTTGTGATACTACCACAGTCAATCACTTTCCACTATCTAGGGCTGGGGTTGTGATGCTACTACAGTCAGTCACTTTCCACTATCTAGGGCTGGGGTTGTGATACTACCACAGTCAATCACTTTCCACTATCTAGGGCTGGGGTTGTGGTGCTACTACAGTCAGTCACTTTCCACTATCTAGGGCTGGGGTTGTGATGCTACTACAGTCAGTCACTTTCCACTATCTAGGGCTGGGGTTGTGGTGCTACTACAGTCAGTCACTTTCCACTATCTAGGGCTGGGGTTGTGGTGCTACTACAGTCACTCACTTTCCACTATCTAGGGCTGGGGTTGTGATACTACCACAGTCAATCACTTTCCACTATCTAGGGCTGGGGTTGTGATGCTACTACAGTCAGTCACTTTCCACTATCTAGGGCTGGGGTTGTGATCCTACTACAGTCAGTCACTTTCCACTACCTAGGGATGGGGTTGTGGTGCTACTACAGTCAATCACTTTCCACTATCTAGGGCTGGGGTTATGGTGCTACTACAGTCAGTCACTTTCCACTATCTAGGGCTGGGGTTGTGGTGCTACTACAGTCAATCACTTTCCACTATCTAGGGCTGGGGTTGTGATGCTACTACAGTCAGTCACTTTCCACTATCTAGGGCTGGGGTTGTGATGCTACTACAGTCAGTCACTTTCCACTATCTAGGGCTGGGGTTGTGATGCTACTACAGTCTGTCACTTTACACTATCTAGGGCTGGTGTTGTATTGTTGTGGTGCTACTACAGTCAGTCACTTTCCACTATCTAGGGCTGGGGTTGTGGTGCTACTACAGTCAGTCACTTTCCACTATCTAGGGCTGGGGTTGTGGTGCTACTACAGTCAGTCACTTTCCACTACCTAGGGCTTGGGTTGTAGTGCACTACAGTCTGTCACTTTCCACTATCCTGGGATGGGGTTGTGATGCTACTCAATGCTGTGTTACATAGTGTATGTGTTACATAGTGTGTGTGTGTGTGTGTGTGTGTGTGTTACATAGTGTATATGTTTGAGAGTGAATGTGTTTTTATTTATAGTGTGTGTTTATAGTGTGTTACATATGTGTGTGTGTGTGTGCACGCTCGTGTGTGTTACATAGTGTATTAGTGTGTATACTACATAGTGTATAGTTTATGTGTTACAGAGTGAATGTGTTGGTATTTATAGTGTGTGTTACATAGTGTGTGTGTGTGTGTTACAGAGTGAATGTGTTGGTATATATAGTGTGTGTGTTGTTGAAAAGTGTGTGTTACTACATAGTGTTGCATTGTTACAGTGTGTGCATGTTGATCTTTAGGTGAAGATGAGCCAGGGAGACTTCACCATGACGATGAGTGTACTGAATGATAACTTGTCAGAGGGACAGAGCCCGGCAAAGACCTCTTCCAAGACAGATGTTGTACCTGCAGTGGAGCCTGCTGTTCAGGCATCCCAGACCAGCACTACAGCAGGTAGGCACCCCAGACCAGCACTACAGCAGGTAGGCACCCCAGACCAGCACTACAGCAGGTAGGCACCCCGGACCAGCACTACAGCAGGTAGGCACCCCAGACCAGCACTACAGCAGGTAGGCACCCCAGACCAGCACTACAGCAGGTAGGCACCCCAGACCAGCACTACAGCAGGTAGGCACCCCAGACCAGCACTACAGCAGGTAGGCACCCCAGACCAGCACTGCAGCAGGTAGGCACCCCTGACCAGCACTACAGCAGGTAGGCACCCCAGACCAGCACTACAACAGGTAGGCACCCCAGACCAGCACTACAGCAGAAAGGCATCCCAGACCAGCACTACAGCAGGTAGGCACCCCAGACCAGCACTACAGCAGGTAGGTACTCCAGACTGGCACCGACATCCCATGAGGCACTAATAAATAATGCTTACTGTAAGTCATCATCCAATAAAACATCAGTAAAAGATTTCCTGCGCATCTGACCTTTATTTTCCTGAATTGTCGGCTTATGTTTCAGCTGCCCCTGGCAGTGCCCAGCAGACACAGGCAGTAACTGAGCCCCCTACACAACTGGTGTACACCAAGATGAAGTTCAACTTCCAGATCAAGTCTATCTCTGTCACACTGTACTCAGGAGAGTCAAAGCTGGTTAGTTCAGTAGAACAGTAGGAGACACAGAGCTGGTTAGTTCTGTAGAACAGTAGGAGACACCGAGCTGGTTAGTTCAGTAGAACAGTAGGAGACACCGAGCTGGTTAGTTCAGTAGAACAGTAGGAGACACCGAGCTGGTTAGTTCAGTAGAACAGTAGGAGACCGCAAGCTGGTTAGTTCAGTAGAACAGTAGGAGACACCAAGCGGGTTAGTTCAGTAGAACAGTAGGAGACACCGAGCGGGTTAGTTCAGTAGAACAGTAGGAGACAGCAAGCTGGTTAGTTCAGTAGAACAGTAGGAGACACCGAGCTGGTTAGTTCAGTAGAACAGTAGGAGACACCGAGCGGGTTAGTTCAGTAGAACAGTAGGGGACACCGAGCTGGTTAGTTCTGTAGAACAGTAGGAGACACCGAGCTGGTTTGTTCTGTAGAACAGTAGGAAACAGCGAGCTGGTTAGTTCTGTAGAACAGTAGGAAACACCGAGCTGGTTAGTTCTGTAGAACAGTAGGAGACACCGAGCTAGTTAGTTCTGTAGAACAGTAGGAGACAGCAACCTGGTTAGTTCTGTAGAACAGTAGGAGACATCAAGCTGGTTAGTTCAGTAGAATAGTAGGAGACAGCGAGTGGTTAGTTCTGTAGAACAGTAGGAAACACCGAGCTGGTTAGTTCAGTAGGAGACATCAAGCTGGGTAGTTCAGTAGAACAGTAGGAGACAGCAAGCTGGTTAGTTCAGTAGAACAGTAGGAAACAGCAAGCTGGTTAGTTCTGTAGAACAGTAGGAGACACCGAGCTGGTTAGTTCTGTAGAACAGTAGGAAACACCGAGCTGGTTAGTTCTGTAGAACAGTAGGAGACAGCAAGCTGGTTAGTTCTGTAGAACAGTAGGAGACAGCGAGCAGGTTAGTTCTGTAGAACAGTAGGAAACACCGAGCTGGTTAGTTCTGTAGAACAGTAGGAGACTGCAAGCTGGTTAGTTCTGTAGAACAGTAGGAGACAGCGAGCAGGTTAGTTCTGTAGAACAGTAGGAAACACCGAGCTGGTTAGTTCTGTAGAACAGTAGGAGACTGCAAGCTGGTTAGTTCTGTAGAACAGTAGGAGACAGCGAGCAGGTTAGTTCAGTAGAACAGTAGGAAACACCGAGCTGGCTAGTTCTGTAGAACAGTAGGAGACTGCAAGCTGGTTAGTTCTGTAGAACAGTAGGAAACACCGACCTGGTTAGTTCAGTAGAACAGTAGGAGACTGCAAGCTGGTTAGTTCTGTAGAACAGTAGGAAACACCGACCTGGTTAGTTCAGTAGAACAGTAGGAGACATCAAGCTGGTTCATTTGCAGCATATCAGTTTCTTTTCTCCAGAATATGTGCTGGATTGTCATTGGTAAATTGTTTGTAATTGGTTACTGAATGGGCCAAGTCTTCCAGATGAAGATGAAGTTTATGTCATGTACCCAGCTGGGAAATGCCAAACTTCTTGCCAGTGCGGATACTAAGATATGATTATATTGTCTTGAAACACTTATCAAGTGCAGCGAACTTAACCATGTATATATATATGATTGGAATATAAGGGTGTAATATGGAAGTAATATGTATTAGAATAGAATATCCGATTGTATCCTGCACTGGATGAATCTGTTCCCCAGACGACCGGCGTGTGTCAGCGCGAGGCCATTAAGGCACTGGGCAAGGTTGCACTGATGATGTTTGCCCTGGACGGAAGCATGATGTCCGACACCTCTATGGTTACCAAGGTGATCCTCCGAGACACCATTTTAGACGACCTGCGCCCTCAGAGTCAGAAGGGCATATCAAGGTAGGCTGTTGCTCTTTCTCATATCCGCAAAGTTGATATGGTTGTAATGAAATGTAATGTAATCGGCTAGTGTAACTGAAGTGAAGAAGTTGTGACAGATAACTGTTTTATGTATCTCAAGTAAAAGTCCTGTGCATGTTTTTGCTGCAAAGTTTATTTCAAAGCTGTAGTTTTAAGTCCCAACTGTTTTGTGTTGTGTTGATTACATGTTAGAATTACGGTTGTCATACATGTTTAAGTCATGCACTGTTTTATGACCATGTAGATTTCACCTCGTTTTGTGTTAGATATTGCCACAGTCAACCTGACACACCCATGTTGAGCAGTGTGTGTGTGTGGTGGGGGAGAGGACTTCTGTAACATTACCATTGAAACAAGGAGGCTGGGGAATTGAATGTCCTGGATAAGTTTACGTCATTTTGTTTTGTTCGGACTTAAAATATGATAAGTATAAATACATGCAAAAGTCTAGATCTCTGTACATTGGCCCATCTCAGAGTCAGTAAACAGGGAAATGTTAATCGGCAATCTGGTGACCAAGTGATATTCTTTGGTAACCTAGCAACACACGTTTGATAATCTTTGAATTTCCTAAAGACAACCACCTTCTACTCTGTAAATTGTCAATCATGTTTGTTTTTGTTGGCTTGGGCAATGATCACTTATTGATTCTCTGTTTTTATGCCTGTGTGTGTAAGAGGTCATTTGACATATTGCTTGTAAAGTTAAAATCACCCATGTTTGATAACGAGAATCCTAGATTGGTAGAAACCATTGTCCATGATTTACCACCAGATGCCATGATGTCAGCCTTCTTGTGAGTGCCAGCTATTGCTGTGGTAGTTGGGTTGAATGTGGCAGTATCATGTTCAATGTGTCACCTGATTAATACTAGTATTCACTTTGCCCCATTAGGCTGTTGCGGTAAGTGAGCATGTTGACACCTGTCAGTCCAATGGTGTCTTTATTTAGTTCATACAGCTCAACCAGCGTCTTGTACACCATGGAACAGTTGTACCTCTGTAGCGCCCTCTTGTAGCCAGTCTACTCTCCCTGCAGGAGGCCTTCTTGCAGACATGAAAACACTAACTACAACTACTGGCAGTGTCAAATATGATCAAAAACGTCCTGTAGATCAAAAGGTTATTAAATGATGATAACATTTTCCTGCGAGTTGTCTCCAGCAGAATCATTGTTGCCAGTAACACATGAAACATTTATTAATTTATTGCTTTGATGTCAGCAATTGGGTCTCTGTCTGCAATGACTACTTTTATGCATGTTTTACTTATTTTAGAATACAACTGCTAGTGTTTATTTAACTTCTTTGATAGGCATTTAGAAGTTGGAGTACTAAGTAAGGATAAGAATTTATGGATGAACAACTTCATTATTACAATTGCTTGATAACAGTGTTAGAACCTTCACCGAAACGTCGCTCTTAATTGTAATAAAGAAGCTGTTCATCCATAAATTCTTATCCTTACTTAATGTTTATTTAGTTTAAGATACTTGATACTTGAGTATGTAAGTACCGAGATAACACCAGGGAAGGAGCACGGTCATGTTATGTCTAGTCAGCCATCCATCTCACAATGGAGATAAGGATACTTGGTTGAAATGCTCTTACTGATCTGTTTCCTGACAGCACAGCACCTGACTGAGAATTGAATCTTTTTTTGTTTGTGCACACTGGTGTTAGACTTACTGCAGGGTGAGCTACAGTACTAGAGGCAGAACCTTGTCACACTCAGGACCTTATCTCATCTAGGACTAACTTTATCTCATTTAGGAAGTAAACCTTTATCCAAATGTCAGTCCCCCAAAATTTCAAATTTGAAATAAATACATTATCACAATACATAAGATAGCTACACAATCATGGCGATAGATTGCAAAGAACAACGGAGGACGAAGAGGGGTTTATTTCGTGATAAGACATCATTTCTGGATACACTCGCAACTTCATGACATTGTAATTGGACAACGCTAGGTTTTAGAGGGAAGTGAGTTGTTCCCTTAGATGTAGCTGGGCAATACGGTTAAATGCAGTGGCTGAACAATCACATTCATAAATAGGCGAGATATGGCAATAAAAATACAGATAAATATTTTTTTAAGCTTGTAAGTATTATAATGTTGATATTTAATGTAAGAAATAAATGACTCCATTTTTTATTAGTTTTATTCAATACGTATACCGGTAGGCCACAGGCCTTTGTGTACAGAATATAATAACACAGACAGGCTGTTAAACATTGGATAATAAGTTTCTTTTAACTGGAGTATTATTAATGCATTTTGCAAAATTAACAACAGTGTTAGGATCTTGTGATGATAAAAGGAAGATGAATTTATGATAGTTTGGATGGAGATAGAACCTGGTTTTAATATAAGTTTGTCTTTAGTTATCAAACACTTTAAATATAAAGTGGTACTCCGTTTCAAAACAGTTTAGGCTGCATAACTTACATTTACGTAGATTTCGAGGAATATTTGCATGCCACCCATTATCAATTTCTAGATTATGACAGCTTAATCGAAATCTGGAAAGAGGAGGTATTAGTTTTACTGACGGCATGAGTTTCAGATAGGTTTCACAATTTATAAAAGTTTTGTGCATAATAATGCATTTTTGAGGAGGAAAGTAGTTCACTATGCCATGTTTGCTGAAAGTTGTCTCTCAAACGTTGTTGAAACATTTTTTGAAATATTGTTTTGTTTTCATATGTTTGGCAAAAAATACACATTGCCAATCCTAGTTTACACATACAATTTCTTAGCTTTATAACCCAATTTGTCTTTCCTTGTTCATCATAGATACACATCATATTATAACATTTTCTTGGTATACGCCATTCAGACATTGTGACAATATTTAGCCAACATTTAACACTTTTATAAATGGCATATGGTTCACCCTCGTCATGTATTTCTTAAATACAGTGGTCCCTCCCTATTGTGCCCTTCAATATGGCACTTACTTGGTTATAGCGCGCAGTAATGCATTGCTCCCCAAATTTACTTATATTTTTAATAAACTCAAGTTTTGCAGTGACACGATGTTTTCCCCTATCTCAAAAACATTTTCAGCTGCACATTGCGAGCACGTAACACCAGAAATACCAGTCAACAAATCCAAATTGCAGTACGCAATTTAATCCCATTTTTATGGTTATAAAAACATGTTCATTGTATATCTGGACTTAAGTTTGTAATATTTTTTATAAATTTTATTCCAAATTTCATTCAATATCGTTTACATTAATTTCAGTGAAATCGTGTGTGAAGTGATCGGAAGATCGCACAACTCACCGTTATTTACAGCAACCACAGTCAGATTATCGCTATTGACACCTTGGAACAAACATTAATTGCAAGAGAATGTCATAAATGCCATACTTTGACTTGCTTAAGTCATGTTTGAGGCAGTTTGACTATTATATGTCAACATAACATTTTAACACTGGAAATACATGTAGCGCAGGAAACGGTGACTGACTTAGTTTATGAAAAAGTACACACGGTAATCTTAATCTCTTCATATAAAACAATGCCTTGGAGAGCAGAAAATACATGTTACGGCACCCCTTTTAAATGGTAAATTCTAGTTACGTTTTATATCAAAATTCATATTTTTATTGACCATTCGTTACATCTGTTCGTTCACCTGAATTCGTTGAAGGGATACTACGATAGGTTTTTTTATAGTGCATAACACTCGATAGTCTATTTTCACATTATGAATCATAAACAACTACTATTCTAATCATTTTTTAAAGTCTGAAACATGAAGCGTAGATTGTTTTAGGTAGGCAGAACATGTACTGTTGTGTTGGTCATCTACCCCTTACTCCACCTCGGTTATTTGGACCTCAAAGGTAGCGTTGTAGCAAGGGATCACTGTATGTTCAGATATATACCATATCTTTAGCTATAGGTGATGCGCACATTACACACAGGTACATTACTGGGAGTACCTGACAGGTTTAACGTATCTAATTTTCCATGCACTGACCTAAGACTGACAGGAATGTGACATCATCACATCACAGGATTACAATTTATCCAAACCTACTTCATGGCAAATTTGAAAGAATTCATGTTTCATTTGTGAACGTAATTTTGCACAGCATATACTGGAGGGGGTGACTCGTCGCAAGGTCTGCACTCTAGGGACTTCATTACTACAGTTCATTATCATAATCCGCTCGATGTTTTTAGCTTGGTAATCAAAATAAATTAGGCTGCTCAAAAGTACAAATAGTTCTTACTTATATTCTTCTTGCTTCATACAGTTCATCTCTGTCATTTGCAGCAGCCTGTATTTCTGAGTGTGATGTGTGAGTGAGTGAGTGAGTAGGGTTTTACGCCGCTTTTAGCAATATTCCAGCAATATCACGGCGGGGACACCAGAACTGGGCTTCACACGTTGTACACATATGGGGAATCGAACCTGGGCCTTAGGCGTGACGAGCAAACGCTTTAACCACTAGGCTACCCATAACCATTGTGTGTCAATAAGTGTGACATGAATCAGGACATGTATCCTGTGTCAGAAAGTGTGATGTGTGTCAGGAAATGTGACCTGTGTCAGAATCTGTGTCCTGTGTCAGAAAGTGTGATGTGTGTCAGGATCTGTGACCTGTGTCAGAAAGTGTGATGTGTGTCAGGATCTGTGACCTGTGTCAGAAAGTGTGACCTGTGTCAGAAAGTGTGACCTGTGTCAGAAAGTGTGATGTGTGTCAGGATCTGTGACCTGTGTCAGAAAGTGTGACCTGTGTCAGAAAGTGTGATGTGTGTCAGGATCTGTGACCTGTGTCAGAAAGTGTGACCTGTGTCAGAAAGTGTGATGTGTGTCAGGATCTGTGACCTGTGTCAGAAAGTGTGATGTGTTTCAGGATCTGTGACCTGTGTCAGAAAGTGTGACTTGTGTCAGAAAGTGTGACCTGTGTCAGGAAGCGTGATCTGTGTCAGGAAGTGTGATCTGTGTCAGGAAGTGTGACCTGTGTCAGGAAGTGTGATCTGTGTCAGGAAGTGTGATCTGTGTCAGGAAGTGTGATCTGTGTCAGGAAGTGTGACCTGTGTCAGGAAGTGTGATCTGTGTCAGTAAGTTTGATCTGTGTCAGTAAGTGTGTCCTGTGTCAGTAAGTGTGACCTGTGTGTCAGGAAGTATGACCTGTGTGTCAGGATGTGTGATCTGTATCAGGAAGTGAGATCTGTGTCTGTAAGTGTGTCCTGTGTCAGTAAGTGTGACCTGTGTGTCAGTAAGTGTGACCTGTGTGTCAGGAAGTGTGACCTGTGTCAGGAAAGGTGACCTATGTGTCAGGAAGTGTGACCTGTGTCAGAAAGTGTGACCTGTGTCAGGAAGTGTGACCTGTGTCAGGATCTGTGACCTGTGTCAGAAATTGTGACCTGTGTCAGAAAGTGTGACTTGTTCCGGAAAGTGTGATGTGTGTCAGGATCTGTGACCTGTGTCAGAAAGTGTGACCTGTGTCAGGATCTGTGACCTGTGTCAGAAAGTGTAACCTGTTTCAGAAAGTGTGATGTGTGTCAGGATCTGTGACCTGTGACAGAAAGTGTGACCTGTGTCAGAAAGTGTGATGTGTGTCAGGATCTGTGACCTGTGTCAGAAAGTGTGATGTGTGTCAGGATCTGTGACCTGTGTCAGAAAGTGTGACCTGTGTCAGGAAGTGTGATCTGTGTCAGGAATCTGTGACCTGTGTCAAAAAAGTGTGACCTGTGTCACTCAGGAAGTGTGATCTGTGTCAGGAAGTGTGATCTGTGTCAGGAAGTGTGACCTGTGTGTCAGGAAGTATGACTTGTGTGTCAGGAAGTGTGACCTGTGTCAGGAAGTGTGACCTGTGTGTCAGGAAGTATGACCTGTGTCAGGAAGTATGACCTGTGTCAGGAAGTGTGACCTGGGTGCCAGGAAGTGTGACCTGTGTCAGGAAGTATGACCTGTGTGTCAGGAAGTGTGACCTGTGTCAGGAAGTGTGACCTGTGTGTCAGGAAGTGTGACCTGTGTCAGGAAGTGTGACCTGTGTGTCAGGAAGTGTGACCTGTGTGACCTGTGTGCCAGGAAGTGTGACCTGTGTCAGGAAGTGTGACCTGTATGACCTGTGTCAGGAAGTGTGACCTGTGTGTCAGGAATATGACCTGTGTCAGGAAGTGTGACCTGTGTGACCTGTGTCAGGAAGTGTGATCTGTGTCAGTAAGTTTGATCTGTGTCAGTAAGTGTGTCCTGTGTCAGTAAGTGTGACCTGTGTGTCAGGAAGTATGACCTGTGTGTCAGGATGTGTGATCTGTATCAGGAAGTGAGATCTGTGTCAGTAAGTGTGTCCTGTGTCAGTAAGTGTGACCTGTGTGTCAGTAAGTGTGACCTTTGTGCCAGGAAGTGTGACCTGTGTCAGGAAGTGTGACCTGTATGACCTGTGTCAGGAAGTGTGACCTGTGTGTCAGGAATATGACCTGTGTCAGGAAGTGTGACCTGTGTGACCTGTGTGCCAGGAAGTGTGACCTGTGTGTCAGGAAGTATGACCTGTGTCAGGAAGTGTGACCTGTGTCAGGAAGTGTGACCTGTGTCAGGAAGTGTGGCCTGTGTGTCAGGAAGTGTGACCTGTGTGCCAGGAAGTGTGACCTGTGTCAGGAAGTGTGACCTGTGTCAGAAAGTGTGACCTGTGTGACCTGTGTCAGGAAGTGTGACCTGTGTGTTATCTGTCCTTTAGTAGTAACAGTAACTAGTATTGTTTCATGTTTCTCTTGATGGTGGAGGGTTGTAAATCTTACCATTGACATTTTCATTCTCAAATTGTTGTTTGTTGAACATACGTCACATTTTTGTGATGGAATTTTAGTTTCCAATATGGATGGCTGCCAATTATGAACAGAGAAATACTTTTTGTAATTAGTTAAAATATATTCATATATCAATATATTTTGTAATCAGTGTGCTTTGTGTTCTTGATATATCAGTATATTTTGTATGTTTGATGTTTATCCATATATTTAGCATTGTTTAAGTAGCATGTAAGTACCCATCTGTCTGGACAGCTGTAGGAGCATATACAGATATATTCTAGCATTCATAACACCCAATGACATGTTCCCCGTGCAGTTTACAATGATGGTTATATGTTAGCATATCGTGAAGTCTTTACTAAGGTGCACATAAGGCACTGTAGTATTTATTAGCTAATGCTAAAGAAGACACAGTAAGTGCAGGGATGCAATGATTACTCATAAACAAGTCATGTTCTTGCTGTAGGTGAAGGCATACATTATTGTATGTGTCATGAAGACATGTGCTGACCTGCTTGTTGGTCTTGCAGGATGATACAGAGGAGTACGACAACGTCCCGTACATCAACACACACCGCTAACATGATTGATGTCAACTTCAAGCAGAACGCCACACAGGACAAGAACAGTTAGTGTTGCCATGTGCAGTGAAAACATTGTGTCAGCTGTTTGTCTAAGTACTAAGAATCTCTAATCACTAAAGGTATTCTGGGCAGAACAGCTGTGCCCCATGTCTGTGTAAGTGCTGACAGGAGTGGGTGGGTACAGTGGTTGATTACATGATGGCATGGATTGTTGTTCATCATCCACTCATGGGATGTCATCATATGACTGGAGTATTGCCGACTTTGGCCTAAAACAACATCCACTTATTCTCTTAGGATGCTGGAGTGAGAGCTGGGTACTGTAAGTACACTGCTATGGTGATGCAGTATTTCATCAAGTCACTGTGTTGAGTTGTATTATTATGAAGGCCGACAGAGCAATCTCCTGTGTATGTGTTGCAGTTGATGTGAAGATGAGCAGCCTGCATGTGTGTGTGTGTGTGGAGTTCCTCATGACACTGGGCGACTTCTTCACCAAGGGCATGCCCACCCCGCCTGCTGGCTCAACCACCACTGATGTAGAGAAAGGTGAGACTGCCCAAGAGGACATCACACATGTACAGATTTGTCATAATAATAACCATACCTCAGAACATATGTCAATATAAATAGTTTCTGAATAAGGCTAAAAATACAAAAACAGTATTGGTCTCAGGCACCGCCGCAATTTTTGTTTTTTATATCCATTTTTACAAAAAAAATCCTTCAATATTCCATGTCTAGAACACACAGCCCATTCTGTGAAATGCTACAATACTTAAAAACAACGCGATCCATTATAGTGTGTAGTTACTTTCCTTTACACGTGCACTGCTTTACTGTGCATCTCATGTGTTATGGTCATGGCGGCAATAGGAATTTGTATGCCTGTTTTGCCTTTTACAAATTTTGTCAATACAAACGTGAAAATTACGATAAAATATCAATAGACATGATGATTTACAAATTCAATAGTATTTGTGTACTGTATGCCGGACAAAGCGCAGTGATAAGATTACATGTGTATTTGTCTCATAAAAAAGGCCGGATATAGCAGCTGTTCACACATTCTCTCCACGATCTATGGATGATTTAGTTGAAACAATACTTATGGCCAATATCATATCTGAAGAGAAACTTCAATACAGTGACAGGGACACAAAGTCTTCGGTCTTCCTTACAACTAATGTTCGTTTCAAGACGAGTTCATAGTGAGTTGATGTGATTTGCTGATCAGTTCATACACATTCATTTCGCCAAAATTAATGTAAACAAAATGGAATGGATTCTTGGATAAGAGAAATATAATGGATTACACACACAAGTCCAGAATGAACACTTTTATAGTCAGATAGTATGACAACAGGACGGATTTGTTGACATGCTTCTTCCGGTGTTTGTGTGCTCACGATGAAATCCAAGCACATTGTATGTGTGTATTACGCACTGGTAGACCAACTGTAGTCAAATACTGTATTCAAGTGTTTTAGTCATCAAGGAATACATTTATGTTGGGAGGCCCTTTCCAAGGTTGATTGTACATAACTGTTTATTTGGTTACATACTAGTTTGAGTATCCAAAAAAGAAGAAGCCTAAGCTGTAAATGCAATTGCAGAAGTCTTACTTAGGATGTTGTATTTATGTCCAATTTGCTTAAAATAGTAACAGTAACTTAAATGTACAGAATTAAAAAAACCCATTGATGTTCTGTTTACTGGAGCTTGTACCATCTACAGCACCTTCAACAACTACACCAGCTTCAACAGCCTCACCTGCCCCAGCCGCACCGGTGCCACCAACTAGTGAAATGGTTATCACTCTGGAAATAGAGAAGCCTGACATTATCTTGGTAGAAGACCAAAAGAACACAAGCTCCAATGCCCTTATGCTGAATGTGAGTTGAACACAACGTACTATCTTCCATTTCACAGAGTAGGTTGATTCAGGCACTGGATCCACTCACTGTGTAGGAGTGTTGATGAGATTGTGTATCTGCTGAGTTGGTTCTCCTAGCATAGAGTGATCAATGATCTGTGTACTGTGTGTAGTTTTAATAGTTTGTGTATTTGCCTTTCAACCTCTCGTTTACCCACCTGTCTACCTCTTTGTCTGCCTCCCTCTGTCTGCCTACCTCTCTATCTACCTGTGTCTTCTTCTCCTTGATCACCAACTGCAAGTTTGACACCCGATCAGTGAGTACACCATTCCTGCCCTGTTATTGTGCCTCTGTCTTGCTCTTGTCTGATATTGTATTAATCTTGATGATATTGCCTTGATTTTTGCCTTAATCTTAATGTCATTTTGTTCCAATTTTGCCTCAGATCCCACTATGTTACCTCAATCTTGCCTTTATTTGGCTGTTTCCTTGTCTCAATCCTGACATTATATTGCCTCAATCCTGACACGATATTCCCATAATCTTGCCTATATTTTGCTTCAATCTTGCCTCAATTCAGAAACAATGTTGCCTCAATCTTGACTGGATATTCCCATAATCTTGCCTCTGTTTTGCTTCAGTCATACCTCATTCTTATCTCTTTTTTGCTTTAATCTTGACTCTATAGTATTGCTTCCATTTTGGACAGAATCGTGACTATTTTGCATCAATGTTGATGCTGTTACCTAGGCCTTGACTTTATACTGACACAAAATATAATATGCTGAAATATGGCAACAAAGCCTTTTAACATTGCGTGTGTGTATGCTAAATGCTGTGTCTTTGTTGTAGCTGGGCCTGATGTTCAAGTTACGCAACACCCCAGATGTGCAGTCTATGCAGGCAAGCATCAAGAGACTCCAGATCATCTCCTGTGTCTTCAACAAGAGGGACAAACCAGGAACCGAGGTAGGGGGAAGGTGCATTTTGTGTGTGTGTGTTTGGGTGTGGGTGTGGGTGTGGGTGTGGGTGTGGGTGTGGAGATAGCTGCATCAAATGCTAATGACTGTAAACTGCTGCAGTAATTTTGCTGGGGACAAATGTCATTTGGACATTTTTCATGATTTTGGAAAGATATGATAGGACATTCTTCTATATACCCTCACCTGCATTGATAAAGAAAAAGTCCTAAAGATATTTTTCAATCAGTAATTGTCCAAGAAAATAAACCGATCTGAAACTTTGCAGCTGTTTAGAAGTAGATAACAGTATTGACCTCATATTAGCCTTGCAGATGTATGTAGACAAGACATCTAAGTAAGTAGTACTGACCATGTCTTGACCATGCAGATGTATGTAGACACCTTGATTGTATTGCTGACAGTATGACTGTTTGTTGTGCAGGTGCTCCAGCCGTGTGACATCTCTTTCATTAGCAGTGCGCCCTATGGGAAGGATCATCATATGGATATCAACATCACTGACTTAGTTCTCAATATCTCTCCAGCCATCATCTCAACCATGGCTGCCATATCAGCCGGATTTGCCACCAAGCCTGTGAGTCTGTCACCGTCCTTACACACACTTACCCACATCCATGCACATAGATGACTGACATGTATCCAGGTTTTGCCAGTACACCTGTGAGTCTCCATCCTCAGACATATGTACCCACTTCCATGCACATAGATGACTGATTCCACTATACCTGTGAGTCTCCATCCTCAGACATATGTTCCCACATCCATGCACATAGATGACTAATTCCACTATACCTGTGAGTCTCCATCCTCAGACATATGTACCCACATCCATGCACATAGATGACTGATTCCACTATACCTGAGAGTCTCCATCCTCAGACATATATACCCACTTCCATGCACATAGATGACTGATTCCACTATACCTGAGAGTCTCCATCCTCAGACATATATACCCACTTCCATGCACATAGATGACTGATTCCACTATACCTGTGAGTCTCCATCCTCAGACATATGTACCCACTTCCATGCACATACATAGATGACTGATTCCACTATACCTGTGAGTCTCCATCCTCAGACATATGTACCCACATCCATGCACATAGATGACTGATTCCACTATACCTGTGAGTCTCCATCCTCAGACATATGTACCCATTTCCATGCACATAGATGACTGATTCCACTATACCTGAGAGTCTCCATCCTCAGACATATGTGCCCACATCCATGCACATAGATGACTGATTCCACTATACCTGTGAGTCTCCATCCTCAGACATATGTGCCCACATCCATGCACATAGATGACTGATTCCACTATACCTGAGAGTCTCCATCCTCAGACATATGTACCCACTTCCATGCACATAGATGACTGATTCCACTATACCTGTGAGTCTCCATCCTCAGACATATGTACCCATTTCCATGCACATAGATGACTGATTCCACTATACCTGAGAGTCTCCATCCTCAGACATATGTACCCACATCCATGCACATAGATGACTGATTCCACTATACCTGTGAGTCTCCATCCTCAGACATATGTACCCACTTCCATGCACATACATAGATGACTGATTCCACTATACCTGTGAGTCTCCATCCTCAGACATATGTACCCATTTCCATGCACATAGATGACTGATTCCACTATACCTGAGAGTCTCCATCCTCAGACATATGTGCCCACATCCATGCACATAGATGACTGATTCCACTATACCTGTGAGTCTCCATCCTCAGACATATGTGCCCACATCCATGCACATAGATGACTGATTCCACTATACCTGAGAGTCTCCATCCTCAGACATATGTACCCACTTCCATGCACATAGATGACCGATTCCACTATACCTGTGAGTCTCCATCCTCAGACATATGTACCCACTTCAATGCACATAGATGACCGATTCCACTATACCTGTGAGTCTCCATCCTCAGACATATGTACCCACATCCATGCACATAGATGACTGATTCCACTATACCTGTGAGTCTCCATCCTCAGACATATGTACCCACATCCATGCACATAGATGACTGATTCCACTATACCTGTGAGTCTCCATCCTCAGACATATGTTCCCACATCCATGCACATAGATGACTGATTCCACTATACCTCAGACATATGTACCCACTTCCATGCACATAGATGACTGATTCCACTATACCTGTGAGTCTCCATCCTCAGACATATGTGCCCACATCCATGCACATAGATGACTGATTCCACTATACCTGTGACTCTCCATCCTCAGACATATGTACCCACTTCCATGCACATAGATGACTGATTCCACTATACCTGTGAGTCTCCATCCTCAGACATATGTACCCACATCCATGCACATAGATGACTGATTCCACTATACCTGTGAGTCTCCATCCTCAGACATATGTTCCCACATCCATGCACATAGATGACTGATTCCACTATACCTGTGAGTCTCCATCCTCAGACATATGTTCCCACATCCATGCACATAGATGACTGATTCCACTATACCTGTGAGTCTCCATCCTCAGACATATGTACCCACTTCCATGCACATAGATGACTGATTCCACTATACCTGTGAGTCTCCATCCTCAGACATATGTACCCACTTCCATGCACATAGATGACTGATTCCACTATACCTGTGAGTCTCCATCCTCAGACATATGTACCCACATCCATGCACATACATAGATGACTGATTCCACTATACCTGTGAGTCTCCATCCTCAGACATATGTACCCACTTCCATGCACATAGATGACTGATTCCACTATACCTGTGAGTCTCCATCCTCAGACATATGTACCCACATCCATGCACATAGATGACTGATTCCACTATACCTGTGAGTCTCCATCCTCAGACATATGTACCCACTTCCATGCACATAGATGACTGATTCCACTATACCTGTGAGTCTCCATCCTCAGACATATGTACCCACTTCCATGCACATAGATGACTGATTCCACTATACCTGTGAGTCTCCATCCTCAGACATATGTACCCACATCCATGCACATAGATGACTGATTCCACTATACCTGTGAGTCTCCATCCTCAGACATATGTACCCACTTCCATGCACATAGATGACTGATTCCACTATACCTGTGAGTCTCCATCCTCAGACATATGTACCCACTTCCATGCACATAGATGACTGATTCCACTATACCTGTGAGTCTCCATCCTCAGACATATGTACCCACATCCATGCACATACATAGATGACTGATTCCACTATACCTGTGAGTCTCCATCCTCAGACATATGTTCCCACATCCATGCACATAGATGACTGATTCCACTATACCTGTGAGTCTCCATCCTCAGACATATGTACCCACTTCCATGCACATAGATGACTGATTCCACTATACCTGTGAGTCTCCATCCTCAGACATATATACCTACATCCATGCACATACATAGATGGCTGCCATACACACACATTGACACACAGACTACAATAGTCCGACTTATTCTGGAGTTGAAACTGAATTGTTTATTGTTGATATAACTTTTTCCGTTCTGTGGATAAGTGATGTTCCTGTTTGATGTGTAGGCAGAAGAGGAAGGTCCGAGCAGAGAGCCTGTCCCTGTTGGACTGTGGACTATCAAGAAGGTGGAGGAGTGCAACTTCTGGTATCTCAAGTCCAGTACGTCTGCTTACAACACTCGTCAGTTTCATGAACACACTTCAGCGCTGAAGTTTAACTGCTTTCAAACAACTCATATTTTCTGTTTCAATAACTGTATTTTTTTTTCTTGGTGTTGAAACTAAGCCTAACTGAGAGTCGCTGAAAGGGATGTGTCTGTGGCTGGATAGTTCCTGGCCTTCTAGCATGATGGACACCACACATTTGTTTGATAACACCTGCAGTGTGTTGACTGTTACAGTTGAGGAGGGCCTTGCAGCAGACACAGAACCTGCCCTCACAAACGGAGAGGTTGCCGAGGAGGTCGGCATGCAACGTGGAGAACAGGTAACGGGTAGACACTATCTCCATTACAAATGTTACAGTTAGCATAGGCTTAGCCAAATCTGTCAGTTCTATGTGATGAGTTTTATCTTGGATTTGTTTATTTCGACAGTTGATCCTGAACTTACCATCCCTTGTGATCAAGCTTGAAGGGGGTGTTGGCCATAGGACGGTGCCGCTACTGATTGTTGAGTCAGCTTTCCAGGCTGAAGTCCGTGACTGGAGCTCTAAGGTAAGGCTTTCAAGTGTAAGATGCTGCTGTTTACCGACTGCATGCTTCATGGCCACTGTGAGAGTGGTGCTGCTGTCGGACACCATTGTTGCTTTGACACTGATGTTGTGAGAGTGATATTGCTGCCTGTCATAGACCTGTGTTGCTGTGTTTCAGCTTTTGGTGGACAGCTCGCTGCTGCTGGAAGTGGCGTATTACAATGAGAAGCTGGCTGTGTGGGAGCCGTTGGTGGAGCCCATTCTTGAGGATGGAAAGCCACGCCGCTGGGAACTTGGACTCGAGGTACACAACAGAGAAGTTTATTTTTTAACTATAGGTATCCAGTGAAAGCACTTGCATATACCAGGAAAGAATACATGCTAGTAACCTACTCTTGCTGTGAGAGGTGACATCTGTGCCTGATTGGATGCTGCTCATTATACCAGTTACTCATTTGTCTATTGTACCTCTGTGACATAGCTGGAATTAGCTGACTGCAATATTAAACAGAATGCACATCGCTGGCACACATGGATATACTGTGGGTGGTGTTTGGTGAACTGATGTTGTTATATCATGTGTGTGATATACATGACAATGCTACAAGGTGTGGCTACACCTTGTTGTGTGTGTGATACACATTGAATATATGGTGTGAATGCACATTGATGTGTGTTGTGAGTACACATGGATGTGTTTTTATGTTGCAGGTGGTGCAGAATGACGACCTGCCCCCACTGCCCCCAGAGGACGCCGAAGACACTGTGGTCCTTCCCCTGCCCAAGATGAGCGTCAGCATCAAGTCTACTGATGCCATGCAGCTCACCATGTCCAAAGCCTGCCTGGAGGTGCTCACCAACCTGGGCAAGGTGAGTCGGTCATCTGTTGAGTACAGTGTCCTCCCTGCAGGAGGTGGAAACCTCGCCTGAGCTAATGTTGAATGTCATTGAAGGGGCTGCAAACAGGGGGGAAATATAAATACACCTTCATTCATATTTAGTCCTACTGTGCTTTTGTGTTGTATGCAAAGACGAAAATATGTTGTGTATTTATTATATGCCCCCATATTCCTTGTTACATTTATGTTTCTATGTGATTTTTTGTAATTTAAAAACATATTTGCCCATTAACATAATTAATCTATATGTTCTTTGTGCCACAGGCCTTCAATGATGCTTACAACTTGGTGGAGCCATCAGCTGCCATTGGGGAGGTCCTCACCCCCTATGTTATTGAGAATTACACCGGCATGGACATTGTGCTCAAGCTGGACACTTCATTTGAGGTATGTGTCACATCATTAGAACCAGGGAGACAGTAAGTGTCCATACACTTTTAGGTATGGCTTGTCTGCGACCAGTGTGTATTTTTCATGTGTAGACTCCGACCCATGCAGTGAGTGGGCGTGTCTAGGTATGACTTGTATGAGACTGACTTGTGTACATTCTCCATATGTAGACTCCGACCCATGCAGTGAGTGGGCGTGTCTAGGTATGACTTGTATGTGACTGACTTGTGTACATTCTCCATATGTAGACTCCGACCCATGCAGTGAGTGGGCGTGTCTAGGTATGACTTGTATGTGACTGACGTGTGTACATTCTCCATGTGTAGACTCCGACCCATGCAGTGAGTGGGCGTGTCTAGGTATGACTTGTATGTGACTGACGTGTGTACATTCTCCATATGTAGACTCCGACCCATGCAATGAGTGGGCGTGTCTAGGTATGACTTGTATGTGACTGACTTGTGTACATTCTCCATGTGTAGACTCCGACCCATGCAGTGAGTGGGTGTGTCTAGGTATGACTTGTATGTGACTGACTTGTGTACATTCTCCATGTGTAGACTCCGACCCATGCAGTGAGTGGGCGTGTCTAGGTATGACTTGTATGTGACTGACTTGTGTACATTCTCCATGTGTAGACTCCGACCCATGCAGTGAGTGGGCGTGTCTAGGTATGACTTGTATGTGACTGACGTGTGTACATTCTCCATGTGTAGACTCCGACCCATGCAGTGAGTGGGCGTGTCTAGGTATGACTTGTATGTGACTGACGTGTGTACATTCTCCATGTGTAGACTCCGACCCATGCAATGAGTGGGTGTGTCTAGGTATGACTTGTATGTGACTGACTTGTGTACATTCTCCATGTGTAGACTCCGACCCATGCAGTGAGTGGGTGTGTCTAGGTATGACTTGTATGTGACTGACTTGTGTACGTTCTCCATATGTAGACTCCGACCCATGCAGTGAGTGGGCGTGTCAAGCTGCAGTCTGGGAAAAAGCTGCCACTGTCAGAGAAGATTGTCGCCCAGTCATCCACAAAGGCCTCTGTCATCAAGGCAACGCAGGAGGGTGTGGAGAGAAAGATAATATTCCTGGTATGTTCTTTACTTGACATCAGCAACATGGCTGCAGAATACTGTTATGTCTTGTATATACTGAGTCATGTAGAACATTTAATGTTTCTAGGAAACTCCTAAATTTAGATTAACTGTCTGCATGTTATGTAGGTGGAGGAGTTTGGAGCTACTCGAGAAGTGACGATCAAGCGGGCAGAGAAACGCATGTTCCAGATCAACAAAGTGTCTCACAGCGGAGACAAGTGGGCCATCGTCGCCAACACACAGGCACACATTGGCCAGAAGATTGTGGCTCTGCAGTCACTCATACAGGTACGGTCCTCTACTATCTTGACTGACAGCTATGTGTTGGACTAATCAAACCCAAGCAGTGGCAGTGTGTAACCCAGAAGACACAAACAGCTGGCTCTTGCATGCTTAAACTCCTGTGGGTTTGGATAGGTCCCAAAGACTAAAATTGGATCTGATGATGAGACTCTTTGACACATCCACTCACTCTGTTTAGGTCAAGAATCACTTAGACCAAGCAGTGGAGGTGTATTACCGCGGAGACACACGGACTGACAGCTGTGGAGTGGCACCTCCTGGTGGCATCTTCAACATCCCACTGCATGCCATCTACTCCTCATCCAGTGAACTCTACTTCCGACCAGTCGAAGGGTGAGACATTTTAGTGAAATGCTTAATGATGATCAAACTGAACTCTGCCTTCTGCCGTTGATTGTGTTCTGCTTGTATGAACCTCAGGGAAGAAGCAGTCTAAGCATCATCAACTTGTTTAATCATTTCTATGTTTTCTGTGGAGTTGTGTTGATGGTGTATGATCAGTCTGTGGAGATGTGATGGTGTATGATCTGTCTGTGGAGATGTGATCATGGTGTATGATCTGGCTGTGGAGATGTGATGGTGTATGATCTTTCTGTGGAGTTGCGGTGATCGTGCATGATCTGTCTGTGGAGGTAGGATGGTGTATGATCTGTCTATGGAGTTGTGATGATGTTGTATGATCTGTCTGTGGAGATGTGATGGTGTATGATCAGTCTGTGGAGATGTGGTGATGGTGTATGATCTGTCTGTGGAGATGGGATGGTGTATGATCTGTCTGTGGTGATGGTGCAGATCTGTCTGTGGAGATGTGGTGATGGTGTATGATCTGTCTGTGGAGATGTGTTGATGGTGTATGATCTGTCTATGGAGTTGTGATGATGGTGTATGATCTGTCTGTGGAGTTGTGATGGTCTATGATCTGTCTGTGGAGATGTGGTGATGGTGTTTGATCTGTCTATGGTGATGGTGTATGATCTGTCTGTGGTGATGGGATGGTGTATGATCTGTCTATGGAGATGTGGTGATGGTGTATGATCTGTCTATGGTGATGGTGTATGATGTGACTGTGGTGATGGTGTATGATCTGTCTATGGTGATGGTGTATGATCTGTCTGTGGTGTTGGTGTATGATCTGTCTATGGTGATGGTGTATGATCTGTCTGTGGAGATGGGATGGTGTATGATCTGTCTGTGGAGATGTGGTGATGGTGTATGATCTGTCTGTGGAGATGTGGTGATGGTGTATGATCTGTCTATGGAGTTGTGATGATGGTGTATGATCTGTCTGTGGAGATGGGATGGTGTATGATCTGTCTGTGGAGATGTGTCGGAGTATGATCTGTCTGTGGAGATGTGGTGATGGTGTATGATCTGTCTGTGGAGATGTGGTGATGGTGTATGATCTGTCTATGGTGATGGTGTATGATCTGTCTATGGTGATGGTGTATGATCTGTCTGTGGTGATGGGATGGTGTATGATCTGTCTGTGGTGATGGTGTATGATCTGTCTATGGTGATGGTGTATGATCTGTATGTGGTGATGGTGTATGATCCGTCTGTGGTGTTGTGATGGTGTATGATCTGTCTATGGTGATGGTGTATGATCTGTATGTGGTGATGGTGTATGATCCGTCTGTGGTGTTGTGATGGTGTATGATCCGTCTGTGGGAGACTGGCAACAGTTTGAGGTGTAGTTATCATGTATTTCCTGTCTTTTGATGCAGATATGACATGTGTAAGGAGCCATTCAGGTGGCGGGCTGCAGAGAATGATGGAGTGAAGCAGTGTGCGTGTCCAAGTCGACAGAGTGGACACTCAGCCTTCTACTTCAATGTGAGTCTAACATTACTTGATTTCACAGGAAATATCACCTGTGGGACATCAAAATACATCTCAAGGAGATAATGCTTTCCTCATCATCCAATGGGCAATTGACCTTAGCTTGGGGTTAACATGTTCAAATCTAACACAAATGATTCTGGTTTACCTTACTTTTGACTTGCAAACATATTTCCATTTGTTTTATTCTAACAGTATGATGGAGGGCTGGGATGGGTACTTGGGTCTGATGGGTACTGAGAAGGACCCGGGTACCCACAGAACTATACGGTCCCGTGGTTAGTCACATGATATATTATTATACTTAAATTATCTAGAATTCTATGGTTACTCTACAAGTCACTAATGTTCATATTTCTTTCTGATGATGTACACATTCCTTCTGACCTTAAAATGTTTAAATAAGATAAAACTTCAGTCAACTTCAGTGTATGCAAGACCAGATTGTTTTATATGTGTATCTAAATACATTTTGCCAGGGCTACGTTCAAACCATTCCCAATCGGACATTTTGTACCCAACTTTTGAATCCTACAGCAGGTACCCGAGTAGGGTTGGGTAATAGTGAGGTGGGTACCAGGGTAGTAAATTTGGACTCATCCCAGCGCTAGTGTGATGACATAATAGTCAGATAACCGAACATTCTGGTAAGTAAGGATGTTTTGTTTTGTTTGTTTAACGCCACACTCAGCAATATTCCAGCTATATGATGGCGGTCTGTAAATAATTGAGTCTGGACAAGACAATTCAGTGATTGACATCATGAGCATAGATCCACGCAGTTGGGACCGATGACATGCTTCAAATAAGTCAGCAAGTCTGACCACCCGATCCCGTTAGTCGCTTTTACGACAAGCATAGTCGCCTTTTACGGCAAGCATGGGTTGCTGAAGACCTATTCTACCCCGGATCTTCACGGGTCTAATTGAGTGGATGTCCTAAACCTATAATGTTATGGCATGGTTGCTTCTGAACTGTAATTTCATCTACAGACTGGTGGAATTTCTGTGGTAATAAATTCTGCACTAATTTACGATTTTATACAAAAGAAAGACATTTTTTAACTTTGCATTACAGTATTTTGGTACTGATCTTCAATGATGTACTTATAGGCAGCAAACTTTTCACATATTCGACCTCTACTTCAATAGTTGTTAATTGATTGGCGTCATGCTATGCAGTGATGACTTTGGTGTTCCAGGTGAGCCCTGAGGTGGAGAACATCTTCTTTGAGGCAGGCGAAGAGCCCTCCGCCAAAAGCTATGTCCTACACCTGTACCCAACAGTCATTCTTCACAACCTGCTGCCCTTTCCCATCACCTACATGTTGGAGGTAGGTTGTGTCCCATCACCTATATGTTGGAGGTAGGTTGTGTCCCATCACCTATATGTTGGAGCTAGGTTGTGTCCCATCACCTACATACTGGAGGTGGGTTGTGTCCCATCACCTACATGCTGGAGGTAGGTTGTGTCCCATCACCTACATGCTGGAGGTGGGTTGTGTCCCATCACCTACATGCTGGAGGTGGGTTGTGTCCCATCACCTACATGTTGGAGGTGGGTTGTGTCCCATCACCTACATACTGGAGGTGGGTTGTGTCCCATCACCTACATACTGGAGGTAGGTTGTGTCCCATCACCTACATACTGGTGGTAGGTTGTGTCCCATCACCTACATGTTGGAGGTAGGTTGTGTCCCATCACCCTACATACTGGAGGTAGGTTGTGTCCCATCACCTACATGTTGGAGGTTGGTTGTGTCCCATCACCTACATACTGGAGGTAGGTTGTGTCCCATCACCTACATACTGGTGGTGGGTTGTGTCCCATCACCTACATACTGGTGGTAGGTTGTGTCCCATCACCTACATACTAGAGGTGGGTTGTGTCCCATCACCTACATGCTGGAGGTAGGTTGTGTCCCATCACCTACATGTTGGAGGTGGGTTGTGTCCCATCACCTACATACTAGAGGTAGGTTGTGTCCCATCACCTACATACTGGAGGTAGGTTGTGTCCCATCACCTACATACTGGAGGTGGGTTGTGTCCCATCACCTACATACTGGAGGTAGGTTGTGTCCCATCACCTTCATGTTAGAGGTAGGTTGTGTCCCATCACCTACATACTGGTGGTAGGTTGTGTCCCATCACCTACATGTTGGAGGTAGGTTGTGTCCCATCACCCTACATACTGGAGGTAGGTTGAGTCCCATCACCTACATGTTGGAGGTTGGTTGTGTCCCATCACCTACATACTAGAGGTAGGTTGTGTCCCATCACCTACATACTGGTGGTGGGTTGTGTCCCATCACCTACATAGGGGAGGTGGGTTGTGTCCCATCACCTACATACTGGTGGTAGGTTGTGTCCCATCACCTACATACTAGAGGTGGGTTGTGTCCCATCACCTACATACTGGTGGTAGGTTGTGTCCCATCACCTACATGCTGGAGGTGGGTTGTGTCCCATCACCTACATACTAGAGGTAGGTTGTGTCCCATCACCTACATACTGGAGGTAGGTTGTGTCCCATCACCTACATACTGGTGGTAGGTTGTGTCCCATCACCTACATACTAGAGGTAGGTTGTGTCCCATCACCTACATACTGGGGGTAGGTTGTGTCCCATCACCTACATACTGGTGTTAGGTTGTGTCCCATCACCTACATTCTGGAGGTGGGTTGTGTCCCATCACCTACATACTGGAGGTAGGTTATGTCCCATCACCTACATACTGGAGGTAGGTTGTGTCCCATCACCTAAATAGTGGAGGTGGGTTTTGTCCCATCACCTACATTCTGGTGGTAGGTTGTGACCCATCACCTACATACAAGAGGTGGGTTGTGTCCCATCACCTACATTCTGGTGGTAGGTTGTGACCCATCACCTACATACAAGAGGTGGGTTGTGTCCCATCACCTACATACTGGTGGTAGGTTGTGTCCCATCACCTACATTCTGGAGGTAGGTTGTGTCCCATCACCTACATACTGGTGGTAGGTTGTGTCCCATCACCTACATTCTGGAGGTAGGTTGTGTCCCATCACCTACATACTGGTGGTAGGTTGTGTCCCATCACCTACATACTAGAGGTGGGTTGTGTCCCATCACCTACATACTGGAGGTGGGTTGTGTCCCATCACCTACATTCTGGTGGTAGGTTGTGTCCCATCACCTACATACTGGTGGTGGGTTGTGTCCCATCACCTACATACTAGAGGTAGGTTGTGTCCCATCACCTACATACTGGAGGTAGGTTGTGTCCCATCACCTACATGCTGGAGGTGGGTTGTGTCCCATCACCTACATGTTGGAGGTAGGTTGTGTCCCATCACCTACATACTATAGTCTGGTTGTGTCCCATCATCTATGTTGAGTGTTGGTTGTGTGTGCCCTTCATCACTCGGCTGTGTGTCTATGTGATGCCCTGCATGTTTCAGGGGATGGCGGAGCAGCAGACGCTACAGAAGGGGGTGAACATCCCGCTTTTCCATGCCAGTATCAACGAGTCCAGCCTTGAAGTGACTGTAAGTCCATCCTATGTCTGTTCATCTCTTGTCTCTAGACTCAAGGAAAAGGGAACCTAATGTCTTGGATGACAGTAAAAACAGCTCCAGGACATGTAAAAGTTAATGGGTTAAGTGAATAACTGATAAGGTATTAGTGAGACTCGAACTGTTTTAATGATGTAACTATCTTATAATACATGATGAATGCTTTGGGTCTATGGGATTTGTATGTCAAACTAACATACCGGGTTGGAGATATTGTGGTGTGTTTGGTGTTGGGCTGGGATGTTGTGGGACAGCCAGCATGGTGAAGGACTAACATCAACACCACAGCTTGGTATAAAATGTGTGTGATAACACTTAACACTTTACTTTCCCCTTGACAGCCACGCCTGGACATTGTGGTATGAATGTAGCTCCCAGCTGATGTATGCATTGTGTTAGTCTCTGTTGTTATGTGGTATGACTTTAGATTCCAGTTTACATATTTTGTGTGTTAGTCTCTGTTGTTATGTGGTCTGACTTTAGATTCCAGTTTACATATTTTGTGTGTTAGTCTCTGTTGTCATGTGGTCTGTGTTGTTGTTTGTGAAGCCTGCGCTGTCCCGCATCCACTGCGTGAGACTGGGCAACTCAGGCAGCCTCATGGACAGTGCATCCACTGTCTTACCCGCATGTGCTGATGTAATAGAGCCATCCTGGGTTATCCATTGTCTCCTATCTCCGTTATAGCAGGACAAGTGCCCTGACCCATTTGCTACACAAACTCACGGGTGAGAGACATTTTGTGGAAGGTGCAATGAGAGTAATGGACAGCACTTCTAAACAGTTATAAAACGGAATGAACCCACTGTGTTTAACGTTATGGAATGGAGATTTAATACACTGGATAATTGAGGACAGCAAGGAATGTTGTGAACTGACTGAGGTTTCAGAAAAAAACCCATTGAAAACTACATCCTGAAGTGCTCAATCTGTATTCAATTAATATATTACAATTAAACATGTGAAGGCTGACCATGTAGATGTGTAAGACCAACATGTGAAGGCTGACCATGTAGATGTGTAAGACCAACATGTGAAGGCTGACCATGTAGATGTGTAAGACCAACATGTGAAGGCTGACCAACATGTGAATGCTGACCATGTAGATGTATAAGACCAACATGTGAAGGCTGACCATGTAGATGTGTAAGACCAACATGTAGGGCTGACCATGTAGATGTGTAAGACCAACATGTGAATGCTGACCATGTAGATGTATAAGACCAACATGTGGAGGCTGACCAACATGTGAAGGCTGATCAACATGTGAAGGCTGACCATGTAGATGTATAAGACCAACATGTGAAGGCTGACCATGTAGATGTATAAGACCAACATGTAAAAGGCTGACCATGTAGATGTGTAAGACCAACATGTGAAGGCTGACCATGTAGATGTGTAAGACCAACATGTAAATGCTGACCATGTAGATGTATAAGACCAACATGTGGAGGCTGACCAACATGTGAAGGCTGATCAACATGTGAAGGCTGATCAACATGTGAAGGCTGACCATGTAATTGTGTAAGACCAACATATGAAGGCTGACGATGTAGATGTGTAAGACCAACATGTGAAAGCTGACCATGTAGATGTGTAAGACCAACATATGAAGGCTGACCATGTAGATGTGTAAGACCAACATGTGAAGGCTGACCATGTAGAATGTGTAAGACCAACATGTGAAGGCTGACCATGTAGAATGTGTAAGACCAACATGTGAAGGCTGACCATGTAGAATGTGTAAGACCAACATGTGAAGGCTGACCATGTAGATGTGTAAGACCAACATGTGAAGGCTGACCATGTAGATGTGTAAGACCAACATCTGAAGGCTGACCATGTAGATGTGTAAGAGACACATGTGAAGGCTGATCATGTAGATGTATAAGACCAACATATGAAGGCTGATCAACATGTGAAGGCTGACCAATATGTGAAGGCTGACCAATAGGTGAAGGCTGATCAACATATGAAGGCTGACCATGTAATTGTGTAAGACCAACATTTGAAGGCTGACCATGTAGATGTGTAAGACCAACATGTGAAGGCTGACCAACATGTGAAGGCTGACCAACATGTGAAGGCTGACCAACATGTGGAGGCTGACCAACATGTGGAGGCTGACCAACATGTGAAGGCTGACCAACATGTGAAGGCTGACCATGTAGATGTGTAAGAGAAACATGTGGAGGCTGACCAACATGTGAAGGCTGACCAACATGTGAAGGCTGACCATGTAGATGTGTAAGAGAAACATGTGAAGGCTGACCAACATGTGAAGGCTGATCAACATGTGAAGGCTGACCATTATGTGAAGGCTGACCAACATGTGAAGGCTGATCAACATGTGAAGGCTGACCAACATGTGAAGGCTGACCAACATGTGAAGGCTGACCATCATGTGAAGGCTGACCAACATGTGAAGGCTGATCAACATTGTGGAGGCTGACCAACATGTGAAGGCTGACCAACATGTGAAGGCTGACCAACATGTGAAGGCTGATCAACATGTGGAGGCTGACCATCATGTGAAGGCTGACCAACATGTGAAGGCTGATCAACATTGTGGAGGCTGACCAACATGTGAAGGCTGATCAACATTGTGGAGGCTGACCAACATGTGAAAGCTCACCAACATGTGAAGGCTGATCAACATGTGAAGGCTGACCATGTAATTGTGTAAGAGCAAATTTGGAGATCTGCTGTACAAAGGGGACACATCTGAAGGCCCTCCAGTTTCTAGAGGATTTCTTTCAAACGAATACAGCTCAGCATATTGCATTTTATTACCAGCAGAAAACTTCATATATAATCAGTTGAGCACAAAATCACAAGCAGTTAGCTGTCAGCAGCATGTTTGTTGAATATATGATGTCTACTGACTGGATGTATTAACACCTATTATCCATCTTGCACATGCAGGCAATATGTGAAGCCAGCCAAGACACTAGGGGTGTAACAGTACGCTAGCAGTATTTGTCATTGCACTCACAGCTTTTTTACCTCAAACACATCCTGTCAATTATGTCAGCATGAGGCTAATTTGCAGCTCCAATTACTGCTTTCATAAGCATGCTTTGTTTCAGCCTAGATGTATTCCACTTGTGAGGTTTATTTCCCTGTCAGACGAAGGGACTTATATGATACTTACCATTATATGTTGTGTATTGTTTGTATGACTTAGTTAGTGGCTGTATAGCAGTGGCAGCCTGCAGAGAGATTGCATCTCTGTATCACTGCATCACTAGAGGAGACGGAAGTCATACATCCATGGCCAGTGTCTCCCAGTACAGGTGCTGGCATACCCTGCTGGCGTCCCCTGCTTGCAACTTTGTAGTCTAAATGCATGGACTGAAGCATGTAGTTGACAGTAGTCACATATACTCTGGGCGTGTGGTAAAGCACTAATGTTGGAATTATTAAAGTGAGCTTGAACAATATCGCATTTACCACAGTTGAATATTCCTCTAACTCACTGTTAACTCATTACAGTCATGCCCTGCTTATACAGACTTCAGATATCCGGAAACCTCGGTTCCCAGACGATTTTCATTCAAAACGAAATAATTACTATATAAATTTACCAGTATATACGGAAATTCAGTTTCCAGAACCGGATGGTCATTTTCATACACAAAACACTGAAATGCACACAAAATTGTCTCACTTACCCGGACAATACACTTCCACTGGTGGTAATCCTTCCGCTGGTGGTAATCCTTTGATTCGTGAGAAATCAATTAACCATGTGACACTGAGTTACGTTTGAGATGAGCTTGTTTATTGTACATGTAATCCCATTCGATAACCCACTACAGTCACTCACAAGGAAGCTTGTGCTTTTATAGAGACCTTGATTACATATTACGAGAACACAGGCGATCTGGACAATTTAGAACTATTGTTTAAAATTCAAACCTCAAAATGTGGTAAAGTTCAAACTTCCATGACAGATTTTTTGAAACGTGTATGTCTTGAATAAAGATTGAGTGGATGTATTTGTTTGCTCTGTCATCTGTCATGAGTTGCATAATTGAAGGGAAGTAACTCTTCCAGTAAGAAGCTGGTTTCAGTTACACGGAAATTCGTTTATACGGACAAATTGTGAAATGACACAAGTGTCCGTATAAACGAGGCACGACTGTACTGGTAAGATAACTTAATCAACCCAGTTTGGTGATAGTTGATCAATTAAAGCATTATCCGTGGCAAGTGTTAACATACAAATACAACCTCTGTCATGAGGAAATGTGACTATGGATTCAGTATTGTATTGTGTTACCATTCCGTAGCCTGCAGAAGATAGTTATGTATGCTGACTGTAATCAGGAGGTGTCTTCAGACAAACAAAGTACTTGGTGGTACAACACTTCTCATAATTGCTTCCTCGAACAGTCCTAGTCCTCATCTTCATCTTCACATAGTTTGTCATTTCAGCATCAGTAAGTAGTCTATTCTCATACAGTTTTTCTGTCCAATCCTTTCCTATGTTGTAAACAAAGCATGACGGTGGACATACTTGCAACTGCAACAACCACACCTTAATGCTGTCAGTACTCTGCAGCAGGCACAAGATTACATTATCTTAGTGATATTCTCTCTCAGAGATGCCCCCTCAAAAATCCTTCATAGGCTGGCACTGGAATACAGGATATAATGTAATGTGCCATGCCTATACAATGCAGCTTTCTGACACAAAGCATAACCCTGCTGCACTAGCTGGAATGACACTGTGTCTGTGTTGCAGATTCCGGACTATCAGGGCAAGGAGTGGATTGGCCGCAGGACGCTGCAAAAGAATGTCCCCGAGTTGTCTGTGTGGAACTTCGAGAGCCATGATGGAACCCAGAAGACTGCTATGGTAAGTTATCTAATGAGAGGAATGACTTTGTTACCAAAGCTGCTGCAAGGAAAGGATGTTGTTCACACAGAGATAAGACTGACATGGTGCGTTGAATGTTTCAGGATCTCGGTCTGCACTGTAAGGTAAATGAGGGCAGCTTTGACGTGACCGTGTACAGCCCGTACTGGATGCTGAACAAGACAGGACAGTCCCTCTGTTACAAGGTACGTTGTTGCTTAGCCTGCTGGATAGATTGTTGTTGTGTTGTTACTCCTCCGTGGAGATACGCCTTCGTTAAACTGTGGCTCATAACGTCATGTGTGGACGGGACTAGTTTGGTCATTCGTATGGTGGTGTCGGTTATGTCAACTGATGCAGTCCTGTGTCATAAATCTATGGTGCTCCATAAGTGGTGCCGGTGCCGGTAATGGTAATTACTGCACTTTCAAACCACCTTCTGACTCTTATCTTTGGCTCCCTTTGCCAACAGTGAGTCGACTTGAAACAAGATGTTTTCAGCTCAAGGCAGATTTGCTGGTGATAAGGAACTTTATAAAAACATATCTTATCCTTTCATTTATGCCATGCATTTATTGCCACATCTCACCATGAGAGAACTGTGGTGTAATACATTCCTTGAAACAATATGGTATCTAGTGGGATCTTGTTTGGTAATCTATATTTCTCCACTCTAACTCTGTGGCATTAATTCAAGGGCTGTTTGACTTTATTTGACTGTTTGTTGATTCCAGGGGTCTGATGCCCATGTTGTTTGACTTTATTTGACTGTTTGTTGATTCCAGGGGTCTGATGCCCATGTTGTTTGACTTTATTTGACTGTTTGTTGATTCCAGGGGTCTGATGCCCATGTTGTTTGACTTTATTTGACTGTTGATTCCAGTGGTCTGATGCCCATGTTGTTTGACTTTATTTGACTGTTTGTTGATTCCAGGGGTCTGATGCCCATGTTGTTTGACTTTATTTGACTGTTTGTTGATTCCAGGGGTCTGATGCTGATGTAGTTCTGGACCATGCAGCTGATAATGAGGATGTTGTCCTGTTCTCCTTCAAAGCCAAGACTCTCTTTGGTACCAAGAAGAAGGTATGTAACCTCTAGGAACAAGTCCTTCATGTGATCCTGTCAGTATCTGCAAACCTTGTAACATTATGTCTGAAGAACACACTAGTGTGAATCACTCTTTGGTTTCTTGTGCCCTTGATGGCATTATGTATCCTAGTGATAGTGTATAGGAAGGAGTCCATGTTGGGCTTTGTCCCCATCTTGTTGTAGGACAAAGTGGATAAGGTGGACATGTGATTGTGTTTTATCTTACCCTGATGATGTGAGATGTTGCTCATGATAGGAACCATTTGTTTATCTGGACCATGCTTGATGATTGATATGGTGCTGGGATAAAGCTTGAATACTGCTGACCGCACCATGAAACAACATTCATGCAGTCATTATAGGAAAGAGTGTTTGTGGTACATAGTTCAGAGTGAAATACCTCTCTGTTTGATTACAAAGGATCCATGGTTGTATACAGTGCGAGAAGCTATACATATCTTAATACCAACCCTGAGCACTGTTGGTTGTCCTCTCTTTGGTACCCTAGCCCTTCTAGCTGCGTCTGCCACCTCAATGTTTATGTAGCCTAATGTCTTGAATGTATCTGTGAAGGTTTAGGATAGACTTTATCTTGCAGCTGAATACTGGCAAAGAACCAGTAATAAAGGGGTTATTTCTTCCTGCATAACACATAGTAGTAGTTCATGAGGACTAACACTGGCAGCAGTCAGGTAACAGTGTGGTGATGGCAGCTGTGTACTGGGAACTAATTTCACATTCAACACATGTACTGGGTACTGATGTCACATTCAACACATGTACTGGGAACTAATTTCACATTCAACACATGTACTGGGTACTGATGTCACATTCAACACATGTACTGGGAACTAATTTCACATTGTATTTAATATATTTGTGTGAATGCGCACATGTAATAAATTCTAGTGCTGGTCAAAACTCTCGTTTTCCGTATTTTAAGCAACCTGACCAATCAACGCCACTGAAACACTCCGTGCTTGTATAATGAATTGTGATTGGCCCTTCACTCATAGCGTCTGTTACTACCATTATCGATCGATATTTACATGTAAGTAGGCTAATATCACGTTGAATGTGACAGTTAAGGCTTGTAAATAATAACAAACGACGAAAAACACAATGGGAATATCTTTATTTTTACACTATGAACAACCTGTATCATTGCAATGTGTGATACAAGGCGAAGATCGTGAGGTTGGTCGAGCGCGCTCCCCCGCCTCGGCCTCGGTTAAACGGCTCATCGTCTATAGCGCCCACCAATTATTTGGACCCCATTGGTAGCGTTGTAGCGAGGGTTCACTGTACTTAGGTCAGATTCAACACACATACTGGGTACTGATGTCACATTCAACACACATACTTGGGACTGATGTCACATTCAACACACATACTTGGTACTGAGGTCACATTCAACACACATACTGGGTATTGAGGTCACATTCAACACACATACTGGGTACTGATGTCACATTCAACACACATACTTGGGACTGATGTCACATTCAACACACATACTTGGTACTGATGTCACATTCAACACACATTCTGGGTACTGATGTCACATTCAACACACATACTTGGTACTGATGTCACATTCAACACACATACTTGGTACTGATGTCCCATTCAACACACATACTGGGTACTGAGGTCAGATTCAGCCAGTGTACAGGGGGCTTCTGTCTTCTTCAACACAAATATTGGATATTGAGGTCATGTTGAACATAAGTACTGGCTTCTGTCACTTCAAACACATACTGTTGGTTAGTCTTAGAAGATAACTTTGTGAAAACAGACTTTTTCATCTTTTCCTTCTACACGTGTGATTGTAATATTTTGACATTTTTACCTTATAGATACCTTACCATTTTTGGGAGTAGTAGCACTTTGATAACAAGGGTGTCCATCAGAGGCCAGAAGTAGCACTTTGATAACAAGGTTGCCCATCAGGGTCCAGGAGAAGTAGAACTTTGATAACAAGAGTGTCCATCAGGATCCAGGGGAAGTAGCACTTTGATAACAAGGGTGTCCATCAGGGTCCAGGGGAAGTAGCACTTTGATAACAAGGGTGTCCATCAGGGTCCAGGAGAAGTAGCACTTTGATAACAAGGGTGTCCATCAGGGTCCAGGAGAAGTAGCACTTTGATAACAAGAGTGTCCATCAGGATCCAGGAGAAGTAGCACTTTGATAACAAGGGTGTCCATCAGGGTCCAGGAGAAGTAGCACTTTGATAACAAGGGTGTCCATCAGGGTCCAGGAGAAGTAGCACTTTGATAACAAGGGTGTCCATCAGGGTCCAGGAGAAGTAGCACTTTGATAACAAGGGTGTCCATCAGGGTCCAGGAGAAGTAGCACTTTGATAACAAGGGTGTCCATCAGGGTCCAGGAGAAGTAGCACTTTGATAACAATGATGTCCATTAGGGTTCAGGGGTAGTAGCACTTTGATAACAAGGGTGTCCATCAGGATCCAGGAGTAGTGGCACTTTGATAACAAGGATGTCCATCAGGGTCCAGGGGTAGTAGCACTTTGATAACAAGGGTGTCCATCAGAGAACAGGAGATTGGCTGTTTGGTATTGTTCAGGCTCATGCTATGGCAGATGTTCCTGTAGCTTGTCCTTGAAGACAATGAAGACTCGGTAGACTTACTGAAAGATATTTGAGGGAGGGATGTCAGCGCCATTGTCCAGGGACCCGTTCCACAAAGCTATCTTAGCACTATGACTGTCATAAGTAAGTGTGAATTACGATAGTCGTAGGTTTGTAGGACAGGGTTGAGGTAGAGGATGTCGCTGTGATTAGGGATGGAGTTGTTACTGAATGCCCATGTTGTTGAAGGAGAAGGAGAAGGACGGCACACTGGAGAGGAAGGGCAAAGTGAAGGAGATGAAGCAGAGTGGTAAAGTACGTATCTTGGCAGGGCAGGCATGCCTAGCAACAAGCCCTGCCCAGGGGCAGCAGCCTGTAGCATGTCTGGCTGCTTGTTTCACTAACACCCTACTCCGGCTAGCGGAGTCGGAGACTGCAGTAGCAGTGAACTGTTGTTCACCATATTGACAACTTGCTCACTCACACTTCCTCAAAAGATGTGTAGAATAGCAGTCAGTTTTGCATGGATGTTTTATTTCAACAACTGTTTGAGTTTCAAGTTTAGTGAAATTTGTTCCACATTTTGTTCTACGGCACACTTTATTCCATCACATTTTGTGTATCCAATTATAAGTAGCCTCTTGACTCCATCTTTCTTATGGTTTTGTTGGTAGTGATTTGTTTTTGTCACAATGAGAGGATGGTGATATTATAACTCTGTGATTTACAAGTTGTAAACACAAGGACAACCAAGGACAGCGTTGCTTCACACTGTGTCCTAATGCCTAGCCAACACAGAAGTTTAACTCCAAACCTGAACTGATACCTTCACTTCATATGGAAGCCATGTGCTTGAAAACAGATAAAAATATGAATGGAATAAGTTTCAGTCTTTTCCTGTTATACAGCAAAGAGAGGGAATGAAAACACAGGAAATAGAACTTTCCCATTGACTAACTGTACCAGTTATCGCGATCATCAAAGCAGCATGTGCCACATGATCTTCTGTTTTCTGAATTACATTTTTCATGCACTGTTTTTGTTGTTTAGACAACGTGTCAATGATGTCAATACATGTATTATGTCATTCAGATAATAGTACATATGAACATGTGTTGATCATCAATCGTGTAGTTATCCGATCTTCGATCACACCAATACTTAATACTTTATTTCGTTTATCCAACATACTCAGTAATCCAACATTATCATATGCAACCAACCCTGTTGGATTAACGGGACCTGACTATACTTTCATACTGACTAGCTGTAAACATGGAATGTGGAAGCCATATACTGCAGTAAGAAAAGGAAAGAGTATGGGATGAGGCCTGAAAAGGGCTAGAACTTTCTTGTATACTTAGCTAGCCTTTCTGCAGTGGACAAAACTGAAAGCTGTACCATTCTTAAGCTAAGATTGAGGAAGGTGTTCATAAACTGTGTTCGCATTAATCCAGAAACGTGTGTCTTCTATGGATAAGAATCAGGAAAACATGCATGAGACATTTTGCATGCACTGTTTTTTGTCCAATATCAGTTCCCATGACAACAAATCGAGGCATGTTGTCATATTTATGAATGAATTTGTGGCACTACAGTCCATATTATTGAGGTCACGGGATACCAATGAATTTTCCACCTGCCAGACTTCTTGCGTTTCTAATGTTGTCATTACCCGATTTCCAGTTTGTGGCCTGTACCCGGTACACTGTAATCTTATTAAGGTTAAACTGAGCTGAAAAACAATACCCCTTTGACACCCATGAAAAGAAAACAGTGCGTGCAAATGAGTTTGTCTTAAGTAAGCTAGAGGCATGTGTTTATGCTATTCAGGAACAGTGGTGATGGAGCTACTTTTGTATTTGCTTCTCTGATGCGAACACTTTTCTAGTTGTTGAGGATACACATGAGTGTTGTGTGCATGCACAAGACAGTATAGATAGCTGCCTCGATCAACAGGCATGTGTCGTGCACCTATATGCTTGTTTGCTTTTAATATCTTGTCATCATTTAGCTGACCAACATTCTCTTTCAGAATTATGTGTATGTGTTGTGTTCACTTGGAGAGATTGTTGTCCCTGCCCGCTGATAGAATAAATGTGACTTGGTAGATCTTGGTTAGATCTGCCACCCCAATAGGTGTGGATCTAGATGGGGCCCATTGTTAGAACTGCCACCCCACCAAGTGGATCTGTGTGGGGCACATTGTTAGATATACCAACCCCCCAAGTGGATCTAGATGGGGCACATTGTTAGATCTGCCACCCCCAATAGGTGGATCTAGATGGGGCACATTGTTAGATCTACCACCCAATAGGTGTGGATCTAGATGGGGCCCATTGTTAGATCTGCCACCCCAATAGGTGTGGATCTAGATGGGGCCCATTGTTAGATATGCCACCCCAATAGGTGGATCTAGATGGGGCACATTGTTAGATCTACCACCCAATAGGTGGATCTAGATGGGGCACATTGTTAGATCTGCCAACCCCAATAGGTGGATCTAGATGGGGCACATTGTTAGATCTACCACCCAATAGGTGGATCTAGATGATGCACATTGTTAGATCTGCCACCCCCAATAGGTGGATCTAGATGGGGCACATTGTTAGATCTACCACCCAATAGGTGGATCTAGATGAGGCACATTGTTAGATCTGCCACCCCAATAGGTGGATCTAGATGGGGCACATTCTTAGATCTGCCACCCTAACATAGGATGGGATCTTGGGAGTTCAGTGGCAGAGAAAGATGTGACAGTGATGGGATCTTGGGAGTTCAGTGGTAGAGAGAGATGTGACAGTGATGGGATCTTGGGAGTTAAGGGTTGGGGAGACATTTGACAGTGATGGGATCTTGGGAGTTCAGTGGCAGAGAAAGATGTGACAGTGATGGGATCTTGGGAGTTCAGTGGTAGAGAGAGATGTGACAGTGATGGGATCTTGGGAGTTCAGTGGTAGAGAGAGATGTGACAGTGATGGGATCTTGGGAGTTCAGTGGTAGAGAGAGATGTGACAGTGATGGGATCTTGGGAGTTCAGTGGTAGAGAGAGATGTGACAGTGATGGGATCTTCGGAGTTAAGGGTTGGGGAGACATTTGACAGTGATGGGATCTTGGGAGTTCAGTGGTAGAGAAAGATGTGACAGTGATGGGATCTTGGGAGTTCAGTGGTAGAGAGAGATGTGACAGTGATGGGATCTTGGGAGTTAAGGGTTGGGGAGACATTTGACAGTGATGGGATCTTTGGAGTTCAGTGGCAGAGAAAGATGTGACAGTGATGGGATCTTGGGAGTTCAGTGGTAGAGACAGAGATGTGACAGTGATGGGATCTTGGGAGTTCAGTGGTAGAGAGAGATGTGACAGTGATGGGATCTTGGGAGTTCAGTGGTAGAGAGAGATGTGACAGTGATGGGATCTTGGGAGTTCAGTGGTTTGAGAGAGATGTGACAGTGATGGGATCTTGGGAGTTCAGTGGTAGAGAGAGATGTGACAGTGATGGGATCTTGGGAGTTAAGGGTTGGGGAGACATTTGACAGTGATGGGATCTTGGGAGTTCAGTGGTAGAGAGAGATGTGACAGTGATGGGATCTTGGGAGTTCAGTAGATGCCATGATTGTTTCCACCTTATCTTCTCTTGTGTCATCTTTCTCCTTGATCTGTGAATCTGTTGTGCTGCAATTATGTCTAACTTGCCATGACTTATCCTCCATATCTAACTTATGCTGACAAGGACAAAAAGGAAGAGAGCGCTAAGTGTCCTCAGGCCAGGCAGGTAATAACGTAGGTGGTGAGGGGTAGAAGTGTTTAGATCTGGTGGAGGAGAAGAAGGAAGAGGGAGGTTGACCATCACGGCATCTTAGGCTTCTTTCTGGATTCCATCTTATTTCTATCTTCAGGTTTTATATTTCTCTTGACTCCAACTTTGGGTTCAATATTTCCTTGTTTCATATTTAGCTTTCATGTTGGACCGCCATGACAACAATCTCACTGATGACCAAAAGATTTGTTTTGCATGAACAGAAATTGTCAAATCGACTAAAGCAGGAGTTTTTTTGTTTTGCATGTATGTTTATGCTACTTGTTTTGTCCTTTTTATAGATACAATGCAGGATGTGAGATTTGTCATGTTTGATATCGATTTCTTTTGCATGTTCTTCTTTTCATATATTTTTTCTTGTATTCAACTGTTGGTTATCAATCCAGTGAGCTTTGAACTGACCGGGCACCACAGCTGTAGATATATGTAACCAAGTGATGACCACACTGGTACGGTGATGTAAGCTGTGACCGGGCACCACAGCTGTAGATATATGTGACCCAGTGATGACCACACTGTGGTATGGTGATGAAAGCTGTGACCAGGCACCACAGCTGTAGATATATGTGACCCAGTGATGACCACACTGTGGTATTGTGATGTAAGCTGTGACCAGGCACCACAGCTGTAGATATATGTGACCCAGTGATGACCACACTGTAGTATGATGAAAGCTGTGACCGGGCACCACAGCTGTAGATATATGTGACCCAGTGATGACCACACTGTGGTATGGTGATGAAAGCTGTGACCAGGCACCACAGCTGTAGATATATGTGACCCAGTGATGACCACACTGTGGTACGGTGATGTAAGCTGTGACCAGGCACCACAGCTGTAGATATGTGACCCAGTGATGACCACACTGTGGTATTGTGATGTAAGCTGTGACCAGGCACCACAGCTGTAGATATATGTGACCCAGTGATGACCACACTGTGGTACGGTGATGTAAGCTGTGACAGGGAACGACATGCCACTTGTAACAACTAGCTTAATCGTGTTTCACTTCCCATTCTCTGTTGTCTGAAGTAACATAACATTCAGTACTGGGACCTTAATATTTGTATAAAATCATGGTTCACCTTCTCATACTTTCTGTTTGTAAATCTGTGGCAGCCACATTGTACAGTATTTCTTCAGTTATGTCCTGCAGTGTTGTGTGTGGATGTAGTGATGCAGGTGCTTTATGTCCTGCAGTGTTGTGTGTGGATGTAGTGATGCAGGTGCTTTATGTCCTGCAGTGTTGTGTGTGGATGTAGTGATGCAGGTGCTTTATGTCCTGCAGTGTTGAGTGTGGATGTAGTGATGCAGGTGCTTTATGTCCTGCAGTGTTGTGTGTGAATGTAGTGATGCAGGTGCTTTATGTCCTGCAGTTTTGTGTGTGGATGTAGTGATCCAGGTGCTTTATGCGATGCTGTGTAGGCCCAGCTGAAGATCGGTGACACGGACTGGTCAGACAAGTTCTCCCTGGACACAGTGGGCAGTTCAGGCACAGTGCAGTGTAAGAGCAACAAGAGAGTGTTTGAGGTAAGCCACACCTGCAGCTGTCACACAGATAATGCCCTTTATCATATAATGGGTATGTTTTTCGCCAGGATAAAGCCAGCTGATAAAAACGATATCTGTTGGTGTCAATGTGGATAGAGATGCAAATATCAAAGGTCAAATAGGGACTACTTTCAGTGCTTACAAACAAACATGATGTCACCCTTGGCATTTGGAGATCTAGTCAGAATTAACCATCTGAATCTGGTGAATTTACTTGGATTATTGCTATCATTATCAAAAGAATAGTCTGATATACCAAATATCAGTGGTTAACTGTGACGTAGCTAAGGCATTTTACAAGTTTTGGCAACTTTAGAGATATAAATTGCAAAACAATTTAGCGAGGACACTAGCTTAGCACCAGTAGCAGGATCAGTTTCCATATCCTTCCTTCTAGACCTCTGCGTCTTGGAACCTTTTCCCCAAATTAAAACAGGTGGATTTGGCCGAAATATGTACGGATTGTAACCTTGTTTCGTTTTGTCGCTGTGTGTCTGTCTGACTGCACTTTGTAACATCATGACAGGACAGGCAGACTCTAAACAAACGTGACGTCTCATAGACTAGGGTTAGAGTAACTTCCCTTTGATAAAGTGCAGTTACTCTAGCAGACAGACTAGTGGATTGCCACACAAGGTAAGTAGAAACAATTTGTGTAGGCAATTGTTGTTTTGCCTATGTGTAGGTGCGCTACTCAATAAGAAACAGGTTTCATGGAACTATATTGACTGTTGTCACTGTCCGACGGACTCGTCACTTACCTTCTGACGAAATTTATATTAATGTGCACATTCCAGGAAAACTTGCAATGTCTAGGTAATGTTTGTGAGAGAGGGGAAGAGAGTTTACGAGCACAGAATTGAAGAATGACATTATATGATAAAGAGGTAATCACGTTTGTGTTTGGCGATGGTAAATATCCTGTATTAGGAATAAACACTATGTATTTAGCTATTTAAATTTAATGTTTATTCCTAATACAGGATATTTACCATCACCAAACACACTCTTGTGAGAACCTCTTTTTATCATGCCACTATGTCAGAATGTTGAGGTCTGATTGGTTCAACATTATCTTGATAAAACACTATGCCTGGGTAGGGAAGTAAATTTTTGAGTTGGGGAATAAAGCCCTCATACCCCGCCATGAAGAAGACAGGCTACATGTGGATGTCTGAGTGGGAGAATAAAAACCTTACACCCTGCTTCGAAGCAAAAAGCTGCATGCTTTTTCCGAGTCAATGAAAGTCACATGGCACAGCACAAGTTAACCTCAGCTGTTTTCTAACAATTTTCATTTTGTTTGAATTCATTCACAGTAGCTGATTGAAACATGTTGGTGAGATAAAAATATTGTTGAAGTATATTACATTAAGTAATACGTTACCACTGTTATACCGAGGCTGTTGTCTCCCACAACTGCTGCCATAGCCAAATCTACCACAGAGATCTCAATTACCTCATGCAGCACGTGCGTAGCCACCTAGCTGCCATGTGACACCCTTCACTCTTGTCTCTTCGCTTGCTCTAGCAAGACGTACAATAAACTGCTCAAGCGTTCCTGTTTCTCCGACCATTCGGTGATATTTATTACTGTTTATTCTCTCTAATAAACTGTGCTTTTACGGGGCGTTTGCTGTAACTACGCTTGGAAATATTTTTCCCGCCAAAAGGAAATATTTTTCCCGCCCTTTTTTTTCTATATACTTGCGGGGTGTCTCGTATGCACGTTGCGTCTTACGTTCCCCTGTTCTAGTGTATCTTGGGGTTTTTACATCACTTATTCCTCTATATGTTATATGTGTATGTTCTATATTCCCTTTGCTCGTTTATTTTCTTGTGAAAATACTCGTTTGTGACTATTTGTGGTGCGTGTGTTGTAACCATGTTTTGCTCTTTGTTCATAGTACAAACAAAATGTCTGACATGGATGTTTCGCCGTCCTCCACCCCCTCTACCCCCGCAACCAGGAGCTGCGGGGTGTGCCGCAAGCGAGTGCTACCGGCTGTATGTGCAGTCCGTTTCCACCCCTGTGGTGGCCGGCTCGTCCGGTCGGGGTCCCCTTGCGGGTACCACCACCACGGCTGCGGCGGATCCCTTGGCGGCCCGTGGGCTGTCCGGGGATTCCGTCGCTGCATTACTTGCATAACTTGTGGACTCCAAGCTGGTGGCCTTATCTCAGGATAGGCCGCTGGCTGTTCCGTCCCCGGCCACTTTGGTGGCCGCGGGGTCCACCGGTACGGCGGCGGCTCCCGTGGTCACCGGTCCTTCCCCCGAACCGTTGCTCCCGCTATCGGTTAAGGACCGCGTGGCCATGGTTTATGACCTCTTTGAGGACATGCCCCGGCCGGTACCGCGGGGAATCCACGACTGTGGGTTCCTCCGAGGTATACGATGAGTCTTCCGACACTGCTTTCCCCGCATCAACCTTGCTGCGCGGTATCAAGCCTTCCTTGGAGAACACCCTCGCGGCGGCCTCCGGTCGGGGTCTCCCATTGCCTCCGACGTCATGGAGAAAGGGTTTATTCCCGGTACATGACCTTGCCTTTCCTGAGGCTGGTCCTACCGCGGAGGCCCATGTTGAGCGGTTGGGTGTCCGTGCCCCACCGGCTGCAACGGTAACGCAAGCTACCTTGCACCAGCTGGACGCCCTCGCTCGGCACTCCATGTCTCACGGAGACACTTACTTGGCTGCAGCGGCCAGTCTGGTCGTAGGTTCTCTCACGGACCGTGACCAGCGCATTTACAACTGCCTGCTCAGTTTAAATGCTTCCCTGGAGTACGTTGCCGAGGACTCTCGGCACACACTTGCTCTTGTTGGGTCCCTGCATAGGCGCCTGGGTGCCGCTCCTAACCGGAGCGCGCCCCAAGCTGCTGCGGCCGGTAGGTCTATGGGGTCGGGTTCTTCTTCCTCTGGGAAGTAGCCCCGCCCTGAGGGCTCCGGTATGGGCAATCAGCTGCCCTTTCGTGGGAAGACGGGGAACTGGGGGAAGCCCAAGTCGTCTTAGGACGGCAAGGGCCCCTCCAGGTGACTCTCATTGGAGGGGTTCGTATGCCGACAGCGCCAACTTCGGTTGGCCCTGGACAGTTGCGCCTGCCGCAGCTTGTCAGGGCCCCCTCTCCTTCCCCAGTGGGAGCCAGACAAGTGTTCGACGACCCGTGGGTGGCCAACACGATTCGGTACGGCTATCGGCTTGATCTCAAAGCGAATCCGCCGCTCACGGTTGCCCCGTTGGCAGGTTTCGATTCGGAAACCGATCTTCCCATCCTCGCCGATGCCATCGGCAGGTTGGTGGAGAAGGGGCAGTACGGGAGTTAGCTCTACCAGAAATAACACCGGGGTTTTCCTCCAGGATATATCTCGTTCCCAAGTAGGACAGTACCGAACTCAGAATGATTCACACGTCCGCTCCCTGGCTGTTCACCCGGTTAACCACCCCACTAGTGGGGTTCCTCCACAGGAGGGGTGTCCGGTACTTCGCGTACCTGGACGACTCGCTAGTAGCAAATCGAATGACGGACACCCTGTCAAGCAATCTCGTTTTCGCACGTCGGCTCTTGGAGCAATTGGGGTTGATTATCAATCTCCCCAAGAGCGAGTTAACCCCTTCTCAGAACTTGCTGTTCATCGGAGGTCGGTTCAACACGGTGTCCCATCGCCTCTTTGTTCCCCCCCAGACCGGTGGCACAAGATTCAGGCGATGATTGCCAAAGTCTTAGCGGTGCAACAGACTGTTCACTTTTGGGAACAGCTGTTAGGGCTACTTGAATCAGCCCAGGACTGCACCGAACGGGGTCGTCTCCAACTCCGCCCGCTGCAACGGTTTTTAATCCAGTTGTTAGCAACGGAGGTGAACAGTGCGACCGTCACCCTCCCGGATCGGCTCCGACCGCATCTGGAGTGGTGGACGGTCCCTTACAATGTCTTATCAGGAGTCTCTATGCGGTCCTACCGGGCCACGTTGAACCTGTATACAGACGCCTCTCTTGTGGGCTGGGGCGCCCATCTAGAGGGGGAGGTGAGCTCGGGGCTGTGGTGCGTAGACGAACTAGGTCTTCACATCAATTGTCTCGAGTTCAAGGCAGTGCTCAACGTAGTCAATCACTGGAAGCATCGTCTCGTCGACGCCCGGCTCATGCTGGCGACCGACAACACGACGGTAGTGTCCTATGTGAACAAACTGGGGGGAACCCACAGTCACTCGCTACTCGATCTCACGTTCGAGTTTTACGCTCTGGTGGACAGTGTCCCGTGCCAGATACGCGCCCGTCACATCCCAGGTGTGCGGAGTTCGCTGTCGAATGTTACTGATCGCGCCCATGTGGCCGAACAGATCGTGGTACCCTGACTTGCTGACCCAGGTCACGCAGTCGCCACTTCCACTGCCTGTGAGACCGGATCTCTTGATCCACCCTCACACCCGTCAGCTTCATCCAAACGCAGGGCAGTTCAATCTGCACGTGTGGATGTTGTCACCGAGCGTCTGAGGAGTAAAGGTTTTTCTCGCCGGGTGTCTCGGGCATACGTTAGTATGCATCGTGATTCTACCCAGTAGGTGTATAATGCATGTTGGGTTATTTTCACGAAGTGGTGTTGTAAACATCACATTCATTCGCCAGATAAGGTATCTGTGCAGGATATTGCTCGTTTCATGTCTCACTTGCGAGAGACCCGGAAACTCTCCGGGGGTTCCATTGCCAACTATGTCTCGTCCGTTGCTACGGTACGGGACGTTGCTATGGTTGCCAGTCTCTCCAAAGAGCCGGTGTTACGGGGTATTATTAAGGGTTTCAAACAGCACGATCTTAAGAAGGGCCGCCTTCGGGCTCCGGCCTGGGATCTTTCCCTAGTGTTGCAATCACTTACGGAAGCTCCGTATGAACCCTTGCATAGTGCTGTGTTCCGGCATGTGACTTGGAAAACAGCATTTCTCCTCTCCTTTGCCACGGCGGCACGTGTATCCGAAATTCATGCACTCAATGTCGCCAAGGTACGATTCGATAGGGGTGACGAAGGAGCGGTCCGCCTGGGCCTGCTCATGGGCTTCGTCGCCAAGAATCAGAGAATCGGGCAAACGGAGAGAGAATTCACTGTAAGATCACTCAAAGAAATCTTACATCTTGCTGATACTGAGGACAGAGCGCTGTGTCCGGTTAGGGCCCTTAAGTATTATCTTAAGGCTTCGAATGAACGTAGACAAGGGCGTGATCGTCTGTTCATATCGTGTAACCCTAATCGCACGGTTGACATAACTCGCAACTCGATTGCGTTGTGGCTTCGCTCTGTCATCAATCTGGCGTACCGGTCTCGGGGGTTACCGGTAGCGGGGTCAAACCTGCACGAGATCAGGGCGCTAGCGGCAACATTTGCCCTACACTCGAATATCTCTGTTGCAGAATATTCATGATTGTTACTGGCGTTCTGACTCGGTTTTTGCCAATCATTACCTCAAACAGGTCGCTGATGCCGTCGTGGAGAGTGTGCACCGTCTTGGCCCGCGGATCGCGGCGCAAGCGGGCACCTAAGGGGTGTGCCCAGCGCAATTTCGAACTCCTCAGGCGTCAGACCTTGCACGGTGGTCAATCTGGGTCGACTCCAATGTTCCCACTGCCGTGGGTACAGGAGTTGGGGTCCCCCAAACCAGCGCACTCACACCACAGGTGAGGGCGGCTTTTTGTGTGCTTTGTCCTTATTTGTATTTTGACAATTATGTATTTAATTGTCTGTCGTGTATCCCAACCTTGTGATGCATGCTTACAAATACTGGAATTAGGTCACGCGCCTAATGCATACTTTAAGTAGGCTTGCTCTGGGATATACGGTCTGAATGAAATTAATTTCCCTCTTTTCGACTGTTTAACCTGATCTAAGATTAAGCTCACGCGGATACAGTGTTCTCATCCGCTGCCGCGATGAAATACCTATCCAGTGGGGCCGTTTGGAGTCACCAATCGTTTTGGCAATGACGATTGAGCCTTACGGTATGCGCTTGACAGTGCTTTGGTATTCCTATAGGGTAACGCCTAGCTAGGTGCATGCGCATCGAGTGCTTCCGCCTTGGTGTTTACTTCCGCTGGTCGGAAGGAACGCTAGCAGTCAGGATTCGGGTTGTAGGTGCTCCCCATCGCCTACTGTGGTAGTCAGCCTCGTAGACTAACATTTAGTCTCTGAAATCTTATATTACACAATATCCTTCTTGACTCTAAAAATAAAAATAAAATTCCCTATGCTGATTTGGAATAGAGCTAGCTTGAGCTGGCTAGACTTGCTTTTGTATGCATTTCTAGATTATGTTTTTTTCATAAAATAAATATATTCCACGGTCATGGTGCAGGACTATCAGCCTCGGTATAACAGTAGTAACGTATTACTTAATGTAATTTGTAGAATTTTCCTATTCGGAATATTCTATAAGTAATACGTTACCACTGGGCTGCTGCCCGCCCGTCCGTCCCCCGAGCACTTGCTCTCGCAAGAGACAAGAGTGAAGGGTGACACATGGCAGCTAGGTGGCTACGCACGTGCTGCATGAGGTAATTGAGATCTCTGTGGTAGATTTGGCTATAGCAGCAGTTGTGGGAGACAACAGCCTCGGTATAACAGTGGTAACGTATTACTTATAGAATATTCCGAATAGGAAAATTCTACAAAACTTGGGATATGTGGTTTTATAGCACTCACCTCCAGCCTACCACAAATAGTGCCCAATGCCTAACACAGATAGGACCCGAGAGCTTTCTTTCTAAATTTTCAATTTTATACAGATATTTATATAGGATGAGTTATCTCTTTCAATATTGTATTTCTTCATACTGTCCTTTAATCTATATGTGTGATAAAACATCACCATCATGTCATAGTTACGACCTTGTTTTGGTTCCTAGGTCACTTGCAATGGAATTTACTGTACTTCATGTGAGACAACAAAAGTTTGTAACTGCAAAACTGACCAAACACCAATTTTATTTCTACTTGACATTTTGTTTTTTAATTTCAATTTTTAATTATTGAAGTGTTTATGTTATGTGTAATTGATTTGTGATACTTTATTCTATTAATTATATTTAAGACTTGAATCGTTTTATATTACATTTAAAATCATGTTGTTTTTGTTCTCAAGATGTTTATTTCTCTCTATCATAGCAAATGATATGTTTCTGAAAAGCTTATGAAGTGGGCTTTCATTTGACATGCATAATGAAACAAGAAAAACAAAAACTAAACAAATCATAATCTCACAAAGATGCTTCAGAGGGGCCATGATCCTCTGTGCCTTTGGTATAATTGGATAGATTCTGGGTGAAAATCACTTGAAAAATATTTTTGTTGCAATTTGTCTTGGGTGCTATGGTATTGACTGGACTGCAGTTGCATAATATATAACGTTGCTGCTGTTTTGGATCGCCTTTTCTTGCTAATCTCTCTCCTCCATTTTCATTCAAATGCACCAGTGAAGAGGGAGTTGCAAATGCTTTTTTTTAACTTTTGTGTATTTATGTACTTCAGGTGGGTGTGAAGATCAGCCTAACATCGTCTGGTCTCACCAAGATCGTAACATTCACACCATTCTACATGATGCTCAACACTGCGGAGGTAAGACTCCTCGAAGTAGAGAAAGTGACACGTCATGCTGTGCACAGCTGGCCCTCTATAAAGTTGAATGAAACTACTGATGATACTGCTCAATTCTATTACATCCTTCATGTGTAGATGTCTTTAGATTTACTCAATGCTTTCCATGTTATGTTCCAGTATTCCATCTTGTGTACCGAGGCCACAGAGACAGAGTCCTGGGTGGAGGTTGTTCCTGGGAAGGTGAGTACAAGCAGCCAGAAGACATGTCCGTCTAACTGAGCCACAGTACTGGGTGGAGGTTGTTCCTGGGAAGGTGAGTACAAGCAGCCAGAAGACATGTCTGTCTAACTGAGCCACAGTACTGGGTGGAGGTTGTTCCTGGGAAGGTGAGTACAAGCTCCCAGAAGACATGTCCCTCTAACTGAGCCACAGTACTGGGTGGAGGTTGTCCCTGGGAAGGTGAGTACAAGCAGCCAGAAGACATGTCCCTCTAACTGAGCCACAGTACTGGGTGGAGGTTGTTCCTGGGAAGTAGAGTACAAGCAGCCAGAAGACATGTCCCTCTAACTGAGCCACAGTCCTGGGAAGTAGAGTACAAGCAGCCAGAAGACATGTCCCTCTAACTGAGCCACAGTCCTGGGACGGTGAGTACAAGCTCCCAGAAGACATGTCCCTCTAACTGAGCCACAGTCCTGGGAAGGTGAGTACAAGCAGCCAGAAGACATGTCCCTCTAACTGAGCCACAGTACTGGGTGGAAGTTGTTCCTGGGAAGGTGAGTACAAGCAGCCAGAAGACATGTCCCTCTAACTGAGCCACAGTCCTGGGTGGAGGTTGATCCTGGGAAGGTGAGTACAAGCTCCCAGAAGACATGTCCCTCTAACTGAGCCACAGTACTGGGTGGAGGTCGTTCCTGGGAAGGTGAGTACAAGCAGCCAGAAGACATGTCCCTCTAACTGAGCCACAGTACTGGGTGGAGGTCGTTCCTGGGAAGGTGAGTACAAGCAGCCAGAAGACATGTCCGTCTAACTGAGCCACAGTCCTGGGTGGAGGTTGCCCCTGGGAAGGTGAGTACAAGCAGCCAGAAGACATGTCCCTCTAACTGAGCCACAGTACTGGGTGGAGGTTGTCCCTGGGAAGGTGAGTACAAGCAGCCAGAAGACATGTCCATCTAACTGAGCCGCAGGCTCCAAACAAGCAGACATGTTTGTCTTGGTTTGTCAGTAATATGATGATTGTGATGTTTATGTGTTCCAGTGTCTTCCATTTTGGCCTGAGCAGTCAGGGAAGGAAATGACAATGAAAGCCAAAGTGAAGGACAGTGATGAAAGGACGGCAGGGTTCCTCATCAACAAGGCTCATACCTCTCTCATGCGCCTCAACAATGAGGTGGGTAGTCTGTGGAAGTTGCATGGAATGCGTGGAGCACATTAGTTAATTAACAAGGTTTGGGGTTGAGGGGTGGGGTCAGGATCCAATTGCGATTGATTTTTGTTTATCTGTCACACACTGGGGGAAGGCTTATCAACATTATCCTGTGTTTTTAAATGTTGTACCTTGTGTATGTTGTGTCTAGTATGGCGGTATCAACACGGAGTGCCAGGTGACTGAGAGTGCCATGGTGACTACCTTCAAGGCCTACAAGTCTGGCATGGCCACTGTACAGATTGTCAACTTTACAGACAAGAGTTCGCTCACCTTCTTTCAGAGGTAGGTATCATGCACAGACAAGTGCACCCTGGCCTTTATCGGAGGTACGGGTCATACACAGTACACCCTGACCTTCGTAGGAGGTACGGGTCATACTCAGACAAGTACACCCTGACCTTTATAGGCGGTACGGGTCATACACAAAGTACACCCTGACCTTCGTAGGAGGTACGGGTCATACACAGAGTACACCCTGACCTTTATAGGAGGTACGGGTCATACACAGAATACACCCTGACCTCTATAGGAGATAAGGGTCATGCACAGACTAGTACACCCTGACCTTTTGGGGATTGGTAAATATCAAACACCAGATAGCAATCAGTCTCAATGACCTGCCTCAGTCACTTATTGCCGGTTATACTGAGGCCCACATCGCTGTCATACTTCCAGACTCTGTTATTTACAGCCTGCTGGGATAAATCTTGAATATCTTGAATCTCTGTACAAGGCAGATTGCATGAAATACCTAGATGGTGGTGTTGTGTTAATGCAGGTTTGTTTGTGTTACAGCGGTGTGAAGAACAGTGTGCATGAACTGGGCCCCAACCAGACCCAGCTGTATACATGGGAGAACTCGCTTGGCAAGAGGGAGATGGTCTACACCTGTGGCAACAAGAAGGACGTCAAGAATGATCTCAGCCAGGTATGTCCTCCTTTACATGGAAAATACTGCTAAAGACTGATTGACTATAATCATACTCCAGGATACTCCAGACTTACTGCTAATATAATTACAATGCAATACTATGAAAGTATCCTTCTCAATAAAAGTATGTGTATTCATTTGAAGAGATACAGCAGGTGTATGTGCAGGAAGGCTGGTGTGTAACTTTTAGAAACTGCTGTAGTTGTATGTGTGCTGAAGTAAGCGGGGTATGGTGCCTGTAAGGTCATGTAGGCTGAAGTCTGTGGGGTATGGTGGCTGTAAGGTCATGTATGCTGAAGTCAGTGGGGTATGGTGGCTGTAAGGTCATGTAGGCTGAAGAAAGTGGGGTATGGTGGCTGTAAGGTCATGTAGGCTGAAGTAAGCGGGTTGTGGTAGCTGTAAGGTCATGTATCCTGAAGTCAGTGGGGTATGGTGGCTGTAAGGTCATGTAGGCTGAGGTGAGTGGGGTATGGTGGCTGTAAGGTCATGTCGGCTGAAGTAAGTGGGGGGGTATGGTGGCTGTAAGGTCATGTATCCTGAAGTCAGTGGGGTATGGTGGCTGTAAGGTCATGTATCCTGAAGTCAGTGGGGTATGGTGGCTGTAAGGTCATGTATCCTGAAGTCAGTCGGGTATGGTGGCTGTAAGGTCATGTAGGCTGAAGTCAGTGGGGTATGGTGGCTGTAAGGTCATGTAGGCTGAAGTAAGTGGGGTATGGTGGCTGTAAGGTCATGTAGGCTGAGGTGAGTGGGGTATGGTGGCTGTAAGGTCATGTCGGCTGAAGTAAGTGGGGTATGGTGGCTGTAAGGTCATGTAGGCTGAAGTCAGTGGGGTATGGTGGCTGTAAGGTCATGTATCCTGAAGTCAGTGGGGTATGGTAGCTGTAAGGTCATGTAGGCTGAAGTAAGTGGGGTATGGTGGCTGTAAGGTCATGTAGGCTGAAGTAAGCGGGTTGTGGTAGCTGTAAGGTCATGTATCCTGAAGTCAGTGGGGTATGGTGGCTGTAAGGTCATGTAGGCTGAGGTGAGTGGGGTATGGTGGCTGTAAGGTCATGTATGCTAGGTGTGGAGGTGACTGACAGTGATGCGTTGTATACTCCAGGATGGTATCGGGGAGTTCTTCTTCGACTCGGATACCAAGGTTTACTGGGTGTCATTCCTTGACGGCATGCAAAGAGTGCTGCTGTTTACTCAAGATCTGGCCTTGGCAACTGTTGCACAACAGGTAAGTGATAAACTAATTCAACTAATTAATGTGGTACAACTATACTTTGCTTATAAGAAGTTATATATTTATGGAGACATATGTTGCTTTTGTAAAACTCTGTGTTGTGATGTTGTTTTACATTTCTTCCTAGGCTGGTGAGCTGGAAAGGATAGAGCTAGAGGTGAATATTTGTATACAGGGTCTCGGCCTGTCTCTTGTCAACAACTACAATCAGACGGAAGTGGCCTTCTTGGGTATCACCAGGTGTGTATATAAAGAGACAAGGTTTGTTTACAGAGGCCAGTTGTGTATACAGAGGCCAGATATCACCAGGTGTGTATACAGAGACCAGGTGAGTATACAGAGACCAGGTATCACCAGGTGTGTATACAGAGGCCATGTGTGTATACAGAGGCCAGATATCACCAGGTCTGTATACAGAGACCAGGTGAGTATACAGAGGTCAGGTATCACCAGGTCTGTATACAGAGGCCAGCTGTGTATACAGAGGCCAGCTGTGTATACAGAGGCCAGCTGTGTATACAGAGGCCAGGTATCACCAGGTGTATACAGAGGCCAGGTATCACCAGGTGAGTATACAGAGACCAGGTGAGTATACAGAGGTCAGGTATCACCAGGTGTATATACAGAGGCAGGTTGTGTATACAGAGGCCAGGTATCACCAGGTGGGTATACAGAGACCAGTTGTGTATAAAGAGGCCAGGTATCACCAGGTGTGTATACAGAGGCCAGGTATCACCAGGTGAGTATACAGAGACCAGGTGAGTATACAGAGGTCAGGTATCACCAGGTGTGTATACAGAGGCCTGTTGTATATACAGAGGCCAGGTATCACCAGGTGTGTATACAGAGGCCAGTTGTGTATACAAAGGCCAGGTATCACCAGGTGTGTATACAGAGGCCAGTTGTATATACAGAGGCCAGGTATCACCAGGTGGGTATACAGAGACCAGTTGTGTATAAAGAGGCCAGGTATCACCAGGTGTGTATACAGAGGTCAGGAATCACCAGGTGTGTATACAGAGGCCATGTGTGTATACAGAGGCCAGGTATCACCAGGTGTGTATACAGACACCAGTTGTGTATACAGAGGCCAGGTATCAACAGGTGTGTTTACAGAGGCCAGTTGTGTATACAGAGGCCAGGTATCACCAGGTGTGTATACAGAGGCCAGTTGTGTATACATGGGCTGGTTGTGTATACAGAGGCCAGGTATCACCAGGTGGGTATACAGAGACCAGGTGTGTACACAGAGGCCAGGTATCACCAGGTGTGTATACAGAGACTAGGTGTGTACACAGAGACCAGGTATCACCAGGTAATATAATTTGCTACACCTTAGCACTGCTACAGAGTATTGATCTGTACTCCACTGTTTCAGTTCTGGCATCATCTGGGAGGAGAAGCGGAAGCGTTACAAGGCCATCAAGATGAAGGATGGCATGGTACTGGAGATGGCCTACCAGAGGCACCTGGCTGAGTTGGCTGTAGGCAAGACTCCTAATGCCAGGATGGTGCTGGAAAACAAGTTTGATGTGAGTCTACTTCACAGTGGCTGGCCTAGATAGGGTGTATCCTACAGTGGCTGGCCTGGATAGAGTGTAGAGTGTAGTGTCTGGCCTGGATAGGGTGTAGAGTGTAGTGTCTGGCCTGGATAGAGTGTAGTGTCTGGCCTGGATAGGGTGTATCCTACAGTGTCTGGCCTGGATAGAGTGTAGTGTCTGGCCTGGATAGGGTGTAGAGTGTAGTGTCTGGCCTGGATAGGGTGTAGCCTGCAGTGTCTGGCCTGGATAGGGTGAAGAGTGTAGTATCTGGGCTAGATAGGGTGTAGCCTGTAGTGTCTGGCCTGGATAGAGTGTAGTGTCTGGCCTGGATAGGGTGTATCCTACAGTGTCTGGCCTGGATAGAGTGTAGTGTCTGGCCTGGATAGGGTGTAGAGTGTAGTGTCTGGGCTAGATAGGGTGTAGCCTGCAGTGTCTGGCCTGGATAGGGTGTAGAGTGTAGTGTCTGGGCTAGATAGGGTGTATCCTGCAGTGTCTGGCCTGGATAGAGTGTAGTGTCTGGCCTGGATAGGGTGTATCCTACAGTGTCTGGCCTGGATAGAGTGTAGTGTCTGGCCTGGATAGGGTGTAGAGTGTAGTGTCTGGGCTAGATAGGGTGTAGCCTGCAGTGTCTGGCCTGGATAGGGTGTAGAGTGTAGTGTCTGGGCTAGATAGGGTGTAGCCTGCAGTGTCTGGCCTAGATAGAGTGTAGTGTCTGTCCTGGATAGGGTGTATCCTACAGTGGCTGGCCTGGATAGAGTGTAGTGTCTGGCCTGGATAGGGTGTATCCTACAGTGGCTGGCCTGGATAGAGTGTAGTGTCTGGCCTGGATAGGGTGTATCCTACAGTGGCTGGCCTGGATAGAGTGTAGTGTCTGGCCTGGATAGGGTGTAGCCTGCAGCGTCTGGCCTGGATAGAGTGTAGTGTCTGGCCTGGATAGGGTGTATCCTACAGTGGCTGGCCTGGATAGAGTGTAGTGTCTGGCCTGGATAGGGTGTATCCTACAGTGGCTGGCCTGGATAGAGTGTAGTGTCTGGCCTGGATAGGGTGTATCCTACAGTGGCTGGCCTGGATAGAGTGTAGTGTCTGGCCTGGATAGGGTGTAGCCTGCAGCGTCTGGCCTGGATAGAGTGTAGTGTCTGGCCTGGATAGGGTGTATCCTACAGTGGCTGGCCTGGATAGAGTGTAGTGTCTGGCCTGGATAGGACGTAGAGTGTAGTGTCTGGCCTGGATAGAGTGTAGTGTCTGGCCTGGATAGGGTGTAGCCTGCAGTGTCTGGCCTGGATAGAGTGTAGTGTCTGGCCTGGATAGGGTGTATCCTACAGTGGCTGGCCTGGATAGAGTGTAGTGTCTGGCCTAGATAGGGTGTATCCTACAGTGGCTGGCCTGGATAGAGTGTAGTGTCTGGCCTGGATAGGACGTAGAGTGTAGTGTCTGGCCTGGATAGAGTGTAGTGTCTGGCCTGGATAGGGTGTAGCCTACAGTGTCTGGCCTGGATAGAGTGTAGTGTCTGGCCTGGATAGGGTGTATCCTACAGTGGCTGGCCTGGATAGAGTGTAGTGTCTGGCCTGGATAGAGTGTAGAGTGTAGTGTCTGGCCTGGATAGAGTGTAGTGTCTGGCCTGGATAGGGTGTATCCTACAGTGTCTGGCCTGGATAGAGTGTAGTGTCTGGCCTAGATAGGGTGTATCCTACAGTGGCTGGCCTGGATAGAGTAGTGTCTGGCCTGGATAGGGTGTAGAGTGTAGTGTCTGGCCTGGATAGGGTGTAGAGTGTAGTGTCTGGCCTGGATAGGGTGTAGAGTGTAGTGTCTGGGCTAGATAGGGTGTAGCCTGCAGTGTCTGGTCTAGATAGGGTGTAGCCTGCAGTGGCTGGCCTGGATAGGGTGTAGAGCGTAGTGTCTGGCCTAGATAGGGTGTAGCCTGCAGTGGCTGGCCTAGATAGGGTGTAGCCTGCAGTGGCTGGCCTAGATAGGGTGTAGCCTGCAGTGGCTGGCCTAGATAGGGTGTAGCCTGCAGTGACTGGCCTAGATGGGGTGTAGCCTGCAGTGTCTGGCCTAGATAGGGTGTAGCCTGTAATGTCTGGCCTAGATAGGGTGTAGCCTTTAGTGTCTGGCCTAGATGGGGTGTAGCCTTTAGTGTCTGGCCTAGATAGGGTGTAGCCTGCAGTGGCTGGCCTAGATAGGGTGTAGCCTGCAGTGACTGGCCTAGATGGGGTGTAGCCTGCAGTGTCTGGCCTAGATAGGGTGTAGCCTGTAGTGTCTGGCCTAGATAGGGTGTAGCCTGCAGTGTCTGGCCTAGATAGGGTGTAGCCTGCAGTGACTGGCCTAGATAGGGTGTAGCCTGCAGTGGCTGGCCTAGATAGGGTGTAGCCTGTAGTGGCTGGCCTAGATAGGGTGTAGCCTGCAGTGACTGGCCTAGATAGGGTGTAGCCTGCAGTGGCTGGCCTGGATAGGGTGTAGCCTGCAGTGACTGGCCTAGATAGGGTGTAGCCTGCAGTGACTGGCCTAGATAGGGTGTAGCCTGCAGTGGCTGGCCTAGATAGGGTGTAGCCTGCAGTGGCTGGCCTGGATAGGGTGTAGAGTGTAGTGTCTGGCCTGGATAGGGTGTAGAGTGTAGTGTCTGGGCTAGATAGGGTGTAGCCTGCAGTGGCTGGCCTAGATAGGGTGTAGCCTGCAGTGACTGGCCTAGATAGGGTGTAGCCTGCAGTGGCTGGCCTAGATAGGGTGTAGAGTGTAGTGTCTGGCCTAGATAGGGTGTAGCCTGCAGTGGCTGGCCTAGATAGGGTGTAGCCTGCAGTGGCTGGCCTGGATAGGGTGTAGAGTGTAGTGTCTGGCCTGGATAGGGTGTAGCCTGCAGTGTCTGGCCTAGATAGGGTGTAGCCTGCAGTGACTGGCCTAGATAGGGTGTAGCCTGCAGTGTCTGGCCTAGATAGGGTGTAGCCTGCAGTGTCTGGCCTAGATAGGGTGTAGCCTGCAGTGGCTGGCCTAGATTGGGTGTAGCCTACAGTGGCTGGCCTAGATAGGGTGTAGCGTCTTGTGACTTCTTTGGTGCCTTGCATGATCAATCTTACTGCAATCAGTGACGCAAGACAATGTTGGAGAGGAGAAAAAATGTCAGTTACTAAGCTCGATAGACAACTGGAATAATGTTGCCTTTGTCTGAGACTTCATTGATTTATCTGTTTCAGGTGGACTTCAGCAACAAAGATAAGATGATGATGTTTAAGCCGAACAAGCGAGAGATCCGGCGTAGTTTTGTAGATGGAATCTGGCTGCAGTACAAGACATCAGCCCACCAGCTGCAGTTCCATGCCAAGATCAACCGTCTGCAGCTGGACAGTCAGCTGAAGGGAGCCGTATTCCCCACCATACTAGCCCCAATACCTCCACCCAAGTCGGTGGCTGCAGAGAGTGGTCAGTAATATAACACTGTATTGTCAAGCATTAAATACTGGTTTTCTGTTTTGTAGAATTTCAGTGTGTAGGATTTATTACAAAGAATCTATGAGGAGAGCATGAGAACATGTGTTGTGATTTCAGTGCCCAAGCCCTTCACAGAGATCAGTCTGATGCAGAGGAAACATGAGCACAGCAATATTGCACAGATCAAGTAAGTCCTCTTTATCAGTCTGTTTACAGTACATCTAGTATTTCTTTCGTCTGTGCCTGTCACAAGCACATGTTGGTACACTTCTGTCAGGTATGTGTGGTGCTTGTTGCTAGGTATGCCAAGGTCCTCATCCAGGAGTTTGCTGTAAAGGTGGACCAGGGATTCCTCAATGCGCTGCTGGAGCTGTTCGCCTCCGGGGAGCCAGTGTCAAGAGAGCAGGAGGTGGGACTGTCAGCATTCCCCTATAAGTGCACACATACATGTGCACACACGCACACTGACACACACACACTCACACCACAAAAATACACACGCCTGCGCACACACTGAGCAGGCAGGGCACACAGCCATCCTTCACATATACTTCTTCAGCCTGACTTACTAGAATCTGTTGTGCAAGGTGAGAATAAGTGCCAGGTAAATGTAACTGTTGAAGATAACTGTTTAGTTTTTACACATAAACCTGTTTGACTACTTCCCAATGATATGGATGTAGCTCAAGCCGGGGGGGATGTTGGACAAGACAGGGAATTTAGTAATGCGATGTTTGTTACCAGACGAAGGAGTTTGAGGCGGATGTGAAGAAGACTGATGCAAAGCTGATGGATGTGGTGGGCCTGTCTCTGGCCGAGGAGCAGAAGAACTTCTATGACTACCTCCACCTCTCCCCCATCAAGGTGGGTTCCACTGTAGCAAGCTAGTAACACCTCAGCAGGGCACCTCACTATCTTAGGCATGTCGGAACTCTACAGTGCAAAGTAAATGAAATAGTTTAGGTGTAGTTTTAACATGCCAAAGGCTGTGGTAGCCACTGATGCCTGACAAGAAGAGAAATGCTCTGTGTTCCTTTGGAGGTGCCATCTGCATGAGGTGGTGCTCCCCTCTTTAATGTATTAATGACAACGATGAGTGATAGTGTGTTGAGCTAGTAGTGTGTGTTGAATTTGTGAGTGATTGTGATTGTGTGTGGAGAGGTGTGTGGAGGTGGAGTGTGAGTGTGTGGAGGTGGTGTGTGAGTGTGTGGAGGTGATGTGTGAGTGTGTGGAGGTGGTGTGTGAGTGTGTGGAGGTGGAGGTGGTGTGTGAGTGCGGAGGTTTTGTGTGAGTGTGCGGAGGTGGTGTGTGAGTGTGTGGAGGTGGTGTGTGAGTGTGAGGAGGTGATGTGGAGGTGATGTGTGAGTGTGTGGAGGTGGTGTGTGGAGGTGGTGTGTGAGTGTGTGGAGGTGATGTGTGAGTGTGTGGAGGTGGTGTGTGAGTGTGTGGAGGTGATGTGTGGAGGTGGTGTGTGAGTGTGTGGAGGTGGTGTGTGAGTGTGAGGAGGTGGTGTGTGAGTGTGTGGAGGTGGTGTGTGAGTGTGTGGAGGTGATGTGTGAGTGTGTGGAGGTGATGTGGGAGTGTGTGAAGGTCGTGTGTGTGTGTGTGAGGTGGTTGCACACACTGACAGGTCTGTTTGTGTACAGATACACTTGAGCTTCTCCCTGCAAGGCGGCGGCGGTGATGACAGCGGGAAGCCCACACAGCTTCACTCCAACGTCCTCAACATCTTTATGCAGAGTGTGGGAGTGGTGCTCACTGATGTCCAGGATGTAGTCTTCAAGTAGGTTCACCACCTGGATTCTTCTTGTGATAAAGATATTGTTTAGTGAACTGTGGCACCATTGCTCTTGAACTACCTCCACATCTTGTGTTGTACTGTGTTGCAGACTGGGGTACTTCGAGCGGTCCCACACCTTCTACAACCAGAGTCAGCTTGTGGGAGAGATGACTAGACACTACGCCGGACAGGTAACTATACATAGCTGCTTACACAATACTGTAACACCAGACAGGTAAATATACACAGCTGCTGACACAATACTGTAACACCAGACAGGTAAATATACACAGCTGCTGACACAATACTGTAACACCAGACAGGTAAATATACACAGCTGCTGACACAATACTGTAACACCGGATAGGTGAACATACACAGCTGCTGGCACAATACCGTAACACTGGGCAGGTAAATATACACAGCTGCTGACACAATACTGTAACACCGGATAGGTAAACATACACAGCTGCTGGCACAATACCATAACACTGGACAGGTAAATATACACAGCTGCTGACACAACACTGTAACACCAGACAGGTAAATATACATAGCTGCTGACACAATACTGCAACACCGGACTGGTAAATATACACAGCTGCTGACATAATACTGTAACCCCGGATAGGTAAACATGCACAGCTGCTGGCACAATACTGTAACATGGGACTGGTAAATATACACAGCTGCTGACACAATACTGTAACACCGGACTGGTAAACATACATAGCTGCTGACACAAAACTGTCACAAATCTTTGTGGAATGATGAGTTCTTGTCTAAGGTCGTTTGCCAGACGTAAGAAGGCTGTTAGGAATATTGACACTGGCACATGATTGGTGACATAAAAAGCAAACAGTTGACTGTGGATAGTTGTTTATTAATGAAAGCCATGGTAATTCCCTGATTGGTTGTTGATGACGCACTCATGAATGTCCTCCTCCGGTGTGTGCCAGGCCATCAAGCAGATGTACGTGCTGGTGCTGGGGCTGGATGTACTGGGCAACCCCTTCGGCCTCCTCCGCGGGCTGTCAGAGGGAGCAGTCGATCTCTTCTATGAACCGTGTCAGGTAAGGGAACTTGTCGTTTACATGTCCATATGACTGAAAGTTCATCATGCCCTCGTTGTTTGGCATCTGACGTCTGTACACTTCTTGTCCTTAGAAACAACTGAACTAATAAAGCTGAACCTTCACTAGCATGCTCCCATCAATGGTGACACCTGAATTTGTTCATGTTCTCAGTTTTGTCGAAACAAATGAAAATTGACATTTATATATTTGTGTTTTCAACATGGGTTGTAAATAAAAGACTTCTTATGTTGCTTTGGTGCCAGAGGCCATAGAGAGTCAATTATTTTTGTGAAAATAGTACTATTGTACTATTGTATATATGATGTGTTACAGGGTGCTATCCAAGGACCAGAGGAGTTCGCCGAGGGCCTGGCGCTTGGTGTACGCAGCCTGTTCGGACATGCTGTCGGTCAGTCTTTCTGTCCCAACTGGACACGTATCAGCATGCTTGTTAAACAGTTGCATTTCATGTCATAGCCTAGTGAACTCTTCAAGAGGCCAGTACACTTCCTGTCCAGAATCCTGTTAACAATTTGGTCACCAGATGCCACTTTATTTTAGTTCCTGAGTTGAAAGTTGTTGATTGATTTGTTAGTAAACAATCCTAGTCCTGTCAAGGTTGATAGCCAGATGCATGGATTAGTATGAAGGGGTAGATGCGGCTGCTGCTGTGTTGCTAAGAATGATGTTGGTGTTGCTAAGGATGATGCTGTCACCAATGTTGGTATTTAAGTTGCTGGTTTTGTATGCATAGGTGGCGCCGCGGGAGCCGTGTCTCGGATCACAGGGACATTGGGTAAGGGCGTGGCGGCCCTGACTCTGGACGATGACTACCAGAAGAAGAGGCGAGAGCAACTCAACAAGCGACCAGCTAATGCCAGAGAGGGCTTCGCTCGTGGAGGCAAGGGGCTAGTGATGGTGAGTGTTGTGATGATACTTTAGATCCTGACCCATACTGAAGTGATTGTCCATATGTCTTAGTGTCATGCATCCTCAAGATTTCACGTAATTAACAAGGTGCACAAGTACAAGCTGGAGACCCAGCCTCCATGTTTTTTCTGAATATAGCAGCTCACTGTAGTTGGACTTGTTGGAATTGGGGGATCTGGTTAAAACCTGCTGGGATGAAAGATTTTTCTTTGTTTTTGACTACACTTGTGTTAATATATCTATACCATGCGGTTCTGTGTGTATCTGTGCAGGGTGTATTTGATGGTGTGACTGGCATCGTCAGGAAACCCCTGGAGGGTGCTCAAGAAGAGGGAGCCAAGGGTTTCTTTAAAGGTAACTAATCAATACAGGGGGTACAGCATTTCCAGGGGACAGTTGTGCTTTCATTTGATATATGACATGACATAATACAATTAATTCGATGGATCCTTTCCTAAAACTTATAATGATATAAGGCATTCACATGCAAAGTGGCCCATGAAGATCTGGGTTAGAATTGGTTTTCAGCAACCCTTGCTTGTCATAAGAGGCGACTAATGGGATTAACTCTAAGTCTCGTGTGTGTGCTCCTGTGGTGATGACAGTGTATGTATGTTTCCAGGTATCGGCAAGGGTCTGGTCGGTGTGGTCACAAGACCAACAAGTGGAGTCATCGATTTCGCCAGCAGCTCATTTGAGGGAATCAGAAGGTATTGTTCTGGAAATGAAACTGAGGTGACATACTTCTGTTAATAGGCATAGACAGCTGATGGATGTGATAGAGAATATGTTAGTGCAAGTGCAAATGCATATTGGTTTAAGATGAATATAAAACATATGTTACTCATTTCAGTGTTATAGCAGTACACTGCTAAGTATTGAATGGCTCACTTGTTAAGACCTTGTTATGAGGAACTACTAATTGTTAGTGTTGGTCTCCAGGATTGCTGAAATGTCTGATGAAGTACGCAGACTCCGCCCGCCCCGACGCTTCCACAATGACAAGGTGATCCGCCCCTACAACCACCAGGAGGCAGAGGGCTACGCAATCCTGCAGGTACACATTGATACACTTGGCTGAGCTGGTTACTTCCAGTGACCTGAGACATTTTCATCACGTTTCGTCTCACTTTGCTTTCCCTAACAAAGACTGAGGCTTTAGAACTCATGAACTGGCTCAGTATCAGCATGGTGGTTCAAGGCTGTATTCCTCCATGTTATACCTAGTGGCAGTGTTGCTACCAGCTCCAACATCAGCCATCTTTAAGCCAGTTTAGGGAACATCCTCACTCTCCCCATCTGTGCTGATCTGGTCACTTGTGTATAAGAGAACATCCCCACTCTCCCCATTGGTGCTGATCTGGTCACTTGTGTATAAGAGAACATCCTCACTCTCCCCATCTGTGCTGATCTGGTCACTTGTGTATAAGAGAACATCCCCACTCTCCCCATCCATCTGTGCTGATCTGGTCACTTGTGTATAAGAGAACATCCCCACTCTCCCCATCCATCTGTGCTGATCTGGTCACTTGTGTATAAGAGAACCCCACTCGCCCCATTGGTGCTGATCTGGTCACTTGTGTATAAGAGAACATCCCCACTCTCCCCATCCATCTGTGCTGATCTGGTCACTTGTGTCTACAAGAACATCCCGACTCTCCCCATCTGTGCTGATCTGGTCACTTGTGTCTACGAGAACATCCCCACTCTCCCCATCTGTGCTGATCTGGTCACTTGTGTATAAGAGAATATCCCAAATCTCCCCATCTGTGCTGATCTGGTCACTTGTGTATACGAGAACATCCCCACTCTCCCCATCTGTGCTGATCTGGTCACTTGTGTCTAGGAGAACATCCCCACTCTCCCCATCTGTGCTGATCTGGTCACTTGTGTCTACGAGAACATCCCCACTCGCCCCATCTGTGCTGATCTGGTCACTTGTGTATAAGAAAACATCCCCACTCTCCCCATCAATCTGTGCTGATCTGGTCACTTGTGTATAAGAGAACATCCACACTCTCCCCATCTGTGCTGATCTGGTCACTTGCGTATACGAGAACATCCCCACTCTCCCCATCTGTGCTGATCTGGTCACTTGTGTATACGAGAACATCCCTACTCTCCCCATCTGTGCTGATCTGGTCACTTGTGTATAAGAAACCATCCCAACTCTCCCCATCTGTGCTGATCTGGTCACTTGTGTATAAGAGAACATCCCAACTCTCCCCATCTGTGCTGATCTGGTCACTTGCGTATACGAGAACATCCCCACTCTCCCCATCTGTGCTGATCTGGTCACTTGTGTATACGAGAACATCCCTACTCTCCCCATCTGTGCTGATCTGGTCACTTGTGTACAAGAGAACATCCCAACTCTCCCCATCTGTGCTGATCTGGTCACTTGTGTATAAGAGAACATCCCCACTCTCCCCATCTGTGCTGATCTGGTCATGTGTGTATAAGAGAACATCCCCACTCTCCCCATCTGTGTTGATCTGGTTACTTGTGTATAAGAGCACATCCCCACTCTCCCCATCTGTGCTGATCTGGTCACTTGCGTATAAGAGAACATCCCCACTCTCCCCATCTGTGCTGATCTGGTCACTTGTGTATAAGAGAACATCCCCACTCTCCCCATCTGTACTGATCTGGTCACTTGTGTATAAGAGAACATCCCCACTCTCCCCATTGGTGCTGATCTGGTCACTTGTGTATAGGAGAACATCCCCACTCTCCCCATCTGTACTGATCTGGTCACTTGTGTATACGAGAATATCCCCACTCTCCCCATCTGTGCTGATCTGGTCACTTGTGTATAAGAGAACATCCCCACTCTCCCCATCAGTACTGATCTGGTCACTTGTGTATACGAGAACATCCCCACTCTCCCCATCTGTGCTGATCTGGTCACTTGTGTATACGAGAACATCCCTACTCTCCCCATCAGTACTGATCTGGTCACTTGTGTATACGAGAATATCCCCGCTCTCCCCATCTGTGCTGATCTGGTCACTTGTGTATAGGAGAACATCCCCACTCTCCCAATCCATCTGTGCTGATCTGGTCACTTGTGTATAAGAGAACCCCACTCGCCCCATTGGTGCTGATCTGGTCACTTGTGTATAAGAGAACATCCCCACTCTCCCCATCCATCTGTGCTGATCTGGTCACTTGTGTCTACAAGAACATCCCCACTCTCCCCATCTGTGCTGATCTGGTCACTTGTGTCTACGAGAACATCCCCACTCTCCCCATCTGTGCTGATCTGGTCACTTGTGTATAAGAGAATATCCCAAATCTCCCCATCTGTGCTGATCTGGTCACTTGTGTATACGAGAACATCCCCACTCTCCCCATCTGTGCTGATCTGGTCACTTGTGTCTAGGAGAACATCCCCACTCTCCCCATCTGTGCTGATCTGGTCACTTGTGTCTACGAGAACATCCCCACTCGCCCCATCTGTGCTGATCTGGTCACTTGTGTATAAGAAAACATCCCCACTCTCCCCATCAATCTGTGCTGATCTGGTCACTTGTGTATAAGAGAACATCCACACTCTCCCCATCTGTGCTGATCTGGTCACTTGCGTATACGAGAACATCCCCACTCTCCCCATTGGTGCTGATCTGGTCACTTGTGTATACGAGAACATCCCTACTCTCCCCATCTGTGCTGATCTGGTCACTTGTGTATAAGAAACCATCCCAACTCTCCCCATCTGTGCTGATCTGGTCACTTGTGTATAAGAGAACATCCCCACTCTCCCCATCCATCTGTGCTGATCTGTTCACTTGCGTAAACGAGAACATCCCCACTCTCCCCATCTGTGCTGATCTGGTCACTTGTGTATAAGAGACCATCCCAACTCTCCCCATCTGTGCTGATCTGGTGACTTGTGTATAAGAGAACATCCCAACTCTCCCCATCTGTGCTGATCTGGTCACTTGTGTATAAGAGACCATCCCCACTCTTCCCATTGGTGCTGATCTGGTCACTTGTGTATAAGAGAACATCCCAACTCTCCCCATCTGTGCTGATCTGGTCACTTGTGTACAAGAGAACATCCCAACTCTCCCCATCTGTGCTGATCTGGTCACTTGTGTATAAGAGAACATCCCCACTCTCCCCATCTGTGCTGATCTGGTCATGTGTGTATAAGAGAACATCCCCACTCTCCCCATCTGTGTTGATCTGGTTACTTGTGTATAAGAGCACATCCCCACTCTCCCCATCTGTGCTGATCTGGTCACTTGCGTATAAGAGAACATCCCCACTCTCCCCATCTGTGCTGATCTGGTCACTTGTGTATAAGAGAACATCCCCACTCTCCCCATCTGTACTGATCTGGTCACTTGTGTATAAGAGAACATCCCCACTCTCCCCATTGGTGCTGATCTGGTCACTTGTGTATAGGAGAACATCCCCACTCTCCCCATCTGTACTGATCTGGTCACTTGTGTATACGAGAATATCCCCACTCTCCCCATCTGTGCTGATCTGGTCACTTGTGTATAAGAGAACATCCCCACTCTCCCCATCAGTACTGATCTGGTCACTTGTGTATACGAGAACATCCCCACTCTCCCCATCTGTGCTGATCTGGTCACTTGTGTATACGAGAACATCCCTACTCTCCCCATCAGTACTGATCTGGTCACTTGTGTATACGAGAATATCCCCGCTCTCCCCATCTGTGCTGATCTGTTCACTTGTGTATAGGAGAACATCCCCACTCTCCCCATCTGTACTGATCTGGTCACTTGTGTATACGAGAATATCCCCACTCTCCCCATCTGTGCTGATCTGGTCACTTGTGTATAAGAGAACATCCCCACTCTCCCCATCAGTACTGATCTGGTCACTTGTGTATACATACCAGAACATCCCCACTCTCCCCATCTGTGCTGATCTGGTCACTTGTGTATAAGAGAACATCCCCACTCTCCCCATCTGTCCTGATCTGGTCACTTGTGTATAAGAGAACATCCCCACTCTCCCCATCAGTACTGATCTGGTCACTTGTGTATACGAGAACATCCCGACTCTCCCCATTGGTGCTGATCTGGTCACTTGTGTATAAGAGAAAATCCAAACTCTCCCCATCTGTGCTGATCTGGTCACTTGTGTATAAGAGAACATCCCCACTCTCCCCATCTGTGTTGATCTGGTCACTTGTGTATAAGAGAACATCCCCACTCTCCCCATCTGTGCTGATCTGGTCACTTGTGTATAAGAGAACATCCCCTTTTTTTCCCATTGGTGCTGATCTGGTCACTTGTGTATACGAGAACATCCCCACTCTCCCCATTGGTGCTGATCTGGTCACTTGTGTATAAGAGAACATCCCCACTCTCCCCATCTGTGCTGATCTGGTCATGTGTGTATAAGAGAACATCCCCACTCTCCCCATCTGTGTTGATCTGGTTACTTGTGTATAAGAGCACATCCCCACTCTCCCCATCTGTGCTGATCTGGTCACTTGCGTATAAGAGAACATCCCCACTCTCCCCATCTGTGCTGATCTGGTCACTTGTGTATAAGAGAACATCCCCACTCTCCCCATCAGTACTGATCTGTTCACTTGTGTATAAGAGAACATCCCCACTCTCCCCATTGGTGCTGATCTGGTCACTTGTGTATAGGAGAACATCCCCACTCTCCCTATCTGTACTGATCTGGTCACTTGTGTATACGAGAATATCCCCACTCTCCCCATCTGTGCTGATCTGGTCACTTGTGTATACGAGAACATCCCCACTCTCCCCATCTGTGCTGATCTGGTCACTTGTGTATACGAGAACATCCCCACTCTCCCCATCAGTACTGATCTGGTCACTTGTGTATACAAGAATATCCCCACTCTCCCCATCTGTGCTGATCTGGTCACTTGTGTATAAGAGAACATCCCCACTCTCCCCATCAGTACTGATCTGGTCACTTGTGTATACGAGAACATCCCCACTCTCCCCATCTGTGCTGATCTGGTCACTTGTGTATAAGAGAACATCCCCACTCTCCCCATCAGTACTGATCTGGTCACTTGTGTATAGGAGAACA